TCGAAGCCAGCCTGGGTTACATAGTGACTTCAAGGCCAGCCTGAACTACACAGCAAGACCCTGTCTCCCCCGCTCCAAAAAAGGGCAAATTCCACTTTAAAAAAAAATAGTGTTAGAGAGTGAACCCAGGGCCTCATGCATGTATGCTAGTCAAGCACTTTAACACTGACCTACAGCCCCAGCCCTTTTTATTTTTTTTTGAGACAAGATCTCTCTAAATTGCCCAGGTTGGTCTCAACTTTCTGTCTTCCTGCCTCAGCCTCCTGAGTGCTGGGATTATAGGTGTGTACCACCATGCCCAACAAGTGCAGCCCCCGCCTTTTGGTACCAGGGATTGAACCCAGGACCGTGTGCTTACGAGGCAGGCATGGCGCCACTGAGCTAAATCCTTGGCCCAGTGCAGCCCTTTTGATCATCCATCTGGTTATTATGCCACTAGGCTGCAAAGGTTCCTGTTCAAAAAATTCATATATTGGGCTGGGGATTTAGCTCAGTGGTTCCAGCACCTGCCTCGCAAGTGCAAGGTCCTGAGTTTGATCCCCAGTACCCCCCCCAAAAATTCATATATATAGCTAGGCGTTGTCGTGCACACCTGTAATTCCAGCACCCCAGCACTCTGGGAGGCTTAAGCAGGAAGACTGCAACTTAGTGACCTGGTAACACTGTATCTCAAAAAAAATCATACACACACACATGTGCATACACCCACGCATATACATACACACACATACACACACAAGCAGAAAGTAATTCAACCTGATACTGTAATAAATGAAAAGTTACTAGAGGTAGGAAATAGGAGATCAGTCCTCCCCAGCTCGAGCTAGATGGCTGTCTTTCAAGAAGAGTCTATGTTTAATTTCACAATTCCATGACAGGCGTTCTGGTCAAAGAGCCCTGGTAGGCAGCACTAGACAGCAGCTTCAGCTAAATTTGAGCCTGGCCTGGCCACCGGAGCCAGTTTGTGTTCTCACTGGCCTTGTGGAATGAGTAAGAGTTTATCCCAGGATAAGCTAGGGCACTGGATCCTAACGTTGCCTTCAATACTGCCTAAGAGCACTCGAGAGGCTGAGGCAGGAGGATCACTGAATTCAAGCCCAGCTTGAACTATATAACAAGACCCTGGCTCAAAAACAAAACAAAACAAAATTAATTAATTTAATTAAAAATATACTACCCAAAAGTCACAGAGGTAATTCAGTGGCAGAGTCCCTGTATGGTAAGCCAGCGGCTCCAGGCTCAAATCTCCATCACCTTGGGAAGAGTAGGGGGTAAAATGCCAAATAAAGCTTTCCAAATTGAAAAGATTAATAAAATATCTGCTCATCACAACAAGGATGGTAATTCAGGAGGTTTGCAGGATGCAGAGAAATGGACCAGAGTGTAAACTTGTACAGGATTTTTACAAAGCCAGGCGTAGTGGTGCACACCTGTAATCACAGCACTCAGGAGGATGAGGCAGGGGGATTGTCAAGAATTCGAGGCCAGGGCTGGGGATTTAGCTCAGTGGTTTCGCTGCCTGCTGTGCAAGTGCAAGGACCTGAGTTCTATCCCCGGTATCAAAAAAAAAAAGAATTCAAGGCCAGCCTGGGCTTCAGTGAGTTCAAGGCAAGCCTGAACTACAGAGTGAGACCTTGTGACCAAAAAATAAAAATAGGGCTGGGTATGGTGGTACACCCACCCCTGCACTTCCAGCACTTGGGAGGCTGAGGCAGGAGTTTAAGGCCAGTCTGGGCTACATAGTGAAAGCCTATCTCCGGGAGAGGAACATACTGCATTTTATTGATATGGAAAGTGTCTATTTTAGGTGAAAAAGCACATTTCAGAATAATGTGAGCAGACACTTCTTTTGTGTGACCTCATGCCAGGTCTCTCTATTTTTTACCCCCCGGTACCGGGAATTGAACTCAGAACCTTGAGCTTGCCAGGCAGGCACGGCGCCACTGAGCTACATCCCCAACACCAGGTCTCTTCTGAACACCGCATGTGCAGCCTCTGCTAACCATTCCCTGACCGAGACACACACCCATTTCACAGGCCAGCGAATGGGGCTTAAAGAAGCGGTGTGCATCTCCCAAAGCCAGGCTGTCTGGCTTCCACGGCCCTGATAGACATTTGGGTAGCGCCTTGAAGATGAGAAAGGATTCCCTGAATGTCTCCTATGAGCCTCATAGTGGTCTCGGACCACTTCTCTGTTATGGATGAAAAACCAGAGGGCTCAAATCTGGCCTCTTCTCTGAGCTCATTGCTCTTTCATCTCGGCTTTCCCGGCAGCCCTGTCCACGGGCCTGGAAGACCCCGGGCTGGAGCAGGGCTCCCAGTCTGCGCCCTCACACACACAAACTCCCCACCAGTCACCGCGGCACCGGGCTCATCCTCTGCGCCTCGCAGCGCCCCCTTCTGTTCTCAGCTCGCCTCCCTGGCGCCGACTTACAGGGCGGGGACGCTGTCCACCCCGCAGAGAGAGCCCTGTGCTCCTGGTGGCCCAGGCCTGGGCAGAAAGCGGGAGCTGGCTGCTTCAGGGAAGTCTGGGAAGGGGGAACACAGCTGTGGCTTGCTGTGCCATGCAGGGCTGGCACGCACAGTCGCTGTGGACAGCGAGGATGGCCCAGGCCTGCAGGGTCAGGGTCTGTAGGCAGAGCCGAGTCCTGAAGGAGCCAGGGAGGCAGGGAGGGTGGCAAGCGCCTGAGCCAACAGATCTAAGGGGAAGGGGTGTGTTTTGCCTCTTGCGAATACTCACTGCTGGGTCAAGGTTCCTGGAATTCACAGTCTGCCTTGAATTCCCTATGTAGCCCAGGTTGGCCTCAAACTTGCAGCAATCCTCCTGTTTCAGCCTCCTGAGTGCTGGGATGATAGAACCGTGACTTTGTGTCTAGCTGGTTTAAATCGACGTTATTTTCAGTTCTAGAATTTCACTAAATAGAGGAAGTGTTGCAGATTACATTGGTTGTATAGAGGACTGAAACAAAGTGACAACAAAGAAAAAGCAGATGGGTTATTTCAGTTACTTTCCCTGTAAAGTGGGGACAGCAAACTGGAACTGCTGAGAAATAACGGATTGGTTAACATCGGGTTGCCTTGGATTGCCTGTGCTGTGTAAGGATGAAGCTAGAGGGTCCTTCATGCTTCCTGGTTTCATGACAAGTCATGGCTTGGCTTCTTGGGATCATGGGGAGCTTGAGCATGGGTGACTCTGTTTTGACTTTCATTCCGGGTAGCTGGAGCCCTGTGCAGTAGCTTAGCTCCAATGACGCCCTCCTGTAACTTTTCCTTAATATTTGAACATTTATTTTCAGTCCTTTCCAGTATAGCCCTGGGGTGAAATTGTTAAGCCATGGTCAGTCTTTGTTTCACTTTTTTAAGAACTACACTCTGTTTTCCATAGCTGATGAATCATTTTACATTCCCACCAGCAGCATACAAGGAATTTCAGCAACTTTTCCACGTGTTTAGCTACACTTTTGTTTGTTTTTGTTTTTTGAGACAGGGTCTCACTGTGCAGTTCAGGGTGGCCTTGAACTCACTAGGTAGCCCAGGCTGTCCTCTCATGGGGATCCTCCTGCCTCAGCCTCCCTCCTGATTACTGGCATTACAGGTGTATGCCACCACCGCCAGTGACCTCTGAGGACCTCTTATGTCCCAGGCACTGGCAGTAAGGCAGTGAACACATTCATCGCCAGCATACTAAGTCAAGACTTTTTAAAATCTCTCCTAGCCCTAGCTTCGTTTATGAAATTAAACCCAGGCCTGAATTCTCATGGGCAAACTCCCAAAGGACACCTTTAGGTGGGGCTGTGCTTGGTCTCTGATCCTCTGGGAGCTCCTACCTGGCTTCAGTCCCACCTTCTGGCCCAGGGCCCAGGTTTTACGATCCTGAACAAGTAGCTGATGAGTGTTTACTTTAGTACTTGGAGCTGAAACCAAGTGGGTCACTGGTCCTCCTGCTCTAACTCCTTCAGCTTCCTCCCTCCACATTCAAAACAAAAAATGTCTTTAAATCTTTCCAAATCCCCTTAAGAACACACCGAGAAGTTGCTCCCCTTTTTGGCCCAGGTGTCTGGGGCATGGGCAGGGAAGGCAAATCAGTGCTGGAGCTTTGGAAATGACTAAATACCCGGCTGGTTCCTGTGTTTATGAGCCAATTGCATCAATCGGAGTTTCGAGAACGCTTTCAGCTCTTTGTGGGAGCTGCCTGCTTCCTCCAGGGTTGGGATGTGGCCACGTGCAGGCTGGGGTTGGCACTGGGGTGGCACTGGCCTCTGCTTGGGCTGGCTGCTCACCGTCCCCATGAGCACTCAGCTTACCCACTGGGAAAATGGGCGTTCTCAATGCCCGCTGGCTTCTTTTCTTTTTTGGCACCGGGGATCAAACTTGGGACTTTGCCTTGCGAGGCAGGTGGCGGCACAACTGAGCTAAATCCCCCCCACTGGTTTATTTTCAGTATTTGATTTGTAGGTATCAGAGATCAGCCCTGCACCTCACTGAACGTGACGTAAAAGCGCTGGGCATCTCCTTTCGAGGGCTGGTCCTTCTGTGGCTGATGGGAGACATCCCACTCCTCAGGCACAGCTCCTTCTGCCTGTTGCTCTGGGGCCCTGGAGGTCACCATGTGGCCCAAATGGCACTAGTCTTTTCCTGCCAGTTACCTCTGCTTTATGACGTTCCCAGAGGGAGAGCCCGAGCCCAGGCACCCTGTGGAGCTGAGGGACTTTCCTCGTCTGCAGGTGCCCAGCGTCCTGCTGGCACTTGGTACCAGGCCAGTCTATCAGCCAATAAGAGCCTCCCACCTGCCTCTCCCAGGGCCGCCATCTGCCTCCATCTGCCTGTTCTGTCGAACTTCAGGCTGGGAGCAGAGAAAATGGCCCGCAGAGGAGCCCAGAAGCCTGATCCAAGCAGGGGCCATTGACTCTTCAGGAAGGACCCAGTGGCCTCTTCCTTAGGAGCCAGGGGACAGTGCCCCCACCCTGGCACAGCCTGGCTTATGACCCCTCTCCCCACAGTTCTGCAGAGACAGAGTACCACAGCCCCTCGCCTATTGGGGGCCTCAGCTACGTCCAGGGCCACACTCGAGTCCCTCTGATCAACCACACAGTGGGCCAGTGCCTGGACGCCACGGCGCAGAGGTTCCCCAACCGAGAGGCCTTGGTCATCCTCCACGAGGACATTAGGATGACCTTTGCCCAGCTTAAGGACCAGGTGGGTCCTGACCTTGAACCCTCGGCGTGGAGGGACTGGTTCCCGGGCTGCACTGGCTGGGTGCAGACGGAGAGGCGCACGTGACTCTGACTCTGGGGCTGCCCGAGGCCTCCAGAGCTGGCCGAAGGGTCGGGCCGAGGCAGAGGGGTGCCTCGGGAGCTCCTGGAGACTTGGCTTCACTGTAGACCTGCTCAGCCCTGTCCCTTTATCCCTGGTGATTCTGACGTGGGGCAAGGACTGGGGGTGGGAGTCGGGGTCCCTTCCTGTTTGCCTTGTGTCATTGTGCCCCATCTATTTGCACCAGGTGGACAAAGCTGCTTCTGGTCTGCTGAGCACTGGCCTCTGTAAAGGTGACCGCCTGGGCATGTGGGGACCCAACTCCTATGGCTGGGTGCTCATGCAGCTGGCCACTGCCCAGGCGGGCATCGTTCTGGTGAGGAGGGGTCTGCCTGGCACTGGGGGGCTGTGGGGGAGATGTCACTCAAGCGGAGCTCCAGGCTCCTTGGCTCCAAACCACACTGTGCCTGGCTGCTTTCAGACCCAGCAGTTCTTTCTCCTAAAGGGCCACCAAGTAGCTGGGGGTGGGGGGTGGGGGTCCTGCCTTGTGTCTTCTGAAAGCAGAGGGTGGAGTGTCTGCTCAGGACACTGAGGTACCCTTACTGTCTCCCCAGGTGTCTGTGAACCCAGCCTACCAGGCTATGGAGCTGGAGTATGTCCTCAAAAAGGTAGGAGGCATTCCTGCTGGGGGAGCAGTGTCTTCCGGCTGTTACAGAAGCTGACCAGGTTGGGGAAGGCATGCTGGGCGACACCACAGAGACAGTGTGGCTGGGACGAGGCCTCCACTCCACGGAGGGGTGGAGCTCACCCAAGGCTGGCGTGGACACTGGGAGTGTCAGGGTGGTAATGGCCACGTGTGTGTCTGTCTTGCAGTAGGGCAGGGTGTGCGTGTCAGGGGAACCTCGCATGTTCGGGAGAGATAGTGAGGACTCCCAGAGGCCCAGCTTGGGTCTTCCTGCTGACCACAGCTAGGGGGGCTCCCCTTCCACAGGTGGGCTGCAAAGCTCTCGCGTTCCCCAAGCAATTCAAGACCCAGGAATACTACAACATCCTGAAGCAGATCTGCCCGGAGCTGGACAAGGCCCAGCCGGGTGCCCTGAAGAGTAAGAGGTGGGTGTGTCCTGGACTTGGAACAGGCGGCTGGATCCCCTGGCAATCTCAGGATGCGTCCAGCCTCTCCCTGAGCCCTCCCTCAGACCCTGGCTCTCCCCAGGCTCCCGGATCTGACCACAGTCATCTCGCTGGACACTCCTCTGCCCGGTACCCTGCTGCTGGATGAGGTGGTGGCGACAGGCAGCACAGAGCAGCACCTGGCCCAGCTGCAGCACACCCAGCAGTCCCTGTCCTGCTATGACCCCATCAACATCCAGTTCACCTCGGTAGGGCACAGGTCTCCAGGCCCATGCCCAGCTGGCACCTGGTTCCCGCCCCTGTGCCCCTTCCATGGGGCTGGGACAGGAGAGCACCCTCTGGCAAACAGCAGCCTGTGTCCCCAGCCTACCCTCCGGGACCTGCCCACTCCCCTGCTCCCTTCCCAGTCCCGAGCTCCTCTGGGCAGTGGCCAAGGATGGGAAGGAAGCCAAGCTGTCACCTGCTTCTCTTCTCAGGGGACGACAGGCAGCCCCAAGGGGGCCACCCTCTCCCATCACAATATTGTGAACAACTCCAACCTGATCGGCCATCGCCTGCGCATGCCCCTGAAGGTGAGCTGCTCGCAGGACTTCCAGACAACTGACCTCACCTGGGTGGGGTGGCTTTGTTGGGCGCCTCCTGCTGGCCAGAGGACTCCATGACAGACCTGGCCTCCTGTCTCCATCTCTAGCCGCCACAGGAGTTGCGGCTGGTCCTGCCCAGCCCCCTGTACCACTGCCTGGGCTCTGTGGGGGGCACAATGGTGTGTATGCTGCATGGTTCCACTCTCCTCCTGTCCTCTCCAAGCTTCAGTGGCAAGAAGGCGCTGGAAGCCATCAGCAGAGAGAAGTGGGCATGGGTGGACAGGCTACCTGTGGGCTGATGAGACCTCCTACTCCTCTGTCCTGGGCCCTGACCCCTTCCCAAGATGTGGTCCCCCCAGCCTGGAGACCTAGGACCGGGTAGTAGGGGAGTCCCAGGAGTCCTGCCTTGAGCTTCTGCCTGTTCCCCTCAGCTTTGGCCTTCACAGTGGGGCAAGGTGGGAGGGAGTGGGACTTCCTTCACCTCCAAGCCTAATGTGGAGACCACCCCCCCTTTACACAGAGGCTCCATTCTGTACGGCACCCCCACGATGTTCGTGGATATCCTGAACCAGCCAGACTTCTCCAGTTACGACCTCTCATCCATACGTGGAGGTGGGATGGGGCCAACAATGGTCAGGGGTGGGGGACGAACAGGAAGGGCACTATAGAAATGTGGACGGGAGCTGGGCACAGTGGCACACACCGATGATCCCAGCGCTCTGGGAGGCTGAGGCAGGAGAATCATAAGTTCAAGTCCAATGGAGCAACTTAGGGATTTAGTGTGACCCTCTTTCAAAAAAAAAAATTCTTTTTTAAAGGGATGGAGATGTAGCTCCTTGCCAAGGCCCTGAGTTCCATTCTTAGTGTTGCAAAAATAAATACATAAATAAAAAGACAGGTGAGAAGGAGGCAAAGCCCCAGCGTCCCTGGACACCAAGCCAAGGCCAGCGTGGGGTACAGAACAGGCCCAGGGTCAGGAGAGAGAAGGGAATGTTTTCCCCTTGAATGAGTGGTGAAAGGGATCTATCTGCTGGGCCTGTGGAAGGAAGCGGGGGGCCGAGTCAGCTTCTCTCTGATCCAGGTGTGATCGCGGGCTCCCCTGCACCCCCAGAGCTGATCCGAGCCATCGTCAACAAGATGAATATGAAGGAGCTGGCGGTGAGTGGTGGCCGGAGCCCGGCTAAGGGCAGGAGAAGGAGAATGACAGTGACTGCAGGTGGCCCTCTCTGGGGAAAGCAGAGGCGGGAGACATCTGACCTCCCCAGCACCTGGCAAGGCCTAGAGAGAGGGGACGGGGGAGTTGATGTTATACAGACATAAATTTATTTTTATAGAAATCTGGGGCAGAAACGCAGTATGGAAGGCTATGCGGCGAAGCCCTGATGTCCTGTTAGACGTCCTGGCGGGCGGGGGCCGGTGGAGTTGGGCTGGGACAGGGTCTGATGTTTGTCTCCAAATGGTAGGGGAGGGGAGCGTGAGTCCGAGGATCACCTCACTCTCAGTCTGGGGTCAGCAAAAGGCTTCTCTGAGAGGAGCCCGGGCGGGGCTGGGCGGGATGGCTGGTGGGGGCAGCGGTCTGTGACCTCTCTGGGCCCATCAGGCGGCCTTCCAGGACGTGGTGGCAGAGGCTGAGGGAGGCGGTGGGAGTGGCGGTGGGAGGTCAGTAGTTTCTCCAGCAGAAGGCAGAGGCCGGTCACCAGGACTGGCCGGGTCGGAACCTGCAGGGAGGCAGGGATGGCTGTCAGGAGCCCAGTGGCCCACACGGAGCTGGAGGGCATGGTGAATCCTGGGCTGGGTGGTCCCCTCCTCTCCCTGTGAAATCGAGGCTCTGCCTGCCCGGCTCCCACCTGTTCAATGACGACCAGCTTTCTTGGACCTCTTGGTGGGGGACTTGCAGCTTCGGAAGGCATCTGTGTCACGGATGTGCTGGCCCCTGAACTTGGCAGGTGACGTGCAGGTGGCATCCGGGCGAGAAGTCTTGGCCTCCAGCCACCTGGAGAGACAGAGAGTTGCTGGGTGGGAAAATGTGTGGCAGTGCCAGTGGCAGGGAGGGGATGGGAGCCTCAGGCCGGGATAGACTTGAACCTGTGTCTCCCCCCGCCCATCAGTAGCTGATTGAACCCAGGGCCTTAGCTCTGAGCCACATCCCCAGCCCCCCCCCCCACCCTTTTTTTGGAGACAGGTTCTCCCTAAGTCACTAAGTTGGGCTGGGCTCCAATTTGCAATCCTCCTGCCCCAGCCTAGCAGAGTGCTGGGATTATAGACTTGCATCAGCACACCCGGCTTCATCTTCATTATAAAAACAGGGAAACTGACGCTCCCATGCCTATTAGTAGGTCTAGGATGTCCACCCAGGAAGTCTTAGTGCAGGGCCATCAAACAGGGATGCATGTGGCATGACTTGGGGCATTCTCACCGCCGAAGGCCCCGGAGCTGGCAGGTGCACTTCCAGGGGTTGCTGGTGAGGGTGAGGGTCTCCAGGTTGTCAAAGGGGAAGGTGGGGGGCAGCTGATTCAGGCGGTTGTTCTCCAGATGGACATGTTTCAGCGTGGTCACACCCAGGAAGGCACTGTCTGAGAACTGGGGAGGCGAGGGGGGCAGGAGTGAGCGTCCAGCCCCAGGCCCAGCCTCTCCCAGCTGTCCCTCAGAGGCAGGGTCTTTCCCTGGACAGAGCACTAGCACCTGGGCAGTTGCAGTCCCCCCCCACTTTTGAGACAGGGTCATGCTATGTAGTCCAGGCTGGCCTCGAACTACTAGTGATCCTCTTACCTCAGCCTCCCGAATGCTGGGATGATAAGCACGTGCCACCAAGCCTGGCTTGCAGTTGCAGTTTCAAAGCAGAAAGCTGCTTTGGCCAAGCTGTCTGGATGATCTAATCCCTGCAACCCCCTTGGAGATAGGTGTTTCCAATGTGCGGATGGCAAAATGGAAAAAGTGCTGTCCCTTGGCCAGGAGCACACTAGGGAGTCAACAGTAGCTGCTAGACCACACCCCACGCCCTGCACAAACACTGGACCTGGGGATGCAGCCAGAGTTTGGCCCCAGAAGCCCAGGCTGGCACACGGTGAACCTGGGCAGTGTTTGGCGGGGTGGGCAGTGGGCCCAGGGTCCCGGGACTTCCCCCAGCTCTGTCCTCAGTGCCTCTTTTTTTTTGGTATTGGGGCCGGGGGTGGGCATCGAACCCGGGTCCTTTCGCTTGCGCAGCAGGCGGCGAAACCGCTGAGCTAAATCCCTGGCCCTCTCAGTGCCTCCTTGATGCCTGCCAGACTCTATTTGTGGAGCCACCTTGGTGGACTTCAGCCAGGTCAGTGGCTCCAGAGGAAATGTCCTATTGGTGCCCATGTCTTGGCCCTGGCACTGCATTTTCTGTCTGGCCTCCCTTGCCCCAAACCAGCCACAGGCTGTTCTGCCCATCAGACCGCTCCTGCCCTGGTGGGCACGGGGGCTGCCTCTTATAGCTGGGGCGGGGCCTGGACAGGCTGTCCCCTCCAAGGCTGGCTGCTGCCATGGGGATCTATCTGCCCTTGTTTCTGGGTCGAGGTGCCCTCTCCTGCAGCCTGGGTTGGGGTGTGACATTCTCTCTGAGACAGGGTCTCGCTGCATAGTTCATCCTGGCCTCGAACTCACTGTGGGCCCCAGGCTGCCCTCAAATTCAGGGTGATCCTCCTGCCTCGGCCTCCTGAGTGTTGGGATGACAGGCGTGTGCCGCCATGCCCGGCTGGGGTGTGACATTCTTTAGTAACCAGACTGTCCTGATCCCTCTCCAACCCGGCCGAAGCCCCTGTGCGAGGGTGATTTTCCAGTCTCATCCAGTGTGGCCCCGCATGAGCATCTTGGGGTTCGCAGGGCAGAGGATGAGGGAGGTACACAGAGGACACAGGTCTGATGACAGGGTGGGAGAGAGGAGCCAGCAGTCTGGGGGACAGTGAGGGGAACCCAGGGTCATGTGGCAAGGGTTAACAATGGCATGCTCGCCTTTGCTCTTGCATGGAGCACTTGGGTACCGTGTCTGCAGCCTTTGGCCCCTGTGCCTTGATTTCCCCACGAAGTTGGAAGGCACCTGAGGATGCAGAGTATTACGTGTGTGGTGGACCGGTGGGAGCTAGGGGCGGAGCAGCACAACTGCCAGGCCTCTGGGCTGAGGAGCTCTTCCTGGGGTATCTGTTCTCCCTCTCGCCTGGCTCCCGGTCCACCTTAGCTCACAGGCTGGCCCCCACTAGAAACAGGGTCCCTTTGTGGGCCTGATTTTCCCAGCTCCTTAGCAAACAAACCTCCCTTTATGGGGCGCTGGGTGTACTGGAGACTGGGCGGAGCCCAGAGGAGGGGTGGAAGGCTCCACCAGAAGAGGTGGCTGGCACTCTAGGTGGGGTTTGAGAGCTTGAGGGGATGGATGCCTCCTAAGGGGCCATTTGTGGGGCCAGGGCAGCTCCCACTTTTCCCAGGAGGATTCAGCTGGCTGAGACAAGAAAGCTGGACAGGGATTAGGATGCTGGGGGATGGGGTGAGTGACAGGACACGGGGTGGGCAGAGATCTAAGCCACAGGGAATCGGAGGGCACAGCACAGTGCCCAGCTGGCTCCTGGCCCCCAGGCCTCCAGGCAGGGCGCAGGGAGCCAGGCCAGAGCTCTGCCATCGGGCACTCACCTTCTCCAGGCTGGTGTTGTCCAGCCACAGGGTCTCCAGGTAGCGGCCGAAGGACTGGAAGGCGTTGTCGGGAATGCTCTTCAGCGGGTTGTGTGACAGCTTCAGCTCTTCCACCACGCGCAGCTTGCTCAGGGTGGCAGCTGGGTAGCTGGACAGCTGATTCCTGTCCAGGTAGAACTTGGCCAGGTTCTCCACGTCGTCCAGGGCTCCGGGCTGCAGGGAGCTGAGTGCATTTTCTGACAGGTAGAGCCAGCGCAGGTCCTTGGCACCCTGGAAGGCGCCTGCCCGCAGCTCTCGGATCTTGTTGTTGTTGAGCTGCAGGATGAAGAGGTTAACCAGAGGGGACAGCAGCCCTCGGGGGAGCTCGGTCACTTTGTTGTGGTCCAGGTAGAGGTAGGTGAGCTCCGTCAGGTCGTCGAAGGCGCCAGGGCGCAGCACGCGGATGTCGTTGTGGGACAGGTACAGATAGATGAGCTGCTTGAGACCCCGGAAGGCACCAGCGGCCACCTCTCGGATCTGGCAGTGCTGCAGGTGCAGCGACACCAGGTTCGGCATGGTGCGGAACGAGTTGGCAGCCAGCACCGGGAAGTTGTTGTGCTGCAAGTTGAGCAGCTTGGTCTTCTCAGACACCTTGGGGATCTTCTGCAGCCCCACCTTGTCACAGATGACGTGCTGCAGGTCACTGTGGCAGTGGCAGTTCTGGGGGCAGGCGGCCAGCGCCGGCAGCAGGCCGGCCAGGAGGCTGATGCTGAGCAGGAGCGTCGCACGGGCCATGGCCGGGATGCCTGGATGCCGGGCTGGAGGCAGCAGGAAGTTGTCGGCGGCACTTGAGTCTCCCGCCCTATATATTCTCCTGCCCTATTTATACGGCAGCCCTGACCACAGCTGGCAGCCTAGCCAGCTACTACGTGGAGCAGCGAGGCCACCGGACTTAACCCCCTCACGCCCAGAGGTGCATCCTGTCCTTGATGGCCAGGGGTGTGGGGGGCCCTTCCTGCAGGTGGCCACCATGCTGGGGGACCTGGGGCCTTCTTCCAGCCTTGCTTCTTGCTTCCTCCTCTGGGATGCAGCTGCTTCTCAGCACTCTTCCTTGACTGTTTTTAGGGGAAGAGGGAATAGTGGGTGAGGGAGTCCCGAGTTTGCACCAGAGAGAGGGAGGCGTTCCCAGAACTTATTTGTTTGCTTAAGTCTGAGTCTCTACCCCCTCCCACTGGCGGGGTGACCCGACCAGGAGGGAGGAAGCATGGCTGGACAGCCGGATGCATCTCCTGCCATCTGTCGGCCCTTTAATGGGGCTCTTGTGCGCTCTGGCATCTGGCTCCCCCTTCTGGCTCATACTCCAGAGCCCACCCTAAGGAGATGGGAGCACCTTCCCCAGCCTGGGCTCACTCACCTCTGACCCCTCTCCTCCCCCTAGGTGTGTGATTCTGTCCCCTGCACCCCACCTCCTTCTCCTAGGGCTGAAATGGAAGAATGAGGGGAGTGACCCACAAGACTGGCAAATGCACCTGGAGACCACAAGCCACTGACCAATTCCAGTGGCAACACTGCCCTCCCTAATCTCCCCAAAATATCCCCAACCCCTCACCACCCCCTCGCGGTCAGGTTCCGCCCCGGGGGGTCTCAGGGTGGCGGCCTAGTGGCGCCGAGGTGTACTTGGCAGAGCCCACACCTGGGCAGTGGCCCGGGGACTGTGAGGACAGGCGAAGGGGCTGGATCCAGGTTGCCAGGCGCTAGGTCATGGGCAGCCTTACCCCCGGGCACCAGGTCCCTGTGCCCACTTGCCAGCCATCCAGTCCCGATTCCTGAGCACGGGACGACAGAGAGCAGGCAGGTCACTGGTCTGGCCCTAGGGTGAGCCCTGGGCCACCTGGAAAAGGGGGTGTCTATTGGGAGGAGGGATACAGGGAGAAGAGGAAATGGGCAAAGATCTGTTGGAATCAGGGGCACCACCCCCTCTGCCCATGCACCGCGCCCAGTGTGGGGCTTGGTCTTTCTCCCAAGCCCCTTCCCCTGCTTGCCTCGGGAATTGGGGGTCCCCCTCGGCTCAGCATTCCCTGATGGTTTTAGATTGGCTTTTGGTTTTTCTGTTGTTCAGGATGTTCCAACCACTAAAAAAAGAACGGGGGGGGGGGGATGCCACAAGCGGTTTAGATTCCTGCTCTGGCTATATTTTTATTTCGTTGGAAATAAATTTACCAGAACCTCTCCAGAGTTGGGGGGTCACCCAGCCCAAGGTCAGGCACTTGTCCTGGGTCTCGGCGAGGGTGTTGTGTCTGGGACAGACTGGCTTTCCCATCAAGTTTATGGGGCCTTTGGCTTGGAAGGGGAGATGATGTTGTGACTTGAAATCGGGAAAGTGGAGCAGCTTGAGGGTGGGGGAGCACGGGAGCCACAGGCAGACGTGTGGCTGTCTAGGGACAGAATGGCTTCCCTGCTGTCAGTTTTATGACCTATCTGGGGTCCCCTAATCGATCTGAGGGGGCGCTCTGCCTCCTGACCCCTGCCACTCCCCATCCCTCTGCAGTCCACGCACTCCCCCCAGACACCATTTCTGGGCTCCCTAGGTTGCTTATGGAACCACGGAGAACAGTCCTGTGACCTTCATGAACTTCCCTGAGGACAGCCTGGAGCAGAAGGCCGAAAGTGTGGGCAGGGTCATGCCGCACACGGAGGTGAGCCTGGGCGAGGACCCCCAGAACCCTGCTCTCGCCCCTGGGGCATCTGCTGCTCTCTCTTAGAGATGCACACAGCCCGGAGATGCCAGAGCCCCGCCGCAGGGTTCCGCTGGGGCTGGCCAGGCTCTGTCTGTCCTGCAGCTCGGGAGGGGAAGAGCTGGGACAGCAGCCCTGAGCAGCTGCCAGCTGAGCTCTCCGCAGCTCCCTTCCTGTCTGAGGTGTGTTTTTGCCAAGCCCACTGTCTGTTTCGGGGCAGCCAGGGTAGCCTCAGAGAGGAGCCTGGGTACAGATTTTTCCTCCACAGCTCTTTCTTCCCCATGGGCCCCTCCTTCTCGCTCTAGCAGAGTTCTGCCTGGGCCTGGGCATAAACACTTGTTTTCCCTACATCCTGTCCTTTGGGGGTCCTGTGTACCTTACCCCAGAGCACATCTCGAAGTCCAGCTTCCAGTCCAGACTCCTTTCCCACTTCAACACGGGCACTTTCTGCCAGGTGGCCCAAGTTCCCCTGGCCCTGGCTGGGTGCCCACACTTAGGTCTAACAGCCACCTGCCACCCTCCCTGGCATGCCCCTCACTGGAAGGCAGACAGGTAGGCTTAGTTGTACCCATTCCCCAGGTCAGACACCGAGGCACAGAGTCTCAGCACCGCTTGGCACTGGGCTCTCAGACTCTGGCCCCCGTTCACATGGTACTGCCATACCCCACCCTCTCTGGCTTCTCTGTTTGCTGCTTAAGGAAAGGGAGAGTAGATGCCCTCCCTTCTGCTGCTGGCCTGGCCCCGCGCAGGCCTCCTTCTCTGTGACAGCTCCCTGCCCACTGTGTCCTCAGCACCCCCTGCCCAGGGCTCCACTGGGCTTTCGTGCCTAGCTCTAGTCGGTGCCTGCTGGTGAGCCCACTCCCTTGCCTGAGCCCGATGGGCAGAGCCGGGCCCTCCTTAGTGGGGAGAGAGGCAAAGGACCCCCATTCCCGAGCGCTGCCCGGCCTGAAGCTGCCCTGTCCCAGGCCCAGATCGTGAGCATGGAGACCGGGGAGCTGGCAGCGCTGAACACACCGGGGGAGCTGTGCATCCGCGGCTACTGCATCATGCAGGGCTACTGGGGCGAGCCGGACAAGACCTCCGAGGTGGTCGGGCAAGACAAGTGGTACCGCACAGGGTGAGCCGGGGGCTGGGCTCGGCTGCTGCTGTAGCAGAGGGGGAGTCCGAGGCTGAGCTGAGCCTTAAACTAGCACAGGTGGGTGGGCTGCTGAGAGGGCCCCGCCCATCCCAAGGACTTAATTTCCAAAAATGTGAACAGTGTGGGGAACCACAACAAGCACTAAGGCAGGATGTGAGGACAGGGCGCCACCCCTACACCCCAAGATCGGAGCCAGGTTCCAGCCTCTCATTGGCTCGCTCAGCATGTTCCCATGACATCCCCGTTTGCCAGCACTGTCCCCGGCCTGGGCACCCAGTGGGAAGCAACATGACTTCCCACTGGTCTGGGAAAGGCAGACAGATAATTTCTTTTTTTATTTTTCTTTTTTTGAGGGGCGAGGGATGGTTTGAGACAGGGTCTTGCTATGCAGTCTAGGCTGGCCTTGAATTGGAGTCCTCCTGCCTCAGCCTTCCAAGAGATGGGATTATACATGTGAACCATCACAACTGGAAGAAAGCCAGATAATTTCACATATCAAAACATTAAAAGGAGCTGGGTGTGGTGGCACACACCTGTAAGCCCAGCACTTGGGAGGCTGAGGGAGAGGATTGCTATGAGTTTGAGGCCAGCCTGGACTAGATAGCGAGACCCTATCTCAAAATAAATAAATAAACAAACAAACAAATAAATAAGGGCCAGGGATTTAGCTCAGTGGCACCGTGCCTGCCTTGCAAGTGCAAGGTCCTAAGTTCGATGCCCGGAACCGCAAAATACATACATACATACATACATACATACATAAATAAATAAATAAAAATTAAAAGAGCTGGTGTGGTGGGACATCTCTGTAAACTCAGCACATGGGAGGCTGAGCAGGGTAGGCCGGCAATGGTGGTGCATGACTGTATCCCAGCCGTCGGGAGGCTGAGACAGGAGGATCACCATGAGTTCCAGACCAGCCTGGGTTCCGTTCCGTAGTGAGTTCAAGGCCAGCCTGATCTACATAGCGAGACCCTGTCTCAAAATATAAAACAAAACAAAAAAATTAAAAGCTGGGTGTAGGGCCACATACCTATAACCTCAGCACTCTGGGAGGCTGAGGCAGAAGGATCGAAGTTGAAGCCTGGTCTTAGAGACTTAACAAGACCCTGTCTCAAAATAAAAAATAACAAGGGCTGGGGATGTAGCTTACTGTGAAGACTTTGGGTTCAATCCCTAGTACTGAAAAAAACCATACACACTCAAGGGTATTATGGGAGAAAAAGTAGCTTTGGTAGTAGAGGGCTCGGGAAAGCTTTCTGTAGACTGAGTGGTCAGAGAAGGTCTCTGGAAATATTTAGCTAAGAGCTGATGATAAAAAAGAAGCAGACCAGGCATGGTGGCGCTTGTCTGTCATCCCTGCACTAAGGAGGCTGAGGCAGGAGGATCACTGAGAGTTTGAGGACAGCCTGGGCTCCACAGTAAATTCAAGTCCAGCCTGGATTATATGGCAAGACCCTGTCTCAACAAACAAACAAAAAAGAACCAGACAAGAAATAATATTATAGATACAGAAAGGGGGGTGGGGAGACAGACAGACAGAGACAGACAGACAGAGAGAGGCATGTGATAGGGACTGTCCTGGCTTGCTTTTCTCTGTCTGCTCATCTGGACTGTAAAGTCCAGGGGCTGTGTCTCGTTCTTGCTGTGTATCCCAGAGTCTAGAGCACAGAGGGACATGTATGTAGTAGGTGCTCAATAAATGTTAGCACAATCGAGGAAATGAACCAGCAGATGAAGCAGAGGCAGAGAGAGGCCATTCCCAGGCTTTCCCTACAGAGACATCGCCACCATGGATGAGGAGGGCTTCTGCAGGATCGTGGGGCGCTCGAAGGACATGATCATCCGGGGCGGTGAGAACATCTACCCTGCGGAGCTGGAGGACTTCTTCCACAAGCACCCGCAGGTGCAGGAGGTGCAGGTGAGGCACTGGCCGGGCAGCAGCCTGGGCAGGACCCCAAAATAGGAAGTGCTGGGAGACCATGGTGTCTGATGCTCATCTTTGCCCCTGGAAGGTGGTGGGAGTAAAGGACCAGAGGATGGGTGAGGAGATCTGTGCGTGCATCCGGCTGAAGAGTGGGGAGACCACCACGGAGGAGGAGATCAAAGCTTTCTGCAAAGGGAAGGTGGGTGAGCAGCTCTGCCCTGGGGAGCCTGATTCCCCACCTCCACCTTCAGACCTTGCATGGCCTCATGCGTTACCTGTCTGCCCTGCAGATCTCCCACTTCAAGATTCCCCGCTACATCGTGTTTGTCACCGACTACCCCCTCACCATCTCAGGAAAGGTGCGTCAGGGACCCAGGTGCCCCACTTCAGCCTCGCTCAACGATGAGCAGGAGACACTGGCTGGGAATAGGGTGACCAACCAGTCACCTCATCCTGGTTTACCCTGGATGTTTTGTTTGTTTTTTTGAGACAGGGTCTCGCTGTGCAGTTCAGGCTGGCCTTGAACTCACTGTGTAGCCCAGGCTGGCCTTGAACTCATGGCAATCCTCCTGCCTCAGCCTCATAACGGCTGGGATACAGTCATGCACCACCTTTGCTGGCCTACCCTGGACTGTTTTTTTTTGGTGCTGGGGATCAAACTTGGGACCTTGCACTTGGAAGGCAGGCAGCAGAACCACTGAGCCAAATCCCCGGCCCTACCCTGGACTTTTTTGATCTTAACACTAAAAGCCTAAGAAATCCCCCTGCCTCCGGACCTAGACACACTGCCATGTCTGGGCGCCCACTGTGCTCGGCCCCAGCCTCATTGTCCTTGTCCTTCATCTAGGTCCAGAAATTCAAACTCCGAGAGCGGATGGAAGAGCACCTGAAACTGTGAATCAGAGAAGGGGTCCATCCGGGCCCGACTCGTCCCTCCCATGTCCCCGGGTCTTGGTGCCTGGGCACAGATCCGTGTGCCTGAGCTCTGCTGGCGTGCTCTGTCGGTAGCTGGCAGGGTAGAGGGGGAAGAGACCCGTGTGATTGTGCACGAGTTCTTTGCCGTGCATTGGCCACTTAATGTGACCCTTGCCTCATCCCTTTGAGTTTCCACCTCACTTTTTTCTTTTGTAGACTTTCCTTACTTAATTCTTTCCCCTACTCTTGCCAGATTAGTCCAGCAGGAAACATTCTTTTTAAAAATAACAGCTTCATTGAGATATAATTCACATACTACCCAATTCGCCCATTTTTAAACTTGTTTTTTAGGCAGGGTCTTATGAAGTTGTCTAGGCTGGCTTTGAACTTGAGATCCTCTTGCCTCAGCTTCCTGAGTAGCTAGGGTTACAGGCATGCATCAATGGACTGGCTCACCTTACCCATTTAAAGTATCCAATTTTTCAGTGGTTTTTAGTATATTCATATATATAGCCAAAGCCAATTTCAAACATTTTTATCACTTCAAAAAGAAACCCTAAACCCTCTAATTATCACCACCCTTCCTCCCCAATCAGCCCAATTTTTATTGTCTTCTATTTTACTTTTTTTGGTACTGGGGATCGAACTTGGGTTCTTGCGCTTGCGCAGCAGGCAGCAAAACCACTGAGCTAAATCCCTGGCCCTCTATTTTACTTTTTGATCATTAAATCTAGGGCTTCCCTACAGATAAATCAGGCTATACCTTGACTCAAGAAATAAAAAACAGCTGGCTTTCACGAGGTGTGAGTATTGTCACTCCGTGCCAACCTCCAAAATGACAAGCTTTGCAGAAGAGAAAGTAGATTTATGAGGCACCTAAGCATGGTAGCAGCTGCTTAGTGGATTAAAGAAAAAGCTTCCCTCACAATGGAAACTCTGTCCCTCAGATCTGGATTTGTTTTCTCACTTCTTGCCTGAGTAACCTGGACAGTCCCCCATCCCCAGCATTCCCCAGGGCCTGGAGTCCGTGGCCATAACTGGCAGCATGAATCGGCCATAACAAAACCCACATGTAGATCAACAGAAGTTTGTTTGTTTTTTTAATCACTTCTGTGTTTAGATTCACAGGGTTGGAGTACTCACTGGCCTTCACAAAAACAAACAATCTCATACCGGCCACCTGCGAACCGTATCCCTTCTCTAGAGAAACTGCATAAAAGGCTTCAGCTTCCTCCCAAAGGGTGGATTGAAGAAGGGGGTGATTTAGGGTCAGGACATGGTGATTAGAGGCAGATGTGTAATCAACCTCCCTGCCTCACTGGGCGTTTTGGAGAAGGGTGGCCTCTGTGTGATCTGGGGTGGCATTTTGTTGGGCACCTGATACCAAAAGTTCACCCAGCTGACACTGGCCCAGGCCCAAGTACTTTTCAGGTCCCTGAAAAGTAACCCTCAGTGACTGTTAGCAGCATGACCACAGGTCAGAGATGTCACTACAGCAGAGCTAGGAGGGGACTAATAACGTATTGCTCAGCCACATGCACTCGGTTTAGTGATGGGGCTGAGGTTTTGCTGTGTTGGCCAGGGTAGTATCAAACTCCTGGGTCCGCGCATTCCTGCATCAACAGCCCAAGAAGGACTGTAGGAATGTGGCACCATGCTGCTTCAAAATTGGCGATTTTAAAAGTCCACCAGGTGGGCGTGGTGACACACGCCTGTGATCCCAGCATTCGAGAAGCTGAGGCTGGAGGACTTCTGAGAGTTCAAGGCCAGGCTGAACTACAGAGCGAGAATTTGTCTCCAGACAAAGCAAGAAACTAAAAGCAAGCAAGGCAAGAGGGTTTATCAGGTTTTCCCTCAGTTTCTGTTCCCAGTTGGAAGAGAGGAACTCTCCTCCTGCCTGCAGCCCTTACTATTACCAATTTTGACCCAAACCGGTCCTTCTTCTCTCTGAGAATCATAGGTTGATAAACGAGATCAAGGACTGATCAAGCAGTGAAGGAAGCTTCATTCTTGGCACTGCCCCACTTCAAGGAAGATGTGGCCAAAGTCACACAGCTGGGATTAGACATGCCTGTCATCCAGCTGCTTGGAGGCTGAGATGGGTTTGGCCTGGTTATCAGCCTGAGACCCGGGAGACAGGAACCTACACACACAGCCAGTGTATTATTACAGATAAGCAGCCAGGGATAGCAGGAGCCCAGGATTTATTTTGAGCCTGTCCTCCAAAGCTGCCCGGTGTGGATGGAGCCTCATCTGTGTGTGCCCCACTTACTCTGCAGCTGAAGGGCCTTGGAAACCAGCCCGCCCTTGGAAAACAGTGCATCTCGGGACCATGTGACCTGTAGGGCTCACACTGAAGGGCACATTGTATCCAGGGGTGATTGGGACAGAGCCTGACTGTCCCAGCCAGTTCCTCCTTACCTCAAGATGTTGTACTTCAGCACATTCTACAGTTATTCTTCAGAGTCACAAGACAGAAAGGGGGGCGAGAACCGGGACTGTCCCAGGCCACCTGGTAAGCTGTCCCACACTGGCAGACTCCAAAGCCCAGGATCTTTAACTCTGTGTGTCTGTGTGAGTTACTGGGGATTGAATCCAGGGCCTTCACGTTGAGCACACCTCTGCCCTTTTTATTATTTTTTATTTTGAGACAGGGTCTTGCTATGTAGCCCAGGCTGGCTTTGAACTTGCAATCCTCCTGCCTCAGCTTCCCAAGTGCTAGGATTACAGGTGTGCATACCATGCTGGCTAACTCCTCTACTGTTTTTGAAATAGGGCCTTGTTGTGTAGCCCAGACTGGCTTTAAACTTGGCAATCCTCCTGCATCAGCTTCCTGAGTAGCTGGGATTACGGGGACACACTGCAGCCCATGAATTTTCCACTCTGGGGGACAGCTCTTCAGGGGCCACTTTCCCAGCACTTTTCATGCACCTCGCCTTTCCTGCACACACCAACTCTGACTCCTCCCAGTATGTGTCTGGGTTGGCCTGGCTTGGAAATCTCAGTCAATTCCCCTTGGAATTTTCCATTCCTTCTAGATCCAGCCCCAAACCAGGCATCGTGGTGTGTCCCTGTAATTCAATACTCAGGGAGACGGAGGCAGGGGGATCACAAGTTTGGGCCCAGTGTGGGCAACTTAACAAGACACTGTCTCAAAATAAATAAATAATAAAAAGGACTGGTTTGTAGCTCAGTGTGAAGGCCCTGGGTTCAATCCCCATTATGCAAAAATGAATGAATGAATGGATAAAAATGAAATATAAAATCCAGCCCATGAATTCCTCACCCTCAACACGGCTCTTGGAAGAGACCACCTCCCAGCCCTGGCCACCCAGGAGGCTTTGAATTACCGTGTTGTCTGCCTGCCCTGACTTGTTGGTTTGCCTCTGGGCTATCAGACTGTGTCCGGATCTGATACACTTCGTTGTCCCCGGAGCCCAACTCTGAGCCAGCCAGAGAATGCGAAGGAAGTAAATGCACTAAGAGCTCCTGGCCGAACGGGCCCTGGCGCAGGGTGCCCAAGCCCGGCCCTGCAGCAGCCCAAGTCCTAGGGAAGTCCAGACTGCGGCTGCGGTGAGCGCACCGGCGTCCGCGTCCGCCAGGTGGCGCCGCAGACCGGAGCTCCGGGTCGCTCTCTCTCCCGCCTCCTCTCTTCCTTCCGCCGGGGATCTGCGCGGCCCGCTCTGTATGCACCGTGGGCCCCGGGGCGCGGATCGGCTCGGAACCCTGCCTGGCTGGGCGCGATGGTCCTCCCCCGGGCCCGCGGCCTGGTGGCAGTTGCCAGGGCTGCCCAGGGGCGCCGCCGCGTGGACAGCGCGGAGGGGTGCCCGAGTCCCGAGCCCGCAAGCAGGCGCGCGGCGCTTTACGTGCACGTGAGTGGGCGGGGAGGAGGCGGAGCCGCGGCACAAGGGAACCTGGTGACGATTGTCTCGCTGTGACCCCTGGTGCCCTGGTCTTTTTTAAAAAAATTAATTTTATTGGTACATTTTAGATATACATAATGATAACATTCATCACTGGGAATTTGTACCTGTACCTGTTATATTTTGCTTCTTTTCCCCCCATTCCCGGTGCCCGGGTCTTTGATTCAGAGACTCAGAGTCTCTGATACTCATCAGCGCGGTGACCTTGACCAAGAGACCTCCCTTCGGAGCCTGTTTCAAATTTTCTTTTTCAGAGACAGAGCCTTAAACTCACTAGATAGTCTAGGCTGGCCTCGAATTCACAGCAATCCTCCTGCCTCAGCCTCCCGAGTGCTGGGATGACAGGCACGCACCACCATACCCGGCCTGAGCCTGTTTCTCATATTGAAGTGGGCATCATAATTCCAGCGCCTCCTGATTGGGGAATAGAGTGGCTTAGATGTCGCAGCCACTGTTGATATTGACCGGCCCTGGGATGGGGATGGGGATGTGTGTGATGAACCCTCGAAGTAGCTGGGCAGCCCAGGGCCACTCACCCCCTAACATCCCCGTCTCCTGTCCCCAGTGGCCATACTGCGAGAAGCGCTGCAGCTACTGCAACTTCAACAAGTACGTTGCGCGCGGCGGTGTGCACGAGGCGGCCCTGCGGCACTGCCTGGTGACTGAGGCGAGCACTCTGCTGCGGCTCAGCGGAGTTCGCAGGTGCATCCTGGGAGTGCACGGGCAGGTGCGGGCATCCCAGGCCTCGCCCCTCGCCCGGGTCAGGTCTCACCTCCGTCCTCTTCCCCCAGGGTGGAGTCTGTGTTCTTCGGCGGGGGCACCCCTAGCCTGGCCAGTCCCCACACCGTGGCCACCATCCTGGAGGCGGTGGCGAAGGCGGCTCACCTGCCTGTGGATGCGGAAGTCACCTTGGAAGCGAATCCCACTTCCGCTCCAGGCTCCAGGCTGGTGGAGTTCGGGGCAGCAGGAGTCAACAGGTTGTCCATTGGCCTCCAGGTATACCCCCATCCCTCATCCCCAGGCACCCAGCCTTCAAGGTTGTCTCCCCTAACGTGGCATTTGTTCACTGAGCATTTATTTATTTTTGTTTGAGACAGAGTCTGGCTATGTAGTTTAGTTTTTATTTTATTTATTTAGTTTGTTTGTTTTGAGACAGGGTCTCTCTATGCAGTCCAGGCTGGTCTTGAACTCTATGTAGAACTTACTACGTAGCCCAGGCTAGACTCAAACTTGTGGTGATCCTCCTGCCTCAGCCCATGAAGTACTAGGATTACAGGCCTGCACCACCGCATCCAGCTGCCTATGTACTTTAGGCTGGCCTTGAACTCACTAGGTAGCCCAGGGTGGCCTGGAACTGGCTGCCATCCTCCTGCCTCAACCTCTTGAATGCTAGGAGTACAGGCCTATGCCACCATGCCCGGCTCCACACCATTTTTTATTTTTACTTTTGAAACAGGGTCTTGCTAAGTCACTTAAGTTACCCAGGTTGGCCTCGAACTTTCAGTCCTCTTGTTTCAACTTCCCAGAGTGCTGGGATTACAGGTGTGCACCACCACACCTGGCTAAGATTTGTTAGATGACGAAGACACAGAGGAGGCAGGCAGGTCGCCAGATAATTGCAGATAGTAAATGCTGCCTGTAAAGCGGTCTCTAGGAGAGGCTTTCAGAGTCCAGCAGAAAGGGCCACTCAGTCTGATGAAATTCTGGAAGCCTTCCTGGAGCAGGTGACATTTGAATGAGGCGGTGTTGGAGGAAAAGACACAGGATGTAGAAGAGCCTTGTGTGTTTTGGGGTGACTGTGAATCATTCCTTGTGACTTGAGAGGTTGGACACAAAGCTGCTAAGCAGCGCCTGATGGCCATTAGCTCCTACCGAGGACTTTGGAACTTGTCCTGAGTGATAGGGGAGCCACTGAAGATTTTTTAACTAGAGAGAAAGGTAAACCTCTGATTCTTCCTAGCTGGCATGCATGAGGCCCTGGGTTCAAGCCACAGGACAGGGAGAGGGAAAGAGAGAGGAGAGAGGTGTTACCTGTCACTCTGATGTTGTGCACTTGATCTCTACAACTTACTCATTAAGAGACATTTTCAAAAACTGGCCTGTACTCTTTGAAAATGTCAGTGTCATAAAAGACAAGGAATAGGCAGAGAATCTGGAGTAGATTAAAGGAGACTACAGTGACAATGACAGCTGAATGTAGCATGTGAGCCCTGGTTGGGGAGGGAGGAGGAAATGAACTACTACAGGTGACCTTATTGGGACACTGGCCATATGGATGTGACTGTGTATGCGTTAATGGTGTCGTATCGGTGTTACACTTCCTGAACACCATAACTAGGTTGGATTATGTAAGAGATGTCCTTAGGAAGTACTTCATTCAGTATTTAGGCATTGAGGGGTAGAATATCTGTAACCCTGCTGTCCAACACAGTAGCCACCAGCCACGTGCTAGTGAGCCCTTGAAATATGGCTATTTAAATTTATTTAATTTATGAGCAGGGTTTGGCAGCGCATGCCCGTAACCCCAGCGCTTGGGAGGCCAAGACAAGAGGATTACTGTGAATTCGAGGCCAGCCTGAATTACATAGCGAGATCCAGAAAATGGAAGGGTCCAGTAATAACATCCCACCAGGCCCTGTCTCTTAAAGGCCCGAGAGAATTAAATGATTTCAGGTTAGCTCCATGTGATTCTTGTATTATTTTCTGCTTTCTCATTGTGAAAAGTCATAGGTTTTATTCAGACCTAAAGGTTAGAGAACTAATGATTGTAATTGTTACTTCTGAGATACATGACTTAAATTAATATAGTAAACATATTTCAAGTGTCATGACAAACATGGATATTCTAGAATGTTGTTCTTCAAATAACTTACTAAATGCTAATATGTTAGTCTGTCTTTTATTTTATTTTATTTTGGTTCTGGGGATCGAACTTGGGACCTTGAGCTTGCGAGGTAGGTGCTGGAACCATTGAGCTAAATCTCTGGCCCTGTTAGTCTGTCTTTTAAAGGATGCAAGTATAAGTTTTCAAGAAAAGGAAAAAATAATGCTGTGTGAGATTAACTAGGTATCAACTAAATTGTTAACAATTTATACAAAGTGTTATATCTTTTATACTTCTGAAAATTAAAAATAAAGTTTATTTCTATAACTTAAAAACAACCCCCAAAAACCAAAACAGGGCCGGGGATTTAGCTCAGTGGTTCCAGTGCCTGCCTTGAAAGTGCAAGGTCCCAAGTTGGATCCCCGGTACCCAAAAAACAAACAAACGAGAGATTGCTGGAAGCCAGGCATGGTGGTGCAGGCCTGTCATCTCAGTACTTCTGAGCCTGAGGCAGGAGGATCTTAAGTTCAAGCCCAGGTTGGGCAATTTAGTGGCTCAGTGAGACCCTGTCTCAAAGTAAAAAATTTTTAAAAGGCTGGAAGAAGAGGAAGAAAAGGAGCTAAGATTGGATGAGGATTAGATTCACCCTTCAGTGAAAAGCAGCTCTGTCAGGGTTCTGGCCTGGCCTTCCCCCTCCCCGACTCCAGCTCCCTGCCCTCTGTTGCGCGGAGAGGTGGGGTCTGCGTGTCTGTGTCCCGTGTCAGGTGACCCCGTCAGGATGCTCCCCCCTCTCTCCCCAGTCCCTGGACGACGCGGAGCTGCAGCTGCTGGGCCGCACGCACTCGGCCCGGGACGGCCTGCGGACGCTGGCGGCGGCGCGGCGCCTCTTCCCGGGCCGCGTGTCGGCGGACCTGATGTTTGGGCTGCCCGCGCAGCGGCTGGGGCCATGGCTCGGGCAGCTGCGGGAGCTCCTGCGCCACTGCGATGACCACCTGTCCCTGTACCAGCTGTCCCTGGAGCGCGGCACTGCGCTCTTCACCCGAGTGCAGCGCGGCGCCGTGCCCGGCCCCGACCCCGAGCTGGCGGCAGCGATGTACGCGGAGGGGCGCTCGCTGCTGCGGGCCGCCGGCTTCCGCCAGTACGAGGTCTCCAGCTTCGCGCGCCATGTGAGTCGGGAGTCCGGAGGCCGAGGGCTGACCAGGGCTTGCACCCTTCCCCGCCCCGGGGGAAGTCCCGGCTGGGCTCTTTCCTGCCTCCGTGCTCACCGCCCTCCTTCCCCACAGGGGGCGCTCAGCACCCACAATTGGACTTACTGGCAGTGCGGTCAGTACCTTGGCGTGGGGCCTGGTGAGTCCTCTGTGAGTGACAAGAGGGATGACTCAGGAGAGGAATGTCACGGGGTGAACTCGGGCCACCTGCTTAGCTCTCCAAGCCTGTATTTCCTCATACCTAAAGCGCAGCAAAAGAATTCCCGCCTGGTGGAACTCTCCAGTGTGCATGCATGGTGCTTGCAATCCTGTGGGGCTCTGGGGTTCTGGGGTTCTGGGGCTCTGGGACCTGGAGGGCTCGTGAAGACCTGGAATGGGGGACAGGTGCCCACAGAATTGCTGCTGGGTCAGGGGTAGAGTAGGCTCTGAGAATGGACATTTCCAGCTTGATAAATGCTTCCGGTAGAGACCACACTTAGAGAGAACCTATGGGTCCAAGTCTATAAGTTCATAGTGTTAATTCTTGCTGTGGTTATCAGGTGCTCATGGGCGATTTGTGCCCCAGGCGTCTGGGGGCCACACCCGGGAGGCTCGGATCCAGACACTGGAGCCTGACAACTGGATGAAGGAGGTGATGCTTTTCAGTCACGGCACCCGGAAGCGCATCCCCCTGGGCGAGTTGGAGCTGTGAGCATCCCCGGGTCTCTCCTGCTAGGAAGCAGCACTTCCCCACATTCCTCTGTGTTTCTGGCCTGGCCCCCAACCCCACCCCCGCCCTGCCCCATACTCCAGGATCCCCATCAACACATCCCAGCATCTAGTTTGAAAAGTGGGAGAGGCCAGATCTCCTCTCCAAGACCCTTGGTGATTTTTCTTTCAGGCTGGAGGAGGTTTTGGTCATGGGGCTCCGCACTGATGTGGGGATCACGCACCAGGTAAGGGCATATCCTTTGCTCCTCCTGCGTCTTGCAGGGCAATCAGCCACTCTCTCTTTCCTCACTACACCTGCACGTGCACACGGAGGCGCACACGCACGCCTCCCCCATTCCTAGAGTTTGGGCCTTGGTCCAGCTGCCTGCTGTGAAGCTGTAGGTGGTGTGGGGCAATGGTGAGAACCTAGACTAGGGCTGCAGAGACTCGGTTCTGGTCCCAGTTCTGCTGCACCACTGGACACAAATCCCTAGCTCTGCTCCTTGGTTTTCTCAGTTGTGTGAGGGAATGGACTCCACAAAGGGCTTCCCATGTGTTAAGCAGCACCATACTCAGCTAGGAAGCTTGCTAGATAATTCCATCAGACTCAGGGTCCCTGTGGGTGAAGTCACTGCCATGCAGCTCTGGCTGGGGCCAGAACCTGCCAGGCCGAGGGAGAGAGGTGACGGCAGAAGTGAGGAAGGAGACCTGGCTTGCCAGGAGCTGGGTTTGGCCTGAAAGTGCAGTGTGGGTAAAAGTGCCCGCCTCCCCGCTGGCCCACGGACCTGTCTTGGTGTTCCTGAGCATCCCTGGGCCAGGCTGGACCCTCTGTCCCCCTTCACTGGACCTGAGCTGTCTCATTACCTCTGCCCCTGCTTTACTAGCACTGGCAGCAGTTTGAGCCCCAGCTGACCCTGTGGGATGTGTTTGGAGCAAGCGAGGAGGTGAAGGGGCTGCAGGAGCGGGGCCTGCTGGTGCTGGACCACAGGTGAGTTGAGGGCAGGGGGCAGAGAAGGCTTAGAGATCCCTGGGAGCCTTGGCTACAGATCCAGAGGCCCAGGGGAAACAAGAAAGCCTAGTGAGGCCCTTAGGTGCCTGGGATGGGTTTGAAACTGGTGAGACAGAGCAGTCACACCAGGCCTCTTGGGTTCCAGGGGCCTCCGGTGCTCCTGGGAGGGGCTGGCTGTGCTGGACTCACTGTTGCTGACCCTTCTGCCCCGACTCCAAGAGGTCTGGCAGCAAAGAAGCCCCCGACCTGAGCCAGGAGGGTGACCAGATGCTCCTGTGTCCCATGGCAGTGCCAGGTGGATGTGGGGCACTGGACCGGTACTGCAAATGTTGCTCCTCTGCTGCCGGGTGCTAGGTCTGCTTCGAGGGGCAGTGGCCTGGCCTGGGCACCCCCAGGGGTGCGGCCTCGGTGAGGTGGGCACAGGGATCATGTGGACTGGGGGTGGCATCCCACCCAGCAACTTGACACTCCCAGAGCAGCCTGTGCTTCAGGACCGGGAACTGCCTGTCACCACCAGCTCCTGTTGAACTTTTTGGTACCCAGTAATGGGCAGAGTTTGGGAATCATAATTTGTAAAAACTTTTATTGGTACATGTTTACAGTGCATGCTGATTACACTCATTGTGGCACACACACCACGCATCTTCGTTCTTGCTACATCTCCCTGCCCCCGTCATCTCTTGGTCCTCTGCCCGTTTGCGAAAGCTCTGTCTCCACGTTTTCCATTGTTTATTTTGTTCTTCAGTGGAACTCTTTCTGTAGGGAGTTGCCTTCTTGAGAGAGGCCTCCTCGCTCTGCAGTGAGGTCCTGAGGTGGATGTGGTCAGCAAAACCAAGTTCCCTTTAGGTATCTGAAGCAGGAGGGGATTTGATCTAGGAACGAGGTAGTTATGAAACCATCATGGAGTTTTTCAGCGGCAAGACTACTGGTCTGTGAATGTCAACATTCCGGGTGTGTCTGATTGTTTCCTGAAACAATATTTGGGTTGGGTATTTTTAGCAAGCATGCCACATAGGTGTTTTGTAATTCAGGGTCTGTAATACAAGATCAAGCCACTATCAGTAATACTAATTTTGGCCAGGAGTGGTGGAGCACACCTGTCATCATCATCGAAGCACTCAGGAGGCTGAGGCAGGAGGATCACCATGAGTTCAAGGCCAGCCTGAACTATGTAGTAAGACCCTATCTCAAAAATAAAAAAATTTAAAAGAAGAGGAGGGGCCAGGGATTTAGCTCAGTGGTTCCGCCGCCTGCCTCACAAGTGGAAGGACCCAAGTTCGATCCCCGGTACCAATAATAAAAATTAAAAAAAGAGGAGGAAAAGGAGGAGGAGGAGGAGGAGCTGCTCAGTGGCAGAGTCGCCTGGGTTCCATCTCCAGTAGTAAAGAAAACAAAAGAGGCCCCGGGGATTTAGCTCAGTGGTTCCGGAGCCGGCCTCGCAAGCGCAAGGTCCCGAGTTCAATCCCCTGCATGAAAAAAGAAAAAAAAAAAAAAACCAAAAGAAAAGAAAAAAAAGAAGAAAGAAAGGAACCTTCCGTTTTTTGAAGGACGAATCTGTGTGTGTGTGTTTGCACATGTGCACACGTGAGACATGGGGGAGAAAATTTGCTAGGAAGAGGCCCTGTAGCTCTCTAACTCCTTAGCATTTCAAAGGGGGCCAGGGTGCCGAGAGTAATGTAGCCCTGCCAGTGTGTGGCTCAGCCTCCAGTGGGTGATGGTTCCCCGCTCGGGGTGAGCACACGCCTCTCCCTCGTGGCCCGTGGGTGTATCAGTCCTCCTCTGACCCCATGGTAACGTGGTAAGTGCTACTCCCTCTCCCTTAGTCATGAAATATTCAGCCTGCAGCAGTGGTGTGCCAGGGCCTGCCCGGGCGCACAGAGAGGAATAAGACCTGTGGCAGCCTGGAAGAACTCCCTGCCAGGTTGACAGGTGGGGAAGGAGATAAACTAGGGCTTGTGAGATGTGTGGTGGCTGCAGGAGCCTAGGCCGCATTTAGATTTGGGGTCTGGGGTGTGTTCCCCTGTGGCCCCAGTGTCCCTGGCCCTGGACAGCGTTCGAGGTGACTCTGCTGCCCGGGACACCTCTTCCCGAGCCTTCCCCTGATCTTGATACCCAAGAAGGGAGCTCGGGCCAAGCAGTGCCCCATCAGGTGACCCAGGCCCGCTCCAGTTTTTCCCTGCTGCCAGGGGCTCATGCCACCCGAGATGGGCCTTGCCACTCGGGCAACTCACGGGGTCCCCGTGGAGAGCTGGATGGGACCCAGGCCGGGTTGGGGTGGCACTGATCACCTCGTGACTCAGCCTGGATCTGCCCTTACTGGATGAGTTAGAATGAGATGGGAGGAAGTAGAACCCCAGAATCCAGTTGTTAAATGTGTCCTAAATGTCCCCATGATCAGTCTGGTTCGGGAGCCCTGATTAGTGGCAGCTCCTGTCTGCCATACTGAGAAGGAGGGTCAGGAGGAGAGGGCTTCATGGCTTCTCCCAGGCGTGGGAGTCGCAGAAGGAATTGGGGTCCTTCTCTCCATATCTCAGCCCTAGCTTGGCTCATCCATTACTTGGGTTCTCCTCCTTCATACTGGGATGTTGTTGTCATCTTCTCACTTGCCCTGCAGAAGAAATGGGGTGATAGCTAAGTGTGGTGGCACACACCTATAATCCCAGCATTTGGGAGGCTGAGGCAGGAGGATTTCAGCAAATTTTATGTCAGCCTGGGCTACATAGTGAGTTCAAGCCCAGCCTGGACTACATAGGGAGACCCTGTCTCAAAAAAAAAGGGGTGGGTAAACAGCCCCGTTTGGTGATAAAGAGATTAGAGAGGAAGAGGACAGTGAGTGCATGTGTGGTTACAGCTCGAAGGACCAAGTCTTCCTGTGCAGGTAGAGCACCGGCAGTTTTAAATCCCTACAATCCATCCCCCTCCCCGTCCCCAGGTGGTGTGAACCAGTCAGGGCAGCTATCATCTTTTCTTTTGCAGACAGGGGCATTGAAAGAGGATGTGAATGGCACACACTTGTGATCCCAACACTCTGAGAGGCTGAGGCAGGAAACCCACAAGTTCAAACCCAGCCCGGGCAATTTAGTGACTTAGCAAGACCGTGCCTTAAAATAAGAAATAAAAGAGCCTAGGGGTGTTGGCTTGGCCTGCCTCTTAGAGCAGGCAGAATCCTGACCTCTGCCTTGGGCTTGAAGCCACGATCCCTGCCTGGGGCTGGGCGGCTTGGGCTCCCTGTCTGTGCAGTCACCCTTCTGTACATGGGCGGGACTGGCTCCAGGACCCCTTTTGGATACCAGGCTGCATGGGTGCTCAAGACCCTTACATGGTGTGGTGTCTGCTTTAATTCATCTCTGACTTGGTCCCCAACACAGGGCCAGGGCTATGTAGACAGGGGCTAGACTTTATTGTTCACAGAATAATAGCAAGAAACAAAAGTCTGTACATGTTTGGTAGAGATGCAGTTTTTTCCCAAATATTTTTATCAAGTCAGGTGTGGTGGCACATGCTTGTAATCCCAGTACACAGGAGGGTGAGGCAGGAGGATCACAAGTTCTAGGCCAGCCTGAACTGTATAGCAAGACGCTGTCTCAGAACAACAACAACAAAAGCATTGAATGGGCAGATTCAGAACCCAGGAACCCATGGGTGTGAGGGGTCAAAGTATTTCCCCTCCTAAGCTGCTCTGATGATGAAAACCACATTACCAGGCTTCATCTCTGTGACACATCCACTTCCAAAATAGAACTGTCTTCTCTCCCTTCTCCGTTCTGCAAAGGAAAGAACTTTCCTAGGATGAAATAACTGGCATAGATTGCATTCCTGTTCAGACGCTGGCCATCCCAGGCCTGTGTAAGGATCCATGTCCGCCTTATTGAGATTGAGGAAGGGCCACAGGACTGGCCCAGTGGCCTGGAAGGGCTGTGAGTGGCTGCGCCTGGCCGTTGGTCAGCCAGAGTCACAGGGTGGGTCAGACACTGGTAGAGCAGCAGCCAGCGGCAACCGACAGAGCGGGAGAGAAATGAACACGGATCGCTGTGAACCAGGAGATTCCCAGATCGGTTGTGCAGCACGATTTAGACTAAACTGATGGGTACGATTTTAAACCCACCACTCAAACATTGCCCCCTTTCAGACTCTGGTGTGTATCTTTCCAGAAATTCTTACATGCAAATGAACATACTTATACAGTCTTACCAGGGTCTTGCATTGGAGCCTTATTTTATCTAATATGTGGTGGCCGTCTTTCCTTGTCAATTTTGTGACTGTGTCCTGCTTTTTAGTTTTTTTTGGTTTTTGTTTTTGGTACTGGGGATTGAACTCAGGACCTTTCGCTTGCACAGCAGGTGCTGGAACCACTGAGTTAAATCCCTGGCCCCTGCTTTTTAGTTTTTTGAGACAAGAGCTCACTGTGTAGCCAGGTTGGTCTTGATCTTGTGATCCTCCTGCTTCAGCCTCCCCAGTGCTGGGATTATAGGCATGCACCACCAGGGCCAGCTCTCCTAGGGCTCTTCTCTTACACCCTTACCAATAGCAAACATCCATTTTTCCAGTCTGAAAAGCATCCCTTTCCTTTTTTTTTTTTTTTTCCTGGTACCAGGAATTGAACTCAGGACCTCTGCAAGTCCAAGGACCTGAACTCCATCCCTGGTACCGGGGGGAATAAAAAAGAAATGTGCTGTACCTGCCTCGAAACTCAGGACCTCATGCTTGCCAGGCAGGTGCTGTGCCACTGAGCTAAATCCCCAGCCCTAGACAGAATTCTAAATGAAGAAGAAACAGAAAATCCCCCAGGCTCTTTGGCCTCAAGGCAGTTTCTATTTGCCTGAGTCTCCCTGCCCTCATCCCAACACAAGCTGCATTGTTGCCCAGTGCCCAGTGCATCTCTAATTTTGCATTCATTCTGCTCCTTTCGCTTCTCATTTTTCACGAGCAATTTTCCACATTGCTCCACAGTCATCATCTTTTCCATTTTAATTGTTGCACAAGGTTCCGATGAGTGAATAATTTAATAATCATTACCCAAACATCAGGCACTTACACGGCTATGTGATTTTTCCTATTATGAATAATGCTGCCAAGAATGTTTTTGTGGATATTGCCCCTTCCTGGATTCGGATTATTTCCTGAGGCTGCTGTCCTGAGTGAGAAGCTGCCTTAAAGGCCAGGAGGGCCTTCGTGGTTCTTGGCATGAGCGGTTACACTGTTTTCCAAAGGGTTTCCCTTTTAAAAATTTTTTTCCTGCTTAAAATAAAGAGAAAAAAGGAAATGCATACTCTCTTTCATTTAGGAAAAGCAAAAGTGCTACTACAGAAATCACCACTCCAACATTTGGGTGACCATGTCTTGATGCATAGATGTAGATGGGAACATAAAAATAACTCCTCACAAAAGGAATCGTCCCCACTTGCCAGTTTCGCCGCCTGATTTTTTACTAGACAACATGCCCTGGGTTTTTCTGATTGGTTCTGCCGGTACCGCGCCTGTGTGGCAGCATAATGTAGTACACTAATAGCTACAAGCTGGGCACCAGGCCAACGATTTTATCTGCATTTGTTCATGTAAACTCAGCAAGAAGCTGGTGAGAGAAGTAACGTTACCTGCACACACCCATTCTGCAGGTGAGGAAACGGGCTCTGGAAATGAACCATCTGCCCAAGGCTGCAGGGTGACGGGGAGGAGGGCCAGGCACTCAGGCCAGTACTCTGGGTCTCTAAAACATGCTTGCCAGGCATGGTGGTGCATGCCTGTAATCCCAGCAGTCGGGAGGCTGAGGCAGGAGGATTTCCCTGAGTTCTAGGCCAGCCTGGGCTACAGAGTGAGATCTATCTCAATAAGCTAAAAACAAAAAACCCAAACAAACAGAAACCCCCCCAGATGCTTCTAGAAGTGGTACATGAATATGAATATATACATATATACCTATGTGTTTTGCCATACTAGGCCTTGAACCTGGGATCTTCACACTGAACTGTATCCCCACATCAGCTTTCTTCCAACTGGCCATCTTTATCCACAAGGGAGGCTGGGAAGTGTAGTGTTTAAACTGCTGCTTCTTCACCCATACTGTCCCATAATCCGAGAGCTTGGTTAATAAAGGGGTGTGGATATTAAGAGATAATGAAGCCAGGCATGGTGGTATGAACCTGTAATCCTGATATCCAGAAGGCTGAGGCAGGAGGATCCTGAGTTCAAGGTTGTTCTGGACTATATTTTGAGACTTTGTCTCAAAAAGCAAACAAGTTTACCAACCAGATTAAACACTGTCCATTAAATATTTACAAATTTTTGTGTTTTGTGTACATTTTAGTTGTTTGCTTATTCAGCCAATTGTAGCTCTGGTGATTTCTTGATCAAATTAAATGGATGATAGTCAGATGGTAGAGAAAAAGGTGTTTCAAGCATATTAACTCTTACTTCTATAAATACTGCTTCCATCTTGCTACCCTCTTCATCTTTCATGGGTTTTTGCTGTTTTGGAAGTGAGCTTTCTAGAGATTTCCACTATATTTATAAGGCTGAGTCCATCTGTTGCCTGTGACTTTTTCCATCTGTCCCCAGCTCCACCTCCGGAGCTCTGGGCAGCGGTGTGGCCAGCTCCCAGCTCCCAGCAGAGGCCTTTAACATCTAATACCGGTGGCAGGTCCGTCCCCCTGCGTCCTAACCTGCAGTGTTGCTTCTCTCCTGAATGATGAGGCAGGACAGTCCCCCATCGGGCTTCCGGTTTTCTCGGCTCCCTCCCGAGTCTATGCAGCGGAAGTGCTATCCATGCAAGCTCATGCTCCCCTCCTGGCAGACCTGCAGAATCCAGATCCCTGCCTTCAGGAATCAAAAACTATTTTTTGAGGCTCTCCGGTGAGCAGTTTCTGCACCAGATGTGCGGGGCAGCACAGGAAACGGCCTAAAGCTGGACAAAGAGTCGTAAATTATGCAAATGGGACAAGGTAGGGCCTGGCAGGTCCTTAACTAGGAAGATAAAGGTTAGTTTAATGGCTTGGTTTGTGCAGATTTCTCTCTGCCTCAACTGCCCAGCGTCAGTGATGAAACTGGGACCGTTGTCCTGGTTGGAGAGGATGTCATTCACATGGGAATTTCATCTGCTTTTCCTTTTTTGGGGGGGAGAGCATGGGGTTCTGGGAATCAAACCCAGGGCCTTGTCCATGCTAAGCACTTACTTTACCTCTAAGCTCCATGCCCAGCTCCTCATACTGCTCCCCACCTCCCACCCCCGGGATCGAACTCAGGACATCCTGTTGCACTTGCCAGCCAGGCGTGGCACCACTGAGCTACACTACACCCCTGGCCCCTCATCTGCTGCTTTTAAGGTCAGAAAGAAAAAAAGAAGGTCAAGTAGGGTGTGATGGTACACACCTGTAATCTCAGCACTCTGGGAGGCTGAGGCAAGACAACTGCAAAATTGAACACAGCCCAGGCAATTTAGCAACTTAGACCCTGTCTCAAAGTTTAAAAAGGGCTGAGGATGTAGTTCAGTGTGAATGCTTGGGCTCAATCCCCAGTACTACAAAAAAGAAAAGAAAAAGATCAAAGTGATTTTGCATCTTCTTTTTGAGTCCTTTTAACTCAGAAATCACTGTGCCAGAATGGTATATTTTGGTGTGGCGCATTCTTAACTGCTTCACAGTGCCCTGGGTGTGCTGGCCCTAGGGAATGCAGGTCCCCAACAGAAACTACAGGCCTCGACCAGGACAGAGGGACACCTGTCATTTCACTGTGATGCTGAAATGTGTCACCAGGGAGCTCCAGGCTCCTGGAAAATTTTCTTCCTGACTCCTAGTAGCACTTGTCGCCTGCTGGGTCACTGCTGGGAGGGTGTGTGTCACTGCCAGAATATGTCACTGGACTGGCCCTCAGGGAGCAGGCAGCCCCCTCCCGTGAGTCCTTGCCTGCCCCCAACAGGTCTGGCGGGAGTGGCTCCATTCCTAGGTGGCTGAGCCATCTGGGCAAGCACTGCCCACGGCCTCCCGGGCCCCTGGGACACAGTGTGGCTTTCCTTCACTCACCTCTGTCCTCCTCTCTTGATGTTGAGCACAGTCGAGCACTGCTTTAGACCACTGAGGAAGCTGCCATGGAAATGCCCACTTCCCAGTCCCCACCAAGTGTGGATCCTTCAGATTAATGTGCATAAGCAAAGATAGGTGTGGTGGCCCACACTTGTAATCCCAGCACTCTGGAGGCTGAGGCAGGAAGATCAAGAGTTTGAGGCCAGCATAGGTGACATAGTGAGACCCTGTCTAAAAATTAAAATAAAAAAAGGTCAGTACAAGAACTGTGAATGGTTCCCACCTGGGGTCCTGCAGTGTGGATCCTGAGTTCAGATCATTGCTCTGGGTGAGGTAGGTACTTAGCCTTTATTTGCCTCAGTTTCTCATCTGAAAAATGGGGATGCTAATCACCATCATGATTGTTAGAAAGGTTTAAGAAGTTAGTACCTATAATTCAAGTAACCAAAGAAACATAGATAAATTTGATTTCATCAAAAATTTAAAATTTTGTCCAAAGGACACTATTGATAAAGTAAAAAGAAAACCCACAGAGTGGGAGAAGATATTTACTAATTCATATCCAGTATCTGATAAGGGATTAGTATCTACAATACATAAAGAACTCATACAATTCAACAATAAAAAGACACCTGAATTGGGCCAGGGATTTAGCTCCGTTGTGCCACCTCCTGCCTTGCAAGTGCAAGGTCTCGAGTTTGATCCCCGGTACCAAACAAAACAAAACAAAATAAAAAGTTAAACCTAAGCTATACACGGTGTAATCCTAGCACTGGGGAGGCTGAGGCAGGAGGATTGTAAATTCAAGACCAGCCTAGGCTACATTGTGAGGCCATGTCTCAATAAACAAACCAACTAAGTAACCAAGTATCAAACCTAGAGTCACCATATGACTGGCAGTTCTGCTCCTAGGTATAAGAGAATGAGAAACAAGGGTCCCACACAAACTTGTGCACAAATATTTATGGCATCATTCATAATAACTGACACTGGAATCAGCCAATTCCCATTAACTGATGAATGGACAGATAAAATGTGATATAGTTATACAATGGAATATTATTCAGTAATAAAGAGATGAAGATATACGACATACATAAACCTTGAAAACATGTTAAACGAAAGAAACCAGAGACAAAGGTCTGTTGCATGATTTTATATTATGAAATGTCCAGAATAGGCAAATCCACAGAGACAGAAGGTAGATTACTGGTTTTCAGAGGCAGGGGGAAGAGGGAATGGGAACTAATAGGTATAGTGTTTCTTTAGGGGTGATAAAAATATTCTGGAATTAGATAGTAGTGACAATTGGACAACCTGGTGAATATAATAAAAAACGCTGAGCTGTGTACTCTAAAATGGTGAATTGTCTGTTATATAAAATTTCATTTATGCAAATCTCAAATTGTTTTGTTTTTTGTTTTTGGTACTGGGGATCCAACTTGGGGCCTTGCACTTGCAAGGCAGGTGGTGGCACCACTGAGCTAAATCCCTGGCCTTGTTTTGTTTTAGCACTAGAGATTGGACCCATGAACACCCTACCATTAAGCTACATCCCCAGCTCTTTTTATTTTTTATTTGAGACAGGGTCTTGCTAGGTTGCTCAGGCTGGGCTGGAACTTGTAATCCTCCTGCTTTAGTTGGCCAAGCAGCTGAGATTACGAATATGCACCACTGTTCCTGACTTTGGAGGGGGGCTTTTTTTGAGACAGGGTCTCACTGTGTGGTTCAGGCTGGCTTTGAACTCACTGAATCAAGACCTGGACCAAGACTACACAATGCAGACATCCATTTGAATTTCAGATAAACAATGAATGCATTTTAAGTGAAATATGTCCCAAATATTTCATGGAACATAGTTATACTAAAAAGATTGTTTTATCTGAAATTAAAATTGAAATGGGCAAGGCTGGGCATGGCTCAGCTCTAGAACATTTGCCTAGCATGTTGGAGGCCATGGGTTTGATCCCTGATAACACACACACACATACACACACAAGCATGGAAAAAAAGTTTTAAGGGCTGGGGATTTAGCTCAGTGGCACTGAGCCTGCCTTGCAACCACAAGGTCCTGCATTTGATCCCTAGTACCAAAAAAAAAAAAATTTTAACTGGGCATTCTGTATTTTCTCTGGCAACTCAGATGTGTCTTTTTTTTTTTTTTTTTTTTTTGGATACAGAGCCTTGCTATCCAGCCCAGGCTGACCTTAAACTCTGTGATCCTCCTGCCTCAGCCTCCCAAGTTCTGGGGTTACAGGCATGTACTGCTGTCATGACTCATTTCTGTGAAAGGAAAGAGTTTTTGAGGGACTCACATTTAATTCTCACATGAGGCTGACTCAGAGAGATTAAGTGGCCGAGCCCAAGGTCACCCAGCTAGAAAATGTTGAGCTGGGGTCTGAGGCTGGGTGTGCCGAGTGCACCATGACCTGCTGACGGGGAACTCGAGGCAGATACACAGTGACCTACTTAAGGGCAGCCAGGGAGCCGGGAGCTGGCTTGGGAAGAACAGATGCTTCCACTGACTGAGAAGGAATAAAAGAGCAAGAGAGCGAGACTTAAAACGCTGCCTCTCTGACTCTGCCTGTGCAGGGTCTAAAATCAAGGTGTCAGTGTGTTGTGTCCCCCTCAGGGCCATGCACTTTCTGCTTCTGAGGCTGCCACCATGTGTCCCCACCCAGGGCCACCACAGTCCGACCTCTGCCCGGGCCACCGAGTTGGCCTCTCTGACTCTGACCGCCCCCACCTCCCTCTTAACATCCCTTGGGATTACAGGGGCCGCTGGATAATCCAGGGTCATCTCCGAACCTTAAGATCCTTCGTCACATCTGCAAAATGCCCTCTCTCATGAAAGGTGACCCACTCACCGCTTCCGGAGCTGAGGACATGGACGTCTTCAGAGAGTCATTATCCTGCCTGCCACACTGTAGGAAGGAAGTTATCTAGTGGCTTTCAGTGCTCTGGGCCTTCGCTGTAATCTCTTTCATCTGCACCACATTTAGAGCACTTACACACACACACACACACACATTTGAGTGTGTGCACACACAGCTTTTTCCCCCTCCTTGAATTGATCTGGGAAGCCGCTGGAGGTGTGCGGAGCCCATACGGAAAAGGAAGTGGACGAAACCATTGGGCCAGATCACAGCTAGAAAAACTCAGGGTTTTAACAAACCACCCCCCCGCCACCCCCCAGTTTCCAGCCATGCACCACTAGCCCAGCATGCTCCTGTGGATTGGGGCGATCCTCGGTACCCACAATCCAGAGAAGCCCCCAAGGTGGGCCAGCTCCCTGCCCAGATTCTGCCCTCAGCAGGCCGAGCAGGGCGGGATGGGGCCAGAGAGCCTCCTTTTTGTGTTGAACCTTGGGACAGAGCCCCAGAACTTGGCATCCCCCGTTCTGGGACATGTCCCTGACAGAACATTGGAGGGAGCTCGGGTTCATGGAAAATCATCTTAGCTCAAATCTCCCAGAATCAGCCACAGGGCTGCGATTTGCCCTGCGGATGCTGGAAGGAGCCACTGTGACCCTGACATCTCCAGGCTGCCCTCGCCCTATTGCCCATGGTGGTGGCCAGTGCTGGGCTGTCCCAGGGACGGGGAGGCAGGGTCCGCTGCTGGAGGGTCTACTGCAGCTGGGGTGGGGTTCCTCCAGAAGTGCATGTGATGTGCTAGCGCGCCCCCCCCCCCCATACTGGGGATTGATCCCTGGGCCTTCACACTGAGCTACATCCACAGCCCTTTTTTATTTTTTATTTTGAGACAGGGTCTCATTCCAGGCTGGTATCAAACTGCCAATCCTCCTGCCTCAGCCTCCCAGAGTGCTGGGATTATAGGTGTGTACTACCGCATCCAGCTTCATGCGATAAGGATTCTGAAGATCATAAAACAGGGAGGTGGCAGAGAGAGACAATGACCCCTTGAGGCGGGGTACTGTCCCCACTCTATAAAGATGGCCCAGCCAGGGGCCAAGGTGAGACATGATCACACAGTTTACTCTGAAGCCCCTGTGCTCCTAACCTCTGCTCCAGGTGGCCCCCAAAAGGCTCCCTTGTGTCCTCAAAGAGGGGGAGACAGCTGGGCATGGTGGTGCATGCCTGTAATCCCAGCACTCAGGAGGCAGAGGCAGGAGGATGGCTATGAATTCAAGGCCAGCCTGGGCTACATAGTGAGATCCTGTCTCAAAAAAATGAGAGGAAAAAAATGGAGGAGGAGGAGGAAGAAGAGGAGGAGGAGGAGGAGGAAGAAGAGGAGAAGGAGGAGGAGGAGGGGGGAAAAGGAGTTTGAGCCTGGGCACAGTGTCCCGTGTGTGTTGCTCCCAATCTGCAGTCGGGTGCCTCCCGGGACAGTGTCCAGCTGTGGCCTGTCTCTAGGGCTTTGAGGAATGTCAGGTTCCTGCGGAGAGTCAGCCCAGCAAGGTCCTAGTGAGGAGGCAGTGACAGGGAGCCATATGAGCAGAATGAGCCCAGATGTGAAGGGGACGAGCCAGGTGCAGACGGGCCACAGGTGGTGCTAGGGTGGTGAGGCCAGATGTGGGTGACATGGACGACACTGTGTGGGGCGGGGACCAGCTGGGAGGGGCCAGCCAGGCGTGAGGGTGGAGATGCTAGGGCGGGGGCAGGTGTGTGTGCAGGGAGACCAGGGGGGATGCGCTGGGAGCAGAGACAGCCAGCTGGGGCCCTGGGGGAGGTGGGGGGGGCTGTGTCCTGCAGGTGGGAGGAGACACGCTCTGTCTTTCGGGAGGCTGTTTAGCCAGTGGACAGAGTCGCTGACACCATGTTCACACCCAGCTGGGCGGAAGCGAAGAGACATGAAGCAGTCATCTACGCCGCGTCCTCTCTCACCCCACCACCCTCTCCTCCCTGGGTTCAAGGATGTGGCTCCACTGGGGAGGAAAGGGCTGGAGCTGACCATGCTTCCCATGCCAGGCCTGTGTGCCTGCTTCGTCCCCCTCCGAGACCTCCACCCCCCTGCCTGCTGAGTGTGACTTAGTGAATCCCCTCTGATACAACCTCCTCAGGGCTCCGTGGCTCATCATGCTGAGGTCCTGTCCCCTGAGGACCCATATTTTAGGGTTGCAGACCTTCATCCCAGTGACTCAACTCTGTGTCTGGAGCACCCTGACCTTTCCCACATGAATGAGCTCCAGAGAATCCTGGGATAGAATGGGAAATTGTGTATAAAATTAAGAACACAGATGAATGGATAAACAATGTGGTCTGTTGTGGAATATTACTCAGCCGTGAAAAGGAATGAAGTACATGGTAAGTGAAAGAAGACCAATAGCATATGACTCCATTTTTGTGAAAATCCAGAATAGGCAACTCAGTCAAGGCAGAAAGTAGTTTAGTGGTTGGCAGGGGTTGGGAGAGGGGACAGGGTTGGGGGGAATGATTGATTGAGGGATGTAGGTACAAGAGTTCTTTTAGGGATAATGGTTGCACAACATTGGAAATGTACTAAATGCCACCACATTGTAAATATTAGAATGGTGACTTTTCTGTTAATCATATTTTATAACAATAACAACAAAAACAAGTCAAGTGTGGCAGCACACATCTGTGATCCTGGCCCTTGGGAGGCTGAGGCAGGAGGATTGTCACAAGTTCAAGGCCAGTCTGGGCTACACACTGAGACCCTGTCCCAAAAACAAAAACAGAAAGCTAATCCTAATCCCTTTCTACCCTGTCCCTGATCGTCACTGAACAGCCGGGCAGGCACTGGTTGTGTAACTCCCTAGAGCTCAAAGCTTTCCAGAAGCTGGGTGCACAGATTACGGATCCACACGTGTTTGTCTGTTTTTTCCCCCAGTGGATTGTGAGCTCCTAGAAGGCAAGAGGAGGCCTTTTTGCTTCGCCTCACATCTCACTGAGCCTCTATTGCAGCCACGGAGGTCAATTGTTGCTGTCTCCCTTCAAGAAAGAGCTCGCTGAGCCAGGCATGGTGGTGCATCCTGTCATTTCAGCTGCTTGCAAGGCTGAAACAGGAGTATCTCAAGTTTGAGGGCAGCCTGGGTAATTTAGGGAGACCTTTTCTCAAAATAAAATTAAAGAGGGTTGAGGATGTAGCTCAGTGGCAGAGTATCCTGAGTTCAATCCCCAGTATCACAAAAGAAGAAAAGAGAAAATAATTTTATTTTTCATGGACAAATGTATATATTTATGGGGTACAATAGGTCTTACTGAAGGCTCACATAAGCCTTCCCCATTGAGACCCAATTTTCAACAGTTTCTGCTCTGTCCATGAAGGTTTATCTGCCCACAGAAGCCAGCATACAGATTAACTGCACACTATCATGAGCTAGGAACACAAGCCCTTCCTCCCCACCCGCACTCACCTCGACCTGGGTCCCTGGAGAAGGCCACACTTGCAGAAGTGCCGAGCACAACAAAACCCAGACACCAGCCACTTTCACCAACGCAGGGCCTTTGATCGTGAGGGTCTTCTATCTTAGGCCCCCTGGCTGCAATGCTTGCCCACCCTTGTGCACAAGATAAAAAGTACATAGCCCACCTCCCAGAAGGGGCTATGTTCAAATCGAAAGACAACTGAGGTGCCCACAGACTGGGACCCCCCTTAAAAAATCACACCAGTGACTCTCCTGCTGACCTTGAGCTTGGGAAAACCAGGTTCAAGTGGTACTTCTTGCTGGTTAAGGTGATTTCTGTGTCCTCTCTTCTCATCTCTAAAATGCACACAGAGCATCCCCTCCCTCCAAACCCATCGTGACTGTGAAGGTTAGTCCTCACCTTACCTCCAGAGTTTGCCACAAAATATCTCGCTTTTATTTTTATTTTCACATAGCTCTAGTATATTGATAGTCTTTGAAAACAAAAGAGCATTCAGTTTATAGCATCTTGTTTTTAGTAGTAGTGCTGTTTCCATTTACAAAATAGGGTGACTCTTGATTGCTGTAAATTAAATGAGTCCTGGCAGCAATCTGCTCGCTCTCTCTCTCTTTTTTTTTCTCCTAAATAGGAAATGAGTTTTAAATGCATAGTTATTTCACCCTTGGTCTTGTGAGGGAGACATTGTAACGTCCATTTTTTCAGTACTGGGGATCGAACTCAGGACCTTGCACTTGTGAGACAGGCACAGCGCCACTGAGCTAAATCCCTGGCCTAATGTCTATTTTATAAGTGAGAAAACTGCGACTCACAGAGGTTAAGGGTCCGCCCCAAGGCACACAGCAAGCAGGCAGAGGTGTGGGAGCCAGTTCAGCCTGGCGCTAGAGCCTCTCCGGATTGGACACGGTTCCTTAGTGACTGCTGCATCCCAAACTGCCTTGGTGGGGACGAGGGTCCGGCAGTGCCTGTGCTGATAGCGCTCACACTCTGGTAGCAAGTTTGACAAGGAGCACCCACGTACACAAACAAGATCATCCCAGAATGCATTAGGGCTCTGAAAGAATCGTAAATCAGATGCACTTATAAATCTGAGATCACAAGCCAGGAGTGGTAGTGCAGGCCTGAAATCCCAGCACGCTGGCGGGCTGAAGCAGGAAGATTGCAAGTTTGAACCCAGCCTGGACAATTTAGCAAGACCCTGTCTCAAAATGTTTAACAACTTAAAAAAAGGCTGGGGGCCGGGGATTTAGCTCAGTGGTTCCGCCCGCCTGCCTCACAAGCACAAGGTCCTGAGTTTAATCCCCAGTACCAAAAAAAAAAAAAAAAAAAAAAAAAAAAAAAGGGCTGGGGATGTAGCACAGTGTGAAGGCTCTGGGTTCAATCCCCAGCATCATTAATTAATTAATTAAGTAGAGATTACAGAGAAAGGGTACTTCTTTTTTTTTTGACCCTGCAGGATCTCGTTATGTAGCTCAGGCTGGCCTAGAACTCACGTGATTCTTCTGCCTCAGCCTCCCAAGAGCTGGGATTACAGGCCAGTGTCACTACTCTGGGCTAGAAGGGATACTTTCAATTGGGGACTCAAGGTCAACATCTCCAAGGACCCCAAATCACGGAGAAGCGTGGCTGGTCCGGAAAGAGTCAGAGAGGGCGTGAACGGAGCAGGGTCCCGCCCCGCCCGGCCTGGAGGGTGACGTCATGGCGCCCGTCCTGTGACGTTGGCCTCTGGCCACTTGCGGATCGTCTGGCGAGGGAGGACCCGCCCGCGGGGGGCACGGGCACGGATGAGGAAAGTGTCAAACAAGCCCTCTCTGTCCCCGCAGGCGGGTGGGTGCGCGGCCCCGCCCAGCGCTGGTTGCTAGGGACGCCCGGCGGTCGCTGGGGCGGGACCGCCGGCCGAGCTGAGTCTCTGGGCTGGCGGCTGCGGAGGGCGGGTTAGGGTTAGGGTTAGGGCGGCGGCGGCACCATGAAGTCGGCCAAGAAGGACTCCCGCGTCCGAGTCCCCGGCAGGTTCTTGGAGGCCGCCGAGAACTTCAAAGGTTGGCGCCGGCTTCCTTAGGTGCTCAAGAGAACCCAACGGGAGAGCTCAGGATGGGGCTCAGGACTGGGGCCTGGAGGACCCCGGTAACCCTAGGGATACAAAAGTCAAGACACCTGGGACCCGGGTGTGGTGGTGTACACCTTTCATCCCAGCACCGGGGCCGCTGAGACAGGAGGATCTAAATTCCAGCCCAGCCTGGGCAATTTAGTGGGACCCTGTCTCCAGACAGGGCTGGGCATATAGCTCAGGGTGAAGGCTCTAAATTCGATCCTCAATACCGGTAAAAAAAGCGGGAAAGAGATAAACCCTCCCAGGTCACGCCCACAGTAAACCCCCCCCCCTTTGGAACAGCAAATCAGCTTTAACATCCTGTCACCCACTCCCATGAGCCTTTGGGGGCCACTGTCTTTCTATGCCCTGACAGAGGGTATCAGGGTTAAATGTGTGACCCCAACCCTCAAGAAATTCAGAGTCTAGGGAGACCCCAAGGAGAACCAGATAAGAATGGCCAGATAAATGCTGTAGGTGCCGTTGGTGGGTTGGGGGGCTCAGAGCACCTACCCAGACCCCGGGTAGTGGGGTTAGGGAGGAAGGTATTTTGAAAACGCTGATATTTATGGCAGAGGAAGAGAAGGAGAGGGAAGGGAGGGAAAAAAGGAGGAGAAAGAACGGGAAGGGGGTGGGGTGTGCTTCCACAGACTTGGGGAGCAGAGATTCCTGGACCCCTGAACCTGAGAGCCTGAGGGGGCTGGCAAGTAGGCGGGGCACCGTGCAGGGTCCAGAAGTCCAGGGCTCCCAGCCTCAGCTGCTCAGGGGGCACTCAGGGTGTGGAGGAGGCCAGGGTTGGGGTCAGCAGGGTTTCCTGTGAGGCCCGGAAGACTGACAAGAGCCTGTGGCTCTCAGTGTGGCTTTCTTTTATGCTTCTTCACAGTGCAAAAGGCTGGTGCTGTTCCGTGACATACTTTTTAATAGTTAAGGGACTAGGGGGCAGGAATCTGATTCCCTTTTCCAAGGGCAGTCAAGGGCTTTTTCAGCACCCGCTCCTGCTTACCTCATTTCTGTTCGATCCTAATCAGATGGGAACTTTCTGCTGTAAACAAATCAAGGAAAGATTTTTCACTGTGTTTATTTTTAATAAGGGGAAAATTAAACAGCCCTGGGGTTAAGAACATGCCCCGGGCAGAGTGAGGCAGGTGGAAGTGAAGGGCTTAGCAGGCACGAGCCCTTTTTCCTGAACTTCCTTAGGGAAGCCCCCTATATGCTAGGACGCTGTCGCCTGTAATCTGGTGCTGTTTCCATGGCCTCGGAATCATGAGCGGAAAAGGCGAGCAGATCCAGTGACCGGAAATCTGTTTAGGGGCTTGAGAGGCCTAGGTTTCTTGCTGGTCTTGTTGCTAGGAAACAGGGAGGCCTCCCCATGGTCCGGACCCATCCTCCTTCTTTGCTGAGTAAAATGCTGTCCTCGTAGGAGCAGTCCTTGCCTAGCCTACATGAGGCCAGAATTTCCCAAAGATTTTAATCAACACTAAAACCTAAAAAAAGAATTACATTTATTTTATTTATTTATTTTTTTCAGTACCGGAGATCAAACTCAGGACCTTGTGCTTACCAGGCAGGTGCAGCACCACTGAGCTAAATCCCCGGCCCAAAAATTACATTTAGATAAAATAAGAAGCAGAAAAATGAGTCCAGCCAGGTATGGTGGCTCATGCTTATAATACCAGCACTCATGAGGCTGAGGCAGGAGAATTACTTCTCTGAAATTTCAGGGCCAGCCTGAACTACATAGCAAGACCCTGTCTCAAAAAAAATAAAAAACAAAAAAACCTGAGCTAAACAAAACAAACAAAAAAATGAACCTTGAGTCCAGGTTTTTCCTGTCTCCATAGTTCCCTCCAGCAGAAGTCACCTAACTGCCCTGTGCTGGGGGCTGGTGCCTTTGACCCCTCAGCTGTCAAGATGGATGAAGAAATGCCAGCAGCACTCAGCTTCGGCTTTCTTCCCTGACCCCTTTTTTTGACACAGGGTCTCTGTGTATTCCAGCCTGGTCTTGAGCTCACTATGTAGCCCAGTCTAGCCTTGAACTTGTGGTGATCCTCCTGCCTCAGCCTCCTGAGTGCTGGGGATTACAGGTGTGCAACACCGTGCCCAGCTAAGGTGCATATTTTGGCTGGGGATTTAGCTCAGTGGTTCCAGTGTCTGCTTCGAAATCACAAGGTCCTGAGTTCGATCCCCGGTACCAAAAAATAAAAAATAAAATGCATATCTTATTTTAATGACTATTTAATTCTCTGGAACACACCATTCCCTGACTGTGCGCAGTAACAGAGCATTTACTGTATTGCATTCAAGATGACTGACTCAGAAAAACCTCAGACCAGTGTTGCTGGCTGCTTCAATCTGAAACATGAAGAAGTAGCTTCTGCGTCACTAAATGAGGTGGGAGCCCTGGGCCCAGAAAGCTTCGGTAGTGTTGAAGGTCTGTACTCCCCTGAGGTAATTCTGCACCCACTGGTGAAACGAACACACACATCTGGAGATGTTTAATCCCACGGGAAGACGTAGACCAATCAAGGTGATGGGGAGAAGAATAATGTACCAAAACATTTATAAACTCAGATCTTCATCCAGTACTGGCTCTCTCATGGGCTGTCACTAACTTTGAGGAGTTTGTGTAGAAGGGAGAAGTGGTGAGATCAAAGGCTGAGGCTGCATCTCTATGCGCGGTGGCCGATCAGCCCTCCATGTGTTTGTGTGCATTCGTGCATTTGTGTTTAGTGGACTGTGGCCCATAGGCGGAATTTAGAGTTATGTTTTGAAAGACTGGGGCTTTTTTTTTTTTTTTGCCACCATTTGGACATTTCCTTTAAAAGTAGTTTGATTTTAGGGCCGGGGATTTAGCTCAGTGGTTTCGCCGCCTGCTGCGCAACCGCAAGGACCCCAGTTCGATCCCCAGTACTAAAAATTAAATAAATAAATAAAATAAATAGAAAGTATACCATTAAAAAAAAAAACAAGTGGGGCCGGGGATTTAGTTCAGTGATTTCGCCGCCTGCTGCGCAAGTGCAAGGACCTGAGTTCAATCCCTGGTACCAAAAAAAAAAATTTTGATTTTACCAGGAATGGTAATCCCAGCACTATGGGAGGCTGAGGCAGGAAGGTGGAAAATTCAAGCTCAGCCCAGACAATTTAAACTAACGAGGGCTAGGGATGTAGCCCAGTGCAAAGGCCTTGGGTTGCATCCCTAGTAATACATAACACACACACACACACAGAGTTTGATTTTTTTTTTGGTACCGGGGATCGAACTCAGGACCTTGTGCTTTTGAGGCAGGTGCTGGAACCACTGAGCTAAATCCCCGGCCCAATAGGGAAACATCTTTTCTTTTTTTTTTTGGTACCAGGGATCGAACTCGGGTCCTTACCCTTGCGTAGCAGGTGTCGAAACCACTGAGCTAAATCCCCGGCCCCAGAGTTTGGTTTTGTTAACTAAAACTCCTCTCTTGATGTTTTAGTGATATATTATCTTAAAAATTAGAGAATTTGAGCCAGGTGAGGTGGCACAACACCTGTAATCTCAACTCTGGAGGCTGAGGAAGGAGACTGAGCTCAGTTTGAGTCCAGCCTGGGCTACATATCAGAGACCCTGTCTCAAAAGAAAAATTTTAAAAAAGGGCCGGGGATTTAGCTCAGTGGTTCAGCTGCCTGCCTTGCAAGTGCAAGGGCCTGAGTTTGATCCCCAGTACAATAAAAAAAAAAGAAGATTTGGGTGCTTTGAGAAGCAGAAGAAAAAACAAATTTGGCTTTAAAAGCCTCAAAGCCAGGGCTTAGGTTTTCTTGCGATTGTTTTGTGGCATTCGGAACCAGAGGGAGAAGGTCGGGGTCACAGCCGGAGGAAGGAGCTGCACACTGCCTGGCTAAGTGGTGCCCTGTGCCCTTGGTGCCCACACTGCAGCTGCGGGAGGGACGCAGGCTGGGATCGCTCCCTATCCCTCTGGCCTCAAGAGCACAGTAGTCATGGTTCCTTCGTTCTGCTGTGGTCTCCAGTCTCACACCCCAGGCCATCTTGTGCCAGGCTCTGCCCCCAGTGGAAAGGCTGGAGTCCTTCACTCTACATGGCCCAGCAGGCTCTGTGAGGAGCGGCTTCCTGCTTCTGCCTTGCTATGCTGTGCTGCGGGACAGGTGCCTGGAGTCCCAGGGCTGCAGGCTGCTCTGCCCTAGAGCCATTTCCCAGCCTGACTTCTCACTTTTCCCTGTGCATTTAAGCATCGCAGGAAGCCTTCCCTGTCCACTCCATCGACAGGACTGGGACCCCTGGATGTCCCCATAATGTCACTAACTTAGTGTCCCCTGGGGATGTGCCCTTCGTACACTGAGATGCTGCCTTGTGTCCGCAGAACATAGCACCAAGCCTGATAAACCATCATTAGTAAATGAAATAGTATAGGACAAATTGTCTGTGGGGAACATGCTATTTCCCACACAGTATCTTTTTTTAACCAGTCTTAAGGAACTCGATGCCTTCACCCCAAACCAAAGTGCCAGCACTAGAAGAGCCCCAGGAGATGTCTAGTGCAGTTGTCCCAAACTACTGTACACCAGGATTTAAGTGGGGTTTTTGTTGTTGTTGTTTTTGGTACTGGGGATCGAACTCGGGTCCTTGAGCTTGTGCAGCAGGTGGCAAAACCACTGAGCTAAACCCCTGGCCCTGTTGTTGTTTTTTGAAGACAGGGACTTGCTATGTATTCCACGCTGGCCTTGAACTCACTATGTAGCCCAGACCGGCCTCAAGCTTGCAGGGATCCTCCTGCCTCAGCCTTCTGAGTGCTGGAATTATACGAAGCAGCTTTCCAGGATTTAATTTTTTAAATTCAAGGGAGCTGGGGCTCTGGCTCCACACAGTTGAAGACCGAAGCCTCAGTCACTGTGTCAGTCCAGGGACAATGGGTAGGTGACCCTGAAGAGAGACCTTAAATAGCCCAGCAGGGTGCTATGGAGACCACTGCCAGGCTATGGGAGTGGCCAGCCCTGCTCCTCCGTGCACTCTACTATGGAATCGTCATTTTATTTTTATGTTTACATGTACAGCAACCTCCATATATAAAAACTTGCAATTCTCTCTCTCTTTTTTTTTAATCAGACCGGAAGCAGGCAAAGATACCTGAGCAGCCCACACCCCCCATTCAGCAGGAGCCTGAGCCCATCAGCAGCGTGCTCCAGGGAGACGACATTCTTGCCTTGGCCATAAAGAAAGAGGACTTGAAGAAAGTAAGGAGGAGCCAGGCTCCCCAGCCCTGCCGGCTATGTGGCCACACCCCGTCTCTGCCGCTTCCCGGCCCCAGGGAGCATCCTTGTCCAGGGAGAAACACCAGTTCTTTCCACTTCAGCATCTGCAGGAGTTCAGCGTGTTGTCTGTTTTCACATTTCTGAGATTTGGGTGGAATTCATGAGAGAATGAGGTGTCTCGCTTCCCAGAGAGCCAAGTGCCAGGGTTCCCATTTCAGAGACGAGAAAATGACTATTTGTTTGTTTGTGTTACTAGGAATTGAACCCAGGGCCTTCCCGCTCAGCTACATCCCAGCTTTTTTTTTTTTTTTTTTAATTTTGAGACAGGGTCTCGTTATGTCACTAAGTCACGCAGACTGGGCTCAACTTGCCATCCTCCTGCCTCAGCCTCCCAGAATGTTGGGATTACAGGCAGGAGCCACCATGGCCAGCTGAAAAATGAGTTTAAGCAGCCGAGGTGGGGATGCTGCTAGAACTGCTGACCCCTAGCCCCCTGCTCTACCTGTCAGCCACTTCTCACCTGGAGGCTTCCACTGCTATTTTTTCTCCCCGAGATGCTGCTATGTCTTGTGTCTGTTCCATAGACATTTCCTCGAGGGAACATATGGGCCAAGCTGGGGAAGCAGGCTTGCCAGACTTCAGGAAACCCACCCGGAGCTGGCACGGAGGACATGGGGGTTCCTCCTCCTCCTCTTCACAGGTGCAATTCCCCTCTGTTTTCTTTTTAGCAACACATTCCTCGCCTTTCTGAAGACAGCCCTGCCATCATCCAGAAATTTTTCATCCGGAAGCTCAAACCCAAGGATTCTCAGAGGAAGATCTGCCACTTAGTAGCCCATCCTGTGAACCCAGATGTGGCCACAAAGCCCCTGGCCTACTTGGGTAGGGCCCGTCTTCATCGGAAAGCTGCCCCATTCGGGGGTTTACATCCCCAACCTGCAGCTCCTCTTTCCCTGTCCCTCTTTCCCCTCAAGGTCCCGGTGACAGCTTCGATGGACGTGACCAGATCCTGCCTCACCACATCTTGGGAACTCTCCAGGACTTTAAGAGAATTGCAGTTGCTCGAGGGAACACCCAGGTTCGTTTGTACAGAGCTGCCTGGCCGAGAGCAGTTACTGAAGGCATTTTCTTCTGCCACCTACAGTCAAGCAGGGTCACGTGGGGCAGAAGGCGGCCTTCCCATCATGCAGTGCTACTCTGTCCTCAGATCCTTCTCCACCATGGTGCAGGTTGCCTGGGGTGGCATAAAAAGGCTCAGTCACCCTGGGCAAAAGGGCCACTTAACATCAGTTGTGAGGCAGAAAGCTAACACTCAAAGATGCTCATTGAAATCAGAATCGGTGTCCCCCTGGTCCTGTGATTTGCTGTCACCCGCCACTCGCAGACCCGCAGGGAGCATTCTCAGTGGATGTCGGGAGGATCTGGTTCCAGATGGGCCCCAGAGAGTCCCCCTCCCCAGTGCCCACCTGGTGCTTTCCAGCTGGCCGAGCTGATCCGAACCCCACCCTGCCTCATGACCCTCATCTCAGCTAGAGAAGAACCAACACCAAAGGCCCCAAAGGAGAAGAAGAGGCATCCCCGGGCCCCACCGCCTCAGCACAACTTTCTGAAACACTGGCAGTGGCACGTGGCCCTGCGGAAGAAGCAGCAGAAAGCCCTCAGTGGTGAGCAGAGCCCGTGGGGCTCCTGCCTGGCCTCCATCTGGCATGGACACTCTGCTCAGCTTTTTCTCGCCCCCTCCTGTCCTCTGGACTCAGCTTGATGTGTGATCTCAGCGTTGTGGGAGGCCGAGGCAGGAGGACTACAAGTTTGAACTGAGTCTGGGCATTTTAATGACTTAGGAAGCTCCCTGTCTCTTAACTGTCAGTAGGGATCCCAGACCCTTTGATAGTCTCTTAGTGACTTAGGGAAACCCTGTCTCAAAATAAAAAATAAGAAAAGGAGCCAGGGATGGAGCTCAGTGGGAATGTCCTGGGTTCGATTCTCAGTACTGCAGTGCTGCAGTGTGGGGCACCAGGACCCTGGGTATCGACCTGGCTGAGTGGTTGCATTCCTGGCCCTCGCTCCCCAGAGCACCTGAAGAAGCCAATCAACGAGCTGCTGATGCACTCGGGTGAGACCTACAGACAGATCCAGGAGGAGAGGGAACTCATCGACCGCTTGCTGCCAACCGGGCATGATGGCAAAGTGAGGACAGCCACTCCCAAGTGCCCTGGCTGGGGGTGGGGTGCAGGGGAGGTGTCTGGACACGGAGATGGCTTTTCACAGGTTGCAAAGCTGGGGAGGAAGCAAGCTCACCTTGGCAGAGCACTGTGAAATGCTCGGGGCTGCACTGAACTCTACTGTTGGGTGTCGGAGGGCAGGTTCATTTAATAACTCAGCCCAAGGTGGTCACAGTAGTCGACTTAATTACTGAGTTGTTGCAAGAGCTGCAGGTGTTTCTGGTAAAGGCTTAACCTCAGCCCTTGGGCTTCTCGAGGCTCTGTGCTTTGTCCATGGGCATTAGCAAGCACCCAGCCCTGCCCACAGCACCTCTCTGGGGGCAGTAAAGGCTATGGCAGGCAGCCTGGACAGGAGCAGGCATGTGTGTGCCTTCTCTTCTGCCATCAGGCAGCCTTGGACCCCCATCCCGCCCCATGGAGCGCTGTAGCCTTGGCTGCTCTTGTCTTCCCAGCCCCTGGCCAAGATGTCGAGGTGACTCCCTGCTCTGTCCCCCTTGCCAGGACTACAAGAAGACCAGTGCATTCTGGAGTCCCCTGGAATACTTGGGAGGGGAGATGACGGGTTTGGTCATTACCAAGACAAAAACTCAGCGTGGATTCATGGAACCCATCACCTGCATCAGGAAGCCGCGCTCGATCCAGGCGGAAACCGGTAAGGGGGAGGGCTGTAAACCAGCCAGCATCAGTGCCTGCCCAGGGGACAGGGCAGAGTGATGGGCACCAGCCTGGCTTGGTGGGACCAAATCCTGGCTGTCTGTGGCCTTGGGCAAAGCCCCAGGTCCTCCCTGAGGTTCAGCTCTGCTTTAGCAAAACTGTGACAGAAAAGGTCGAAGAGGCAGCCTCCCTCCGGCCATGCCCAGCTGTTGAACGCCTGGAATGTGGCTTGTCAGGGCATGCTACACCCTGGGTTTCAAAGACTAGGTTGGAGAAATACAATTAATAATTTTTATATTGGTTACACATGGCAATGGCAATCATTTTGATATATTGAGTGAAATAAACCAATGAAATGAATCACACCTCTCATTACCTTTTCAGTATAGCACCTAGAAAGTTTGTGATGACACACAGGGTTGGATTATGTTGCGTGTGGGCAGCCCTGCTTTAGAGCTGCCAGCCACCTGGGTTCAGGTCCCAGGGTGTCAGGTTTCTGAACACCACTGAGTTCTTACTGTATTTGACCCCTCCGGCCCTCGGTTCATCATCTGTAGACTACACAGAGGGTTGGGGAGTTAAATGAGACGAGATATTTATTGAGGAGTTCAGGCTCAATAACCCACTCAACAGGCAGCTGCCCAGCCCTGGGGGAGGCTGACACAGTTTGCTTGCAAGTTTGAGTTCTGCTGGGGTGATTTAGGGAGACCCTGTCTCAAAATAAAAAATAAAAAGGGCTGGGGATATAACTCAGTGGTACAGCGCCCCTGGGTTCAATCCCCTGTAATGAAAAAGAAAAAAGTAGCTGCTGTGGTTGTTTTTCATTGTGACCCAAAGTCTTGGTGTTTGGAAGCTTGTTTTGCGGGGGTCCCATGTAGGGCTGCTGAGCAGCAACGGGGCATCCAGAGGCCTCGCGAGTATTTTCCATCCTTGTTGGAGATGATGTTAAGATGGGGGCTGTCAGCGTCCCGGGTGAGTGGGTAGGAGGGGTGCGGCTGAGGCGGCAGCTGGTGCTGAGGCCCTCGGGCCCCCTCTAGGATTATCTGCACCGAAGGACGCTTCGTTCCACCGTGCCTGGGACCGGAGTCTCTTTCTGAACTACCGGCGCAGGGAGCTGCAGAACCTGATGGCCGAGCTCGATTTTAGCCAGAGGGTTGGTGGCGCCTTCATGTCCTGGCTGAGGGTCCTGGGGTGGTACCCGCCTTCGGGCAGCTCACCTTTCCTCCCATGTCCCCTGAGGATGTCGATGGCTTGGAGGTGGTGGGCCGAAGGCAGCCCTTCTCGTCCGTCACAGTGGAGGACATCGGCCTGTTTGGAAAGAGCCAAGCGAGTGCCTCGGAAGACACAGCTTGCCAGCAAGTGGAGGGACAGCGGCCAGACAATGTGGCTTCCCCAGGCGCCCACGGGTGTGCGGAGCGGGTTTCCCTTCTGGGAGTTGGCAGAGCTACGGCTCTCTAGATCTCCCGGCAGCCGTGTCTGTGGGCTCCACATGGTCTGATCGTATGGCCTTCGAAAACCTAAGTCTGGTTTTTCTTATAGAGACTTCTGGGCTGGTCACAGTGATGCAGCCCCCATGTCTATTCTCGGTCCTTCTCTGCTATTCTGCGGGAAGCCCGCTTGCTGGATCAGAGGCCGCAACCCGCAGGACAAGGTAGAGCCACCTGCACCATCACCCCCTGGTGGAAGGGCCTCCCTGGGGGGGGGTGCAGCCCAAGGTGACCATGGCAGTCACAAGGAGCTGGTGCAGTCTCCTGTTGGCATTTTTATCTGGTTACACGTTTGCCATGTCTGAAAATGGTAACAGCGACACTACCTCAAGCAAGAATAAAATCACACAGCTGAAAAGAGACCATCACAAGCTACCCAGTGTGCACCTCGCCCCCAAGCAGGTAGCTAGGCAGATTCTCACAGCCACAGGGCCTTCAGAAGTTCTAAAATAGTCCTCAGATGCTGAGGAGCGGAAATGTATGTGCTGGGTAGCAAACCTATTTATTTTCTTACTGTTGATAGTAACCTCAGAGACAGCCATCACTGGGTATGACACCACTCTGAGGGTGGCCAGGCCCCTGAGGCCTGGGACAGGGACTTTTAGCACTAAGCCCAGAGAAGTTGCAAGCAAAAGGGGATGAACTGCTCACCTTCCAGCTGAGACATTTCTCATGCCTCCTCCTTGCCCAGAGCCAGGTCGGAATCGGGGTGCGCTTGACCTTTGAAACCCTTGAAGGGGAGAAGACGTCCTCAGAACTGACCACAGTCAACAACGGCACGGTGGCCATTTGGTATGACTGGCGGCGGTGGCCTCAGCCCGACTCTTTCCAGGACTTAAAAAGAAGCAGGATGCAGCGGTTCTATTTCAACAACCGGGAAGGTACCGAAAAGCTGCCCTCCTCTGGCTTCCTGGTTTGTTTTGTTGTTGTTGTTATTGTTGTTGTTTTGATACAGGGTCTCACTGTGTAGTTCAGGCTGGCCTAGAACTCGTGGTGACCCTCCTGCCTCAGCTTCCCGAGTGCTGGGGTCACAGGTGTGTGCCACTGTGCCCAGCTTTCTTCCTGGTTTTGTCTCAGCATCCAAAAGATACCAACATCCAGTCAGTGCCTGGATCCTGCAAGCTTGAAGCCTTCCTCCTTGCCTTGTCCCCCTGTCCTTCAGTGAAGAATGTGATCTTGTTACCAGACAGGGTCCCGGGAGGGAGCAAAGTGGAGATGGGAAATCAACTTCCCTCACTCTATCCATGGGATAAGTTGTAGATTTGCTGACTTCCATTGCATAAGAAGAATTTTTAGGATGCATCAGTGAGAGGCAAAAAGGATTTATTAGGCAGAATTCTTTTTTTTTTTTTTGGTACCAGGGATTGAACTCAGGACCTTGCACTTGCAAGGCATTGAGGCAGGCGCCAGAACCACTGAGCTAAATCCCCAGCCCGATTAGGCAGAATTTTTAAAGTATGAACTCGAAGAAATAGAATATCAAGGGCTGGGGATTTAGCTCAGTGGTTTCATCGCCTGCTGCACAAGCGCAAGGACCTGAGTTCAATCCCCGGTACCAAAAAAACAAGCAAACAAACAGAAATAGAATATGAAGTGTTGAGAGAGAGACAGAGAAAGAGAAAGGGGGGCACATTATTGCATTATTTCTTGGACCTGAGAACATTTATGTTTCTCTTGAGGGAGTGGAAAATTATGGAAAAGATGGCTCACCCCCCACCCAGAAGGATAATTAGGGTCTTGGTATGTAGCCCAGGCTGGCCTTGAATTTGTGGTGATCTTCCTGCCTCAGCCTCCTAAAAGCTGGGATCATAGGCATGCGCCACCATGCCTGGCAAAAGTACAATTTTTAAGTTACGATTTTCCATGTCTCCTTTCTACCTATCTTTATTTCTTCTATCCTGTGTCAGTCTAAAAGCTTGTGTCTGTTGAGAGAATGAGGAATGCTTGGGAACATAGGCTGGTGATCTAGGAGCGCCATTACCTGCACTGCATAGGCCCGAGGCGAGGATGGACATCTGTCCCCACTTGCCTGGAACTTCCCCAGCTTTAGCACTCGAAGTCACCTGTTCCAGGAAGTCTCTCAGTCCTGGAAAACCAGGATGGCCTGGGCTGCTGTCAGACAGAGCTTGGGGGCTCAGTTAACTTTCTACATGCAAGCGTAGGGCTCAGCTGGTTCCCCCTGACCTCTGTCTCCCGCCATCTCAGGTGTGATTCTGCCTGGAGAAACAAAAACCTTCACCTTCTTCTTCAAATCTTTGAATGCCGGGATCTTTAGGGAGTCTTGGGAGTTCCGGACCCACCCCACTGTCCTGGGCGGTGCCCTCCTGCTGGTCACCCTGCAGGCAGTGTCCCTGACCCAGGACATTTTCAGGGATGAGAGGAAGTTGCTGGAGGTAAGCAACCCAGGACCTCGGCCCTTGGGGACACCGGATAGGTTACCCTGGTGTTCTTGGCAGTGCCCATGGGACTCTTATTTCTCCCAGCCCAGGAGGTGAATTTTTCACAAACAGGCAACCAAGCTTGTTCCAGAAGCACTTCCAGGGCTTTGGGATGGAGCAGATGGGGCAGGCAGGCTGGGGGAGGGCAGCGGGCAGCCTCACCGGGCAGGGCCCCCAGTGAGCTGGAAAGGAATTTACGAGAGTCCCAAGATTCAGACTGCAGAGAAGGGTGTACCAAACAGATCACATGACCCTCGGCTGTATTTTGTTTCCTGCCGGCTGCTACTGTGCAGTGGAGGGACATTTAACTGATAAGACTTCCAAACCAGAGGCGACCGTTTAAAACCCATCTCCAAACCCTGCTCATCGCTGACACTCCGGGAATTTGCCACGTGCAGTGGCTCTTGTGGGCGGTGCTTTGAGGGATTCTGCAGAGATCTGTGGGGTTTTGTTCACTGAGGTCCCAGACACAGCCAGCTACTGCAGTTGGGCCTCAGCCAGGGTGATCAAAGGTGATTTTGGGAAACGTCAGGCTCCTGGTACTTGCTGACTGTAGGGCCGATGCCACAGGAGATGTCTTTGACCGAGTGGCCAGGCTGAGTGAAAGGTCACTGCCATTCTTAGTAGTGCCCAAACTGTGCACCCTGCCCCTTCCTAATGGAGGAAATGCTAAGGTGAGACCTCCAGGTCCCATTCAAGAGCCACTGTCCTTTGGGTCCCTTCTGGGGAACAAGGATGTTTGGAGAGAAACACTCCCAAAGGCTTTTGAGTCTTGGAAGAGGTGTGTGTGAGAGAGAGAGGTGATGGTTGGAACTCTGACCCTAGGGAGGCACAAGGTCCCCAGGGGCCTGGCCTCCTCGAGGACACATGGGTGCTGGGAGTCTGGGCTGCCGTCAAGTGCCACCTTCCCTTCCCCAGAGCAAGCTGGCTGCCCATGAGTCGGTCATCATCGTGCACACTGTGCTGCAGGAACTGCTGAGGGGGATCCTGACCCCGGAGCGCACGCCGTCCCCTGTGGACACCTATGTGACAGAGGAGGACTTGTTCCACCGCGGGAACCCTGAGGTACAGGCTCTGTGCTGTGCATGGTCTTCCCCAGCAGCCCTATGGGATCAGGGTGCCGTTTACACCCTCATTTTACACTGTGGAAGCCGAGACTCAGAGAGGTTAAAGCCGATGGCCAGGACAGCCAGCAAGTGGAGGGCTGGGAGGCACAGAGTGGCACAGACTCCTCAAAGCCGGCCTTTCTTTTTTTTTTTTAGTTTTGTTTTGGGTACACGGTCTTCCCTGTGTTTAGCCCAGGCTGGCCTCAAATTCGTGGCACTCCTCCTGCCTCAGCTTCCCGAGTGCCGGCATTACAGGCGTGCACCACCACGCCCAGCAAAACCCAGTCTTTCTTGGCAGCCCCAATGCAAAAATAGTTTTAATTGGAGATGCTCTGGTTGAAGGGGAAGTGGGGATCCTGCTGGCCCCCTTGTTCCTTGTCAGTGCCCGGAGCAAGGGGAAATGGTAGCTGGCTGGTGTGGGCTCCACACACTCTGGCCAGCCTCCCCCTCACCACCCTCTCTGCCTCTGCTGCAGCTGCATTACCAGCACCAGCTGGTGCAAGGCCTGCACCGGCTGTGGCACCAGTACATGGTCCCGCCCCTCAAGGACAGAGAGCCCTGGCTCAGCCAGGAGGAGCCCCTGAGCTCCAGGATCCAGGCAGCCTCTCTGGAGAAGGCCCCAGGGAATCCTGAGCACTTTAGGAGTCCAGTCCCCGAGCTCCAGCTGCACTGGCCGGAGAGCAAGGCCCTCGGGGACCCCCGAGACCCCCTCCTGTCCCAGAAGTCTGCAGCAGGGACCAAGAATTCCCCGAGCAAGCGCATCACGGAGGAGATCCTGATGGAGGAGATCCAAGACTGGGAGAGCTCCAGGAGCTGCTTGGAGCCTGAAGGCTTCTCCCTGCCCCAGTGGAACCTCTGCCTGGGGGACTTCAGAAAGGTGCTCCTGAGACTCGGAGTGGATGGTGGACAGCTGGGTGCAGTGCAGTGCTCAGAGCCAACAAGGGACACCCCAGCAGCCCCACTCACCCCACGGGCAGAGACTAAACCTCCTGAGGGCCCAGAGAAAGTGATCTTTTGGGTCCCATCTCTTTTTTTTCTGGGGTGCCCAGGTGTACCATAAACAGGAGGGTCTCCCTCTGAGAGCATGGCAAAACTTAGAAAAGGATTCAAGGGTACGGATTTCTGAGGGAGGTGCCAGGCCCCACAAAAGGTCCCCTAGACAGACTCCATGGCTCCTGGCCCCTCACCCTCTGTCCCATATTGCTGTACCCATCCCTAGAGGATGTAGGGACCTTTGGGGTCCTGTGGCAGGATGGTTGCCCATGGTGCCCATGCCCCTCACCAGGCCGTGATGACTCTCCCCGAGGAGCACGAGAGAGAGGACGTGCTCATCAGGCTCAACAGGGCAGCCCTGGAGCTGTGCCCAGAGCAGAGGCCGCTGCAGCCTGACCTCCTGTACCAGCTGTGGTAGGTCCAGTCCACTCTCCCATCCCCGCAGCCGCCCTGGCTCCTTCCCTTCGTCAAATCTGGGCAGGGATCCTGGGGAGGAAGTTCCAGGACTCAAGGGGCTGAGCTTCCCTTGAGCTCAGGTTGCTAAAGATGCTGCTGACACCTGTGCCCCAGAACCTGCTGCAGTAGCCCTTTTACCCAGCAGAGTAAATTCCTGGCCTTTCCTTTTTCCGTTCCTCTCCTCTTGTTCCTTCTCATTGAGTGGAATAATGAAAAAAAGGAACAAGTAGAGGTCTCCGAGAAGAGGGGCAGATTCCATGAAGAGCTTCCCTTCCGTGTTGTCACCCTTCCCATTGTGTGGGGGGACTCGCTTGTGCAGGGTTAGGGGGCTTTTGCATGGCCCAGCCCTTCCTGCAGGGCAGGCCCCACATCTGGCTGCTGCTCCATGCAGACCTGTATGAGATCCTGAGCCAGGCCCGGGGCATCTTTTCTTCTGAGCACCAGAGAGGATGCTGGCTGCGTGGTGTTTCCATGCTAGCTCCTGGCACTAGGGACCTGGGCCTCTGCAGGTTCAAGGGCAAATGAGGAACCAGGGATTTTCTGCAAGGTTTGCTCCTATAGTTTGCAGCTGTGGCGAGATGTGATCGACAGCCTGGTGTGCCACTCCGTGTGGCTGAGGATGCTGCTGGGCCTCCCGGAGAAGGAGACCATCTATGTGTTCATCCCAGAAGAGCAAGGTCAGAGGCCTTTGTGTCATCTCTCCCAACCCCCTGCCCTGGCGGCTGTGGGCTCTTGACCATTTGTTATCCCACAGTGGATGCCCTGCTAGGTGGAGCCCATGGAGCCCCAGCACCCTTCTATCTGCTGCCAAGACTTGGGACCCCAAAGCTACCCTAGCAAACCCTTTAGCAATCCCCTCTTGTTTTGCAAGTGGAGTCCCAGAGAATGTAAATGACTTTTCCGTGGCCATACACAGGGAATAATAGTAGGACTGGACGTAGAACCCAGCCTTTCTCTCTGTTAGGTTTTTTTTGAGGCAGGGTCTCCCTAAGTATTTCAGGCTGAACTTGAGCTCACTCAGTAGCCCAGGCGAGCGTGGAACCCCACCTCTTGTCTCTCCCCTGAATGAGGCAGCCTGTGGGGGCTGCAGAGAACTGGGCCCTGGGCTGTCACTCTTCACAGTCCCATCTCGAGCCTAGGATGTCAGTGAGGCTGCAGGGCACCCCGCCCATCACCTTCTGCTCACCTCCCTTAGATCAGAAATCTCTTCCCACCATGGAAATGAAAGTGACAGCTGGGAGAGTTGGGAAGGAGGAGCGGAAAGGAGCACCCCAGGAAAAGAAGCAAGGGGGAGTCAGAGACAAAGAGGACAAAAAAGGAAGCAAGACACCCGTGAAAGAGGCATGTGGGGCTCGGTCTGCACCCCGGGTGGGCGGGGAGGGGACTGGAGGGGCTTTGGAAGGTGGTGGTGGCTCCAAGGGGGCCACCGTGCAGAACGTCTGAGCCCACCTCGGGAGCTGTGGGGACCCCGTCTCCCCAAGCAGGAACGTGTGAACAGCAAGAAGCAGAAGGCGAAGGAGGACAAGAAAGTCATAAAGTCTACAAGTCATGACAGGCTTTCCTCGGAAGACCCCACGCCTGAAAGCGCCATGGCATCTCAGGAGCCCACAGACCCTCTGGTCATGGAGAAATACATGCAGCAGCTGCACACTGAGGTGCGGGCAGTCTCGGGCCACGCCTCCCTGCCACACTCAGGCCCGGTCCCTCCGCTGTGACCGGTTATAAGTGCCAGAGTACAAGTGACAGAGGCAGAGCCGCTGCCCCTCAAAGGGTATTCTCGTGAGCCAAGCAGACCTATAAATTAGCATCCCAGGAAAAGTATATCGGGACAGAGCCCAGGGACAGGGGGGGTCACTTAGGTGTCAGAGGGTTGCCTCTGCTGCTGCCACCATCTGGAAAACAGACTAAGGGACACTGAAGAGAACGCTTTTCTCTCTCAGCAGCTTCCACCTCGTTAGATGCAACCTGGCATACGTGATCCTTAGATCACTGTGAGAATTGTTATAATCCATTTTTGTTGCTATAACAAAATACCACAACTGGGTAATTTATAAGGAAAGAAGTTTTGTTTCCTTGTTTTGTATTGAGAATAGGATCTTACTATATAGTTCAGTCTGGCCTTGAACTCACTATGTAGCCCAGGCTGGCCTCAAACTCACAGCAATCCTCCTGCCTCAGCCTCCCAAGTTGTGGGATTACAGGTGTCCACCTTTGGTGTTTTTGTGAGGCAGTGCAGGTTGACATGCAGGTGCCTTCTGCTGAGCAAACCTTTGCCTGCGACATCTGTCTCATTCCTCCAGGTCTACAGGTTGCTGGACACCCTGGTGATGAACCTGATGGTGTTGGCTGATGAGCTCAGCCCCATGAAGGATGTTGAGGAACAGCTGCATGTCTAGCTGCCTCGGACCAAGCGACCCCCTGGGTAACAAAGATGACAATAAAGAGCCATTAGATTTCTAGTACGTGTGTTGAGCCTGTGTCTTAGGTGCTGGATGTCCACAGGCTCAGTCACTGCCCAGGTCCTCCCAGTGCCTGGAGCCATCCCCACCTGGGGAGGTGATGGGAGAAGGACCAGGAGAAGAGCGAGTTGGTGGCAGGACAAGGAACCCAATCGGTGACAGGGCAGATAGCCGTGCCCTCAAAGTCCCTGCTCTGGTCTGCCTTGGCCCCCACCTCTAGGGTGATGCTTTCCGGAGCTGGGTTCTCCCCAGTGTCACCACCAAGTATGACAGCATGAGCCCGGGAGGGAACTGGAACCCATGGGACCTGGATCCCCACACGCCTCCACCTCCGCTGGCTCCAGGGCCACCCTAGTCCCCAGATGCCAGGCCCCTTGTCCTGTCTTCGGTGGAGGCTATTTTCAGCTCTAGTCTGTGGTATCTCCTTCCTCATGTCAAATCATCAGCCCCTGAGCCATTTGTCTGCCTTAAGAGCCAAGCATGGTGGCGCATGTCTGTAATCCGAGCACTCTGGGAGGCTGAGGCAGGAAGATGGCGAGTTTGAGCCCAGCCTTGGGCAACTTAACAATAAAGCAAGACCTTTCTCAAAATAAAAAATAAAAATGCCAGTGCAAAGGCCCTGGGTTTAACCCCTCAGTTCTGAAAAAAAAACCCAAACCCCAGCTCCGGTGTTTACCTCCCCTCCTTCGCACAGCCACAGAGGAACGTGAAGTGGGCTGGGGTGGCAACTCAGTGCCACCTGGGAAGAATGGCACCTCAGGCAGCTGCACTCCCTCATGGAGTAGGCTCAGGCTCCCAAGTTGGGGACCCACTCAGAATGGCAGGTCGCTTGTGGTCTCCAGGCACTGATGGAAGGAAAGATGGGGCGGGGTGGAGGCTAGGGAGGAGCCAGGAGCCCCTGGTGTTCACATTTGGTATTTTTGTGGGACCAGGAGGCTCAGAGAGGGCGGTGCACTCCCTCCTGGAGCTGGAGAGGTGGAGTCGATGTCCTGGGGAAAAGTCCTGTCCTGTCCTTTAATGTCCTCATGACCCTAGGAGGAGGGGAGGGTGCTGACCCCCACACCCCCCTGCTTCCCATCAAGGAGAAGGCAGAGGAAGGGCTTGGAAGTGGGGCGCAGGCTCCAGCTCCTGCACCCGCAGGGGTCCCAATCCAGCGAGCCCAGGATGCCCGCCCCGCCCCGCCCCGCCCGCCTGCCTTCCTCCTGTGTCCTGTTACTGCCGAGGCAGACTGGCCAGGCCCGCTGAGCAACTTTCCTCCGGAGTATCGCCCGCTCGCCGGCTGGAGTCTACGAGGCGACAAGAGGCAGAGCTGCAGCTCTCGGGGACCCTGCGCCGTCCTGCTGAGGGGTCTGTGCCCTCTGGGACAGAGTGGGTCTCGGGGACGAGGGTCCACAGTGGATGGCTCTGGAATTGCTGCCGAGGCTGTGCCGTCCCCCTGCCTCGTGGATAGGGTCACTGCAGAGGCCGCTGGGGCCGGGGCCCGGGGCGCGCGCGCTGGAGGTAAGTGGCGGTGCTGCCATGAGGCTTGCGGCTGAGTTTCTTTCCCAGGAGCACCAGGGCCAGGGAGGACCTGCAGGCTTTTTGCCTGTGCCGCAAGGATCTGTGGTGGCACCCAAGACCCCTGGCGGCTTTCCCCACAGACCGCCGCAGGTCTGGCCTCGGGCCCACCCCCACCCCCCCGCCTCTGTCCCGAGGCTGGCAGGACCGAAGCCCTGTCAGGACGGGCACTGCCATTCCCTCTCCCTGCTCACCTGGGGCCTGTTGGGGACTGGATAGGAAGGGGCGCCACACAGAGGTTTTGGCAAACTTGTGCACATGTCCAGACAGATCTGGGCTCTTTCCGTCCCTCTCAAAGTCCCCACCAGGGTGGGTGCCATCGGCTTCCTCAGTGCTGACTTTCGGGAATCTTCCCCCACCCTTGTCCTCCAGGACCTGAGAAGCGTTGCCTCCCCAGGACCCCCAAAGTTCTCCTTGGGACCCCCTGCCCCTCCCGCCCCAGCTGTCACTACTCTGCCTGCCGCACCCTCCTGCCTCTGCCTTCTCCCCAGCTCCGAATGGGCCTCCTGGGCCCTGGCTGCTCAGTGTCCTTCCCTGTGCCCAGCAGGGCCTGGCTCAAGGTTACTGCAGTAATTCCATATGGCTGCCTGGGGCTGCCACCGCTGCGGCCTTATCGGCAGCTGGGTTGGGTTTCACCGCCTTTTATGCCTGGGCATATTGTGTTCGATAAAACCCTTGCTTGTAACCCTGCTGGCAGGGCTCCCGGCCGCTCCCTCCTGCCTCCTGCCTCCTGCCTTCTGCCTCTCCTCCCCCTGGAGCTCTGAGCCTGACCCCGTCCCCTCAGACACCAGGCAGGAAGGTCAAGCCTTTCCCTTGCCCCTGACCTCTCCCTTTGCCTGCTCCCCAAAGGTGCGCTGAAAAAGCCCACCTCCTTCCCAGGAGTGAAGTCCGGGGGGCCACCAAGCTCCAGAGTCACCAGTCACTGCCCCCCCCCCCCGGGCCCACCAGGGCTGGGCCGGCTCTGGCTCTGGTGGAGTAGGGATGCCAGACTGGTTCTGCTAGTTCCAGCAGCCAGCGGGGAGGGGCGTGCACCGGGCGGGCTTCCGTGCACAACTATTTCCCATCCACTCTGCCACCGCCAGCCTGCCCACTGGGAGGTGAAGGCAGGTCTGAGTCACGGCGAGGGGGAGGGCAGGAGTTAAACTAGTTGTGGCTGTGGCATCGCCACAGAGGGCCTGCCGCTGGCTGGACGGAAAGACAGCGGACGGAAGGAAGGAAGGAAGGAAGGAAGGAAGGAAGGAAGGAAGGAAGGTAGGCAGCTCCAAGCCAGGTGTGCCCTATCTCTCCAGAGCCCGGGTTCCCAGGCAGGGGTCCCTGGGCTGGGATGGGACCTGCCGAGGCCTGCAGGGGGGGCCCCTCTGAACTGAGTCCAGGCTGGCGGCACCGGGGTGGAAGGAGAGGATCCAGAGGCCAGGAGCAGCACTGCTTCTGCCTCCTGCCTCTGGCAGTCTGGGGACCAGAAGGAGGCTCAGCCAGGCTGTGATGCCCATGGGTGTCATGGGGAAGGGCAGGCTCTGAGGGCCCCGCCAGTGTGTGATCCCCACACACACTACAGCCACAGGGATGGCGGCGGTGGCCAGGTCACCGAGAGGCTCAAGGACGGACTTGCCTCAGCCTTGGTCTGACAGGCTTTGGGGACAGAGGCACCTGGCCCCGGTCCTCCCTCTGCTGAGCTCTCCTGGGCTGTGGAGAGCCTGGGCCCTTCTGCTTTGCCTGTGAAGTTGGGACTGAGATGGGAAAATAATCAGACTAACGAATTACCAAACTAAGTGACAGGGATCATAAGTATTGGATTAGTCTTATGGAGGCCTAGATGTTGGTCCCAGCCCTTCCACCCACACGCTGTGTGATGTCAGCAGGCCACATCCCTCTCTGTGCTCCAGTGGATGTGGGGGTGCCCATGACAAGCAGCCTTCCCAGGGGTCCTGCCCTCTGCCTTCTGATCTGGCTCACATCCCTCCCCACTTGGCTGGTTGCTTCCTCCTCCTCTCCATTCCCCTGAGCCTCCTGGCTCCTCTCGGCCTGCACCTCCTCTGGGAAGTCTCCCCTGAACTTCCTCGCCAGAGTCTTATGTGCTCCTGGGCACTCCTGGATGTGGGTGGGCCAACCCTGTGTCCTGGGCCTGGCATCGTGCCCGACTCAGAAAAGACCTTCAGGAAATAAATGTCGAGTCCATCAAACTACAAACATTCGCCATCAGAGGAGAGAGGAGAAGCCAGAGAGGTCATAAGCTAGATCTTGGCAGAAATGCGGAGGGAGGCAAACTTGCCTGGGTAGGCATGTGGGCATTCGCGGCAGTCGAACTGGGGTCCTTGCTGAGGTCACGCATCTGCGGTGAGGACGCCTGGGATCAACCTGGCCCCCGTGCCAACTCTGTGATCTTGGACAAGCCCTTGCTTGGCTCATTTCCTGAGCTCCCAACCCCATCTCTGAATGGTGACAGTAATAAGAGCATCTTTGAGGGGTGGCTGTGTACATGGGCTTGCCTGGTGAGAAGCGCTTGTTGAATAATAAAAAATATAACCCAAAAATGCTAGGTGTTGTGGTGCATGCCTGTAATCCCAGCACTTGGGAGGCTGAGGCAGGAGGACTGCTGTGAGTCCAAGGTCAGTATGGGCTACATGGTGAGTTCAAGGCCAGCCTGAACTACACAGCAAGACTGTGTCTCACAAATGAAAAGAAAAGACAAATAAAAGTGAGAGTCTGCGGAAAGCTGTTCCCGACCGCAGGGACCCCGCTGGCCAGGCCTCAGTCAGTCCGTGGCTGAGTGCCAGCGAGGTGGGCCACTGTCCCTGAATTCCAGGTGCCCTCTCTTCCTCAGCCCCATGTGGAGCCCACGGACACGGCCGCCCTGCTGAGTGCTCGGCGGCCCGCCCTTCAAGACGGTGACCTCTCCACGGTGTCCCTTGGCCCTCCACCTCCGGCGGGGGCGGGGGCCGCCCACCTCCAAGTCCCCAGTCATGACGACGTCCGCGCTGCGACGCCAGGTGAAGAACATCGTGCACAACTACTCAGAGGCGGAGATCAAGGTGCGAGAGGCCACCAGCAATGACCCCTGGGGCCCGCCCAGCTCGCTCATGGCGGAGATTGCTGATCTGACCTTCAACACGGTGGCCTTGGCGGAGGTCATGGGCATGCTGTGGCGGCGGCTCAACGACAGCGGCAAGAACTGGCGGCATGTGTACAAGGCGCTCACGCTGCTGGACTACCTGCTCAAGACGGGCTCGGAGCGCGTGGCCCACCAGTGCCGCGAGAATCTCTACACCATCCAGACGCTCAAGGACTTCCAGTACATCGACCGCGATGGCAAGGACCAGGGCGTCAACGTGCGCGAGAAGGTCAAGCAGGTCATGGCCCTGCTCAGAGACGAGGAGCGGCTGCGGCAGGAGCGCACGCACGCCCTCAAGACCAAGGAGCGCATGGCGCTGGAGGGCGTGGGCATCGGCAGCGGCTTCACGCGGGGCTCCCCGTCTTCCTACACCTGTGAGTGAGTCCCCAGGTGTGGCTGGGACGGGGAGGGGGCCCCAGGGCCAGGCTTGGCTCTGCAACCCTGAGCTGTGATTAACAGTTCTGAGGACTCAGGGGCACAGTGCCTGGCACACAGCAGGTGCTCTGCAAGTTGGCCACAGGATAATGTCATGATAAATGTGTCACTGTGCCAATGAGCTGTTTATTTATTTTTCAGACAGGGTCTCGCTATGTAGTTCAGGTTGGCTTTGAACTCACTATGTAGCCCAGGCTGGCCTTGAACTTGCAGGGATTCTCCTGCCTCTGCCTCCCAGGTGCAAGGATCACAGGCCTATGCCACCACACTTGGCTGCTAATTAGCTGATTATAGGATGGCACAGTGGCTGAAGCTCAGGCTCTGGGACTGCATGCCCTTTATTATGTCCACTCCAAGCTATGCAACCTGAGCAACCAGTAATCTGAACCTTGGGCTCCTCCTCTGTGAAATGGGAATGATCTCACCTCCCTCCACTGATTGAGAACGTGACCTGATCCAGCAGTGCCCACAACCCTTTGCCTGGACACAGAGAATTTCCCTTAATCCCCCCACTTCAGGGCACTGCTCTTGAAAATAGGGGCAACTGCTGGGCGGTTCCTGGCTCTGATTCCCTAGCGGTGCATCTCCCCTGGTCTGAGGAACCCCCACAATGGCCTGCAGTTCATAAAGCCCTTGGCAGTTTGCCGAGGGCCCTGAGGTTGCAACCTTGTTGGATCTGAAGCTCTTCCCCTTGACCCAGGCACACTGGGGTCCAGCTGCAGGAGTCCAAAGGCTGGATTAGGGTACCTGAGTTTGAGTCTCACAACCTCTGCGCTGCTGCCGCCTGCCAAGGGGGCATGGGTTCTGTACTCCTGGGCAGCGGGCATCTAACAGGAAGTGCCTAGCCTGCTGCCTTTCTCACTGGCACTCTCAGTGCATTCCCTTGCCTCAGTTTCCCTCTCTGGGCCCCAGCCCCCTGGCAGGCAGAGGGCTGTGGGGGCCGGAGGGGACGGGTTTGCTCACAGTGGCCACAATGGTTGTTACAGCTGCTGCCTCATCCCCCCGGTACGCCTCGGACCTGGAGCAGGCGAGGCCCCAGACGTCAGGAGAAGAGGAGCTGCAGCTGCAGCTGGCACTGGCCATGAGCCGTGAGGAGGCCGAGAAGGTGAGGGCCGCACCCCACAGCCTACACGCAGGCTCCCCAGCCTGGGCCTGAAGCCCCCTCCCACTCCCAAGGACAGCACAGGGGCCGTTTGTGTCCTGGGTTTGTCCCGGTGCTGTTGCTGGGCCAGAAAAGGGCCCTGTGTGCTTGGGGTTGGTAGTGGAGATTGACCTCAGGGCCTTTGCACTGAGTTACATCCCCAGCCCTTTTTTATTTGGAGACAAGGTCTGGCTATGTTGTCCAGGCTGGGCTCCAACTTGCAATCCTGCTGCTTTGGCCTCCCAGAGTGCTGGGATTACACGCGTGCTCCACTACGCTTTGTTTGATATCCTCTTCTTCGCCTCATCCTCTGTGGATTCAGGCAGACAGGACAGCAAGCAGCAGGGGCCTCCCATGGCAGCCCTGGGGGAGCTCTCAGGGCACCCAGGAGAGAGATCAGCTTCCTGACCCTTCGGCTGCATCTCAGAAAGCAGGGAGAGGGGTGCACCCCCACTGCCCACCCCTACACAAGGGGGCATTTCTGTCTCCCCATCCCTGTCCCCGGCAGGGCTATGCTGGCCCAGGGCTGGCAGCGCCAGGCCAAGTTCACCCCGTCTTCCTCCTCACAGCCAGTCCCCCCAGCCTCCCACAGGGACGAGGACCTGCAGCTGCAGCTGGCCCTGCGCCTGAGCCGGCAGGAGCATGAGAAGGTAGTGCAGGGGCCAAGCCACCCGGGCGCAGGTGCTGGTGGTGGTGCTGCGGTGCTACCGGGCGCTAACCAGCTTCTTCTCTGATGCTCTAACCTCGGTGCCTCCATCCTGCTCTCCCCACCTGCAGCCTGGGCGTCAGGACCCCTGAGTCCAGCCCGGGCTGCTCACACCCCTCCTCTTCTGTTCCTTCTGCAGGAGGTGAAGTCCTGGCGAGGTGAGGACTCTCCAGTGGCCAATGGTCCAGGGGCCGCTGCTCGCTGTCGGAGGGACAGAGAACCGGGGAGAGAGGAGAGAAAGGAGGAGGAGAAGCTAAAAACCAGCCAGGTAGTAAGCAGGGTGCATGAGGGCCAGCAGGCTGGGGAGGCGATGGAGTTGCCATTTGTAAAGCATGGCAACAGCGCTGGGCACATGAGAAGCACCACTTGTTTATTAATGGGAAATGGGTTGGCGACACACACATAGCAGCCCCTGGTCCCACACTCCTTGGGCTGGTGACTGAGCTGACAGCAAAGCAGGAGGCAGTGAAAGGATCCTGGTCAAGACCCTGGATGGGCTGGGACTTCATGACTGGGGATACATCACCGTCCTGGCCTCAGTTTCTCCTCCTGCAGTGGGCATTTGGGGGCAGTTCCAGCTGTGATGGCCTAGACTATGGCAGACCGGATGGAGACTAAGCCTGGGCTTGGAGACACGGTGCTAACATCGTGGGCTCCCAAGCAAGACCACCCTCCCAGGCTGTGTGTGCTGCCCTCAGGGGGCTCTGTCTCCATACTGCTCATGTTGATTGTGGCCAAATTCTTGGACACAGAGCTAGAGAGGAAAGCTTGCTGTACAACCTTCATCTTTGTCCTTTCTGCTGGCCTGGGTTCTAGTCCAGCTCAGCATCTCCCTGGCTGTGCAACTTCCAACAAATCATGCTCTCTCTGGGCTTCAAGGGCCCAGCTATGTAAGTCAGCACCTGACCACCCTGCCTATGGGATTCTTCGAAAAATCAGGAACTCAGTGGATGAGAAGGCATTTTTATGAAGTGGGAGCGCGGTACAGAGGCAGGGGGGTCACGAAGGGATGTTTGTGGAATGAATAAAGGTGGGAAGCAGCCTCAGTGGGCTGGCAGGTCAGGGCCTGCCCTCCCTCTGGGCCCACCCGCCTCTCACCTGAGGCTGCCTCTCCCCTCCACAGTCCTCCATCCTGGACTTGGCCGACATCTTTGTACCCACCCAGGTGCCACCCTCCACACACTGCTCTGCCGACCCATGGGACATCCCAGGTGGGCATGCAGGTTGGTAACAGGCTTCCCACCGGTCCCCATGAGCCCCTTCCTTCCCAGCTACCTGCTGGCAAACCACCTCCCCCACTAGCTGAGGGTCTCCCTGACCCTGCACTGCTTCCTGGCTCTCAAATGAAGAGCCTGGGGCACAGGGACACCCAGCCCAGCCCTGACTGGGAAGGTGGCCACGCCGCCTGGGCCAGGTGGTGGTAGGGGGGGTCCAGCCTCCTGAGAAGACCTGCAGAACACAGGCGCCAGCTCACTGTATGGTCCAGCGTCAGCACCCCAGCTGTCACGAGAGTCCCACACCTCCCTGCTTGGCCTGGGGAGCAGGCAAGGGCCCTGGATGAGAGATGTGGGGGTCTGGATCACATCTGTGTCCATCCCATTGCAGGTCTCAGGCCGAGCACAGAGCCCAGCGGCTCCTCCTGGGGACCTTCTGCAGACCCCTGGTCTCCGGTCCCCTCGGGAAATGTGCTGTCCCGAAGCCAGCCCTGGGACTTGCTTCCTACACTCTCCTCAGAGCCCTGGGGCAGGACCCCAGTGCTGCCTGCTGGACCCCCTGCCACAGACCCCTGGGCACCAAACTCTCCCCACCACAACCTCTCCAGCACCGGGGCCAACCCTTGGGGGGCCTCCACGGAGCCCTTGGATACACCTGGTAAGTGGAGGCAGAGGGTGTGAGAGGCTGGGGGGACTTTTGGGTCCCCGCCCTGCAGGGCTCCAAGAGCAGCAGGTGCTGTGTTTAGGGGGCCATGGCCCTGGCCGGGGCTCAGACCAACACCTGCCCTATTTGAAGTTCTTCCTCTCTCCTCTGCTAGCTGTAGGTGGCGTCTCAACCTTCGACCCCTTCACCAAAACCCCGGAACCCACAGAGGCCAAGGCAGAGCTGCAGGGGGCGCAGGCCATGCCCTCCGGGAAGCTGGGTAGCCCCGTGGGTGAGCAGAAGGCCAGGGTCACTGAGGTTCTGGGTGTGGGGGATCCCAGGCCAGCCTCTGCCCTCTGCTCAGTGGCCAGACCCTTCCCCACCGATGAGCTCTATGTTGTTGCTAACAGATCTGGACCTGTTTGGAGAGCCCAGGCCCAGTTCCAAGCAGAATGGCACAAAGGAGCCCGACACCTTCAGTCTGGGGGTACTGGGGGAAGCACTCTCACCTGCACCCCCAAATAAGGAGGCCCCTGGCCGTTGCACCCCAGAGTCCTTCCTGGGCCCCTCGGCCTCCTCGCTGGTCAACCTCGATTCGCTGGTCAAGGTGCCACAGGTTGCAAAAACCCAGAACCCCTTCCTGACAGGTAGGCACCCCTAGTCCCTGGGTACCTGGCACCCTGCTCTCTCTCTATGGTCCTATCTAAGGCCTAGAATTTGACTCTCCCCGCATCTTATGCTTAACCCTCCCACAGGTCTCAGCGCTCCATCCTCCACCAACCCATTTGGTGCAGGCGAGCAGGTTGCACCCACCCTGAACCAGATGCGCACTGGATCACCTGTGCCCATCGCACCCATGGGGGCGCCCCTGGGCTCCATGAGCTACAGCGCCTCCCTGCCCCTCCCTCTCAGCAGCGTACCGGTCAGCAGGACCCTCCCCGCCTCGGCCAGTGCCTTCCCGCAGGCCTGTGCTTTTGCCCCACTGGCCCCGATCCTGCCGCCACCTCTGCTGCCCATGTCTAGCTCAGATGTGCCGCTGCAGGAGTCCCGGCAGGTGGGCACCAACCCCTTCCTCTGATTGCCTCGATGGCGACAGCGCGGGAGGCCCCTCCCCCTTCGGGCCTGGGCGGGGCGCTTGTAAAGATTGAGCAGTGATTGGGCCTTCGTGGACTGCTGACAGCTCCTGAAGCTAAAGACCAACCCCTTCCCCCTGCCCAGCCGAGACCACACCCCCACAATAAAGACTGGAACCCAGGTCCTCAGTTCTTACCAAATGGACTTTTTGCTGGCTGCAGCAGCTAGGCCTGTGGCAACTAGATCACCTGCTGCACAGGAAATCATTACTCCACAATCTGGAGTGCAGAAATACTCCCATTTTTCCTTACAGCGCCATTCCTACTACTGTCAGCCTGGCACCTCTGTTTCCAAATGCTCCTAGGCTGTTGGGCACTGGGGCTAGTCTGACAACCAGAGACAGCAGGCACTTGTTTTATGTATTGCACTTTAGGCAGAAAACTTCTTTTAATCATGGCATTCAAGTAGATAATCCTGTTGCTTCCATTCAGCACGGGCCACAGAATTTGTTGCATTTGGTGCAAAATGAAAACACAGGGCTCCTTGCTCAAAATTGGGTATACACACACATACACACACACACATATATATATTTTTTACTTTTTTGAAACAAGGTCTCACATTGTAGTTTAGGCTGGTCTTGAACTATGTAGCCCAGGCTGGCCTCTGACCTGTGGTGATCCTCCTGCCTCAGTCTCCTAAGTGCTGAGATTGCAGGTGTGTGTCACCATGCCCGGACCCAAGAATTTCAAAACAAGGAAATTGAACATTAGTCCATGTGCATAGCCCTGCCCAGGGCAACTACACTGGTCCCAATTGCGCTGTCTTATGCCTGCCACCACTTCCATTTCATAGAAGAGGTTGAGGGACAGGCTTCAAGTCACAAAACTAGAAAGCTGTGGGCAAGGGATTTAGCTCAGTGGTTTTGCCACCTGCTGTGCAAGCGCAAGGACCCAAGTTCGATCCCTAGTACCAAAAAAACAAACAAACAAACAAAAAAACTAGGAAGCTGTGGGGCTGGGATTCTGAGTCAGGCAGTCTGGTGCCACAGCCTGGAGCTTCCAGGGTGGGCCCCAGGTTTAGTTTAGCAAATATTGGCAGACTGCTATGGAAAAAGTACTTGGCTGGGAGGGGTGCAGGAACTGAGCCCACAGATTTTAGGAGCTCAGTGGAATAGGATGCAGGGGCAGAGAATATGGCTGCAGCATAAGACAGAGCCAGGAACCCTCCTGCTCCTTTGTTTTACTGAGTCATCTTGAATCCAGTGAGCTCCTTGCCACCTTTGCCTGTAGCCATCACCATGAGACTGCCCCCCCCCGGGGCTTAGGCAGAGTTTAGGAAGGCAAAGGTAGGCAGAGCCTGGTACTCCATCCATCCCAGGTGCCCCACACTCACCCTCACTTCTAATGATGCCCCCATCACTGGTCACTGATGGGCCCACAATCTCAGGGACTCACTCTGCCGACACCTGCTGCTCTCTCTACCCCCTCTGGGGGCCAGAAATACCAAAATCGGTGGCTGGGGACACAGTAGCACTCTCCTGCCTGGGGTGGGGAAGGGGTCCCACCTACACTGCTGTGAACAGGATCGAGAGCATCTCCGTAGGAGTTAGACCCATGGGCTCAAAATTGCTCTGCAGTTGAACTGAATGATAACAACCACTTTGTAATAAGTGGCTATTTGGCTTGACCTCAAGTAAATCACTTCACCTTTTGTCTGTGCCTCTGTTTCCTTACATGTCAAGGGGAATCAGGAGTCCCTTCCTCGTGGGGTTACTATGTGGCCAGTGTCCCTTCTGTCCAGCACTCACACTCGCCAGATACTGACCTTGAGAAAGAGCCCACCCTGTCCCTCATTACCGCTTTGCTAAGAGACACCCTGAGTTCAGATCACATCTGTCTTCTGCAGCACCTCAAGCTGGAAGGTTCTATCCTCGTTGGTCCCAGACCTAGCTCTCCCTGGGGACTGTTTTGGTCTGTGGCACTTCCTGATCCCTGCAGCCACTTCCTGTCATGTGTCCTCCCAACTGGGCGGCCTGCATCCTCCCTGCCCCAGGGCTGCCACACGTCATTCTTGGGATGCTTTCCTCCTGGTTTCAGACTTCTCCTTTCCAGCTCTTCCCTGATTTCACAGGACTCCCTTACCCAAGAGGATGCCCTGGCTACCCTTGACCTCTCACCTACCCCGGCCATGCTCACCCTGTGGCCTTGTCATTGCCCCAGATTCCTCCCACCCCAAGCAGGCTTCCTGTTTGCTATCTGAACCTTACTGCTCCTGGCTGCTGACTCACCTCTTATGAGCACCCACCCTCTCCACTCCACCTTCCCTCCCTTCCTGGTGGGACAGTGTCTCCCCTCCTTCCCAGCCACCCTGCCTGGTGTACCACCTGTGTTCCCTCTGCTGTTGTCTCCAGCCCCAGCTTACTCATGTGCCCCAGGACCTTTGCACACACCGTTCCTTCTGCCTGCTTTTCCAGCACTCTCCCACATTTTTTCCACGTTCTCTCTATTCCTCTCTGTCACAAATGTGATTTCCTCTGCTGAGTCTTCCCCCTTGTCTGTCCTGCCAGTCCCTTGCCATATGACACACACTCAGTGGGCCGGGGATTTAGCTCAGTGGTTTCGCTGCCTGCTGTGCAAGTGCAAAGACCCGAGTTCGATCCCTGGTACCAAAAAAAAACAACCACTGCTAAGTGACACGCACTCACCACACTTGTCAGGGAGTGGTTGAATACACATTTATGTGGCTGTCAGAGTCAGCGCCTGCAGAGTGCCAGGCAGTGGGCTCTTGCAGGACCTCACTGTGGCTCCACATTGCTGTTCTGGGTTGGCTTCCTGGGGTGGTGGGATTTGGGCAGGCTGAGCCAAGCAGTTTGCTCACTTGGGTGGACCCGGACAAGACCTTGGGCTACAGCCTTATTTTGCAGTTTTAAAGGGAGCAAGGGCTGCCCAAAATGAGCCGAGACTCTGAAATCGCAGGGCCCTACATCCCAAACTTTCCTGGTGTGAGTGGGCATCAGATTTTAGGCCCAGACCTGGGTCCTCTGAAGCCCGAGCCGTCTCCCGTGCAGTTCCGCACTCGGCCGCTGGGCAGCGCTCAGAGACTAGCCACACAGTCCGGCCCGGCACCCTCGGTCCACCGCCTCCGAGAAGCCATGCTAGTCTCGCGGGCCTGGCTGGGCTCCGGCCTCCTGCAGCCCCACGCCCGGCTGGGCAGAGCCGTGAGCCGCAGGTAGGAGCGAGGTCCACTCCCCCGCACCCCGGCGCTGGCCCGCAGTTCCTGGTCTGGACTGCCCCTGCATGCCCTGCCCCGCTGCATCCTGAACCCCGGCAAGGCCCTCTCCCCACCAACCCCACCCTCCAGCCCCAGGTCGCTCTGGGAGCTGTGGTGACACCACCTCCAGGAAGCCTTCCGGGGACCAGAGCTGGGCCAGCGCCCTCCCCAGCAGCCCCACACGGAGGCCGGTTACAGGGTAACAGTCCTGTGCCACTGCAGGGCCTGCAGTGCCGGGGATTGAACCCGGGGCCTTGGCACTGAGCTGCATCCTAGCCCTTCTTACTCTATTTTGAGACATGGTCTCTCTGAGTCGCTAAATTATCCGGACTGGGCATGAGCTTGCAGTCCTCCTGCCTAACCCTCGCGGAGTGCTGGGACGGCTGGGCCTGTGGTTACCTAGGTCTGTCCCAACACCGCTCTCCCAGGCTAAGCACTCTGCTATGGGCGTTTCTGATCCCCTCGGAGTCCTGGGGCTCTGGCCAGGGACCTGGCCCTGCAGGCTGCTTGGCACGTGGGTGTGAGAAGGAAGTTCCTATGTCTCTTTCCTTCTTGCCCACCATAGTCCAGTCCCAGACCCAAGCCTTCTTGTTTGTTTGTTTGTTTTTTGGCACCGGGGATCAAACTCGGGTCCTTGAGTTTCCAAGGCAGGCAGCGGAACCACTGAGCTAAATCCCTGGCCCTGACCCAAGCCTTCTTGAGCCTCCTGGCCGCCAACAGCACCCCGCTCCCCTGTGCATGCCAGGGACCCTTCGGGGAGGGGACTGGCCGGGGCTCGGAATGGAACCCGACGCACCATTCTGCTCATTGTGACCCGCCCTGACTTCGGTCCCACTCCCCACGCCAGGTCCAAGAGGTTGGGGGAGACAAACCTGGCAAGGCGTCCCCAATGAGCCACCGTTCCTCACCCCCCCCAAAACACAAGGGGGAGCACAAAGGCCGAGGTCTCCCCCATGGTTCAGAAAGGTGGGTCGGCCCAGGAGCCCGAGGCTGGGGCAGTGGGCGTGGGGGACACTCAGGGAGCCATCGCCTGCCTGACCCACCTGCCTACGCCAGGGGCAGCTCCTCCCGGGACAAGGATCGCAGCGCCTCGGTCAGCAGCTCTGAGACCATGCCTGCCGGAGGGAAGGGAAGCCGGACCAGTGGTGCCACCAACACAGCCCAGAAGGTCCCCAACCGCCTGATCGATGAGAAGTCCCCGTACCTCCTGCAGCATGCCTACAACCCTGTGGACTGGTGCGTGCTCTGCCCAAAGTGGCCAGGGGACAGCCCCGCCTAGGCCCTGCACCCCACTCTGAGTGATGTCCCACCTTGCCGGGCCTAGGTACCCCTGGGGACAAGAAGCCTTTGGCAAGGCCAGGAAAGAAAACAAGCCAATCTTCCTCTCAGGTGACACCCACCGGCCCTGAGTGGGGGGACAGGGAGTGTCTGGCGGCGGGAAGGGGGACAGGCAGGTCCTCTGGGCCTCAGGGGTCCCGGGAGGCTGCAGGCTAGGGTCACCTCTGTTCCAGTGGGGTACTCCACCTGCCACTGGTGCCACATGATGGAGGAGGAGACCTTCCAGAACGAGGAGATCGGCCGCCTGCTCAGTGAGGACTTTGTGAGCGTGAAGGTGGACCGCGAGGAGCAGCCGGATGTGGACAAGGTGTACATGACCTTCGTGCAGGTGAGTGCTGCCCGTTCCCCAGGGCAGAGGCCTCTGTCGGGCCCTGGCCTGACCCTGACCTCTCTGTCCCCACAGGCCACCAGCAGTGGTGGGGGCTGGCCCATGAACGTTTGGCTCACCCCCAGCCTTCAGCCCTTTGTGGGGGGCACCTACTTCCCCCCCGAGGATGGCCTGACCCGCGTGGGCTTCCGAACAGTGTTGCTGAGAATCCGGGACCAGGTGGGTGCCAGTCAGCGCTCGGGAACGAGGGGTCTCCCGCCGTGCTGACCTCAGCTCACCCCCACCCTGCAGTGGAAGCAAAACAAGAGCACCCTGCTAGAGAGCAGCCAGCGTGTCACCACGGCCCTGCTGGCCCGCTCAGAGATCAGCATGGGTGACCGCCAGGCGCCACCCTTGGCCGCCACCATGAATAGCCGCTGCTTCCAGCAGTTGGACGAGGGCTATGACGAGGAATACGGCGGCTTCGCAGAGGCCCCCAAGTTCCCCATCCCAGGTCAGCGCCCCCAGCCCACCTGGCCTTGGTCAGCGACCCCCTGCCCTCCTCAGTGGCTGGTATCCTTAATCCTTTTTTTTTTGGTACCGGGGATCAAACCCGGGACCTTGTGCTTGTGAGGCAGGTGCTGGAACCGCTGAGCTAAATCCCTGGTCGCCTTTCTCCCTTTTTTTTGGTGTCCTTAACCCTTGACCCTGACCTACATTATAGCTTCTGACCCTTGACCCTGGCCTGGCTCATGTTACTGGTCTTGTCAGTAACTTCCTGTTCCCTGTGGGCTGATGATTTTTTAAATTTGGTACTGGGGATCAAACTTGGGTCCTTGAGCTTACAGGGCAGGCAGCAGAACCACTGAGCTAAATCCCTGGCCCTGATGATTTTATTTTTAACCCCAGAGCCTTGCCACTGAGTTACATCCCCAGCCCTTTTCATTTTTATTTTGAGACAGAGGCTCACTAAGTCGCTAAGTTGCCCAGGCTGGGTTCAAACTTGCGATCCTCCTACCTCAGCCTCCCAGTGCTGGGATTACAGGTGCGCACCCCCACGCTCGGCTCTGATATTATTCTGCCTTCTGGCTTGGGCACAGACTTTATGACGTCCAGGTTGACTGTGGGCTTCATGACCCCAGCCCGGCCAGAGGCTGCCTATGGGATGAACCTGCAACCCACCCCCATCCGCCCCTCCTCTCATCCTCCTGTTCTTGGCAGTGATCCTGAGCTTCCTGTTCTCCTACTGGCTTGGTCACCGGCTGACCCAGGATGGCTCTCGGGCCCAGCAGATGGCCTTGCACACCCTGAAAATGATGGCCAACGGGGGCATCCGGGACCACGTGGGGCAGGTGTGGGGAGGCTGTGCAGTCCCGGGGTGCAGTGGAGGGAGTGGGTAGGGACAGAAGCTGGGCTTGGCCTCCAGCCCCATGTCCCGCCTGGCACAGGGCTTTCACCGCTACTCCACCGACCGCCAGTGGCAGGTCCCCCACTTTGAGAAGATGCTCTATGACCAGGCGCAGCTTGCCGTGTCCTACTCACAGGCTTTCCAGGTGACCCCGAGCCCAGCCTGCCCCCAACAACCCCTAATTCCTTCCCACATGCCTCTCCCCAGGCGTCCCTCTCCCACCTTCCTGGAAGAATGTCACCCCCACATACCTGGGCCACCCTGTGACCTCTATTTACAGCCTCCTTCCCCAATCCCAGATCTCCGGAGATGAATTCTACTCTGACATCGCCAAAGGCATCCTGCAGTACGTGGACCGGAGTCTGAGCCATCGGGTGTGTGTCCACCAGGCAGCCAGGGCTGACTGGGCCACCCCTGCCCTTGGGTCTGGGGCCTGACAACTGTCCCTCCCACAGTCTGGTGGCTTCTACAGCGCAGAGGACTCAGACTCAGCCCCGGAGCGGGGCATGCAGCCCAGGGAGGGCGCCTTCTACATGTGGACTGTCAGGGAGCTCCAGTGCCTCCTCCCGGAGCCTGTGGTGGGTGCCTCAGAGCCGCTGACTGTGGGCCAGCTCCTCACCAAGCACTATGGGCTCACGGAGGCCGGCAACGTCAGCCTCTGTCAGGTGAGGGGACCTGGGGTTCCACGAGGGGACTGGGGGCCACTGGCCACACGTGGGCTCCTTGGACAAGGGCCGTTGTCCCCAGGACCCCAAGGGGGAGCTGCAGGGCCAGAATGTGCTGACCGTCCGCTACTCGCTGGAGCTGACTGCTGCCCGCTTCGGCCTGGATGTGGAGGCGGTGCGGGGCCTGCTCACTTCGGGGCTGGACAAGCTCTTCCAGGTGCGGAAGCAGCGGCCAAAGCCACACCTGGACAGCAAGATGCTGACTGCTTGGAATGGTGAGGCGGCCCTAGCTGAGGGCTTTCCTGGGGGTAGAATTCCCCTTCACCACACTCTTCCTGTCTGTTGGGCTAAACGCGGATTCTTTCTTTTCTAGATTTATTATCCTTAGTTAATTAATTTATTAATTATTATCATCATCATCCTCATTTCAAAAGGACCTCACTATGTAGTTCAGGCTGGCCTTGAACTCACAGCAATCTTCCTGCCTCAGCTTCCCCAGTGCTGGGATCACAGGCATGCACCACCATGCCGGCCATCATCCTTACTTTATTTATTTATTTTTTTGGTACCGGGGATCGAACTCGGGACCTTGCGCTTTTGAGGCAGGTGCCGGAACCACTGAGCTAAATCCCCGGGCCCATCATCCTTAATTTATAAATGAACAAATTGAGGCCAGAGTCTAAGTAACCTGCCCAAGGTCATGCATGGGGCAGAGTCCAGCCCTGCCTGGTGCTGGAGCCGGAGATCCAGAAAGTGGGGATGGGGTGGGCATCCCTGGAGGGCCCTGGCCTCTTGGCACCCACCCATCCTTCCCTCCCTCCAGGACTGATGGTTTCTGGCTACGCCGTGACAGGGGCTGTCCTGGGCATAGAGAGGCTGGTCAACCGCGCCACCAACGGTGCCAAGTTCCTCAAAAGGCACATGTTTGACGTGGCCACCGGGCGCCTGAAGCGGACCTGCTACGCCGGCACCGGGGCCTCCGTGGAGCACAGGTCGGGGCCTGGGCCCCCCCGAGGCCTCTTATCCTAGCCCCCCCAGCATGCACTGGGCTGCGTGTCCATCGTGAGAGCTTAACCCTGCTGGGCCCATTTACACCTCCGCGGACTGGGCCTGTGGGGACGGCGGGAAAGGTGGTTTCCCAGGCTGCAGCCTGTCTCCTTTCCCCTGCCCCCCCAGCACCCCGCCCCGCTGGGGCTTCCTGGAGGACTATGCCTTCGTGGTGCGCGGACTGCTGGACCTGTACGAGGCCTCGCAGGAGAGCGCATGGCTGGAGTGGGCCCTGAGGCTGCAGGACACGCAGGACAGGCTCTTCTGGGACTCCCGGGGCGGAGGCTACTTCTGCAGCGAGGCCGAGCTAGGGCCCGGCCTGCCCCTGCGGGTGAAGGACGGTGGGTGTGGGCGGGGCCGCTGGGTCCCGGGCTGGGCGGGGCTTGGCTTCCGGAGGGGGCGCGAGGGCTACCTGGCGGGGACATCGGGTACCTGTGTGGCTCTAGGGTTCTCCTGAGGTTGCCAAGCCTCAGTTTCTTTCCAGGCAGACGGGAACTAAGAATGGTGCTAGTGGAGGGGGCGATGGAAGATGAATCTAGTTCTCGGCACAGCCAGCGGCCTCCAGGTTTAGGCACTGTGTGAGGTTCACTTGGTCAGTAATGCTGCGAACATGCACGTGCCCCACGTGGTTACCTTGGGGTGAGGCCTGGAGGAAGTAGGAGTCCTCAGCCAGGGGGCGGGCATTTTGGTGTGTGGCTGTAGTCCCAGTGAGAGGCTGAGGCAGGAGGATCCAGGCAAGTTCAAGGACTGCCTGGGCTACACAGTGAGTTCAAGGCCAGGCTGGAGTACATACATAGTAAGATCCTGTTTCAAAAAACCAAAGGGAAAGAACAAAATAAAATTAAAGGCTGTTGGAAGCCTGGCATGGTGATGTACACCTGTAATCCTAGTACTCTAGTAGGCTGAGGCAGGATGATCACAAATTCGGGTCTAGCCTGGGCAACTTAGCGAATTAACAAGACCCTGTCTCAAAATAAAAACTAAAACAGGGCTAGGGATGTAGCTAAATGTGAAGGCCCTAGGTTCAATCCCCAGTACCTCAAGAAAAAGAAAAAGCCCTGTAGCATGACCCTGGTCCTCATCACCCATCTCTTGTCTGTTAATATCTCCTCAGAGAGCAGTACTCACTTTTTTTCTTTTTGGTACCGGAGATCGAACTCAGGACCTTGCACTTGTGAGGCAGGCGAGGTACCACTGAGCAACATCCACAGCCCGAGGACTCACTTCTTAGCACTTCAAAGGAGGGTCTTCTGTCACGCTGTGTCCTCCGTGTCTAGGACAATCATGGCACACAGTAGGGCTCAATGACTGTTAGCTGAACGATGGAAGGGTCCTGGGAGAGAAGCTCAGTTAAGCCTGTGACAAGTGTCATTTAACCCAGGCCACAGGAGGTGTGTGGTCACAGGTCAGCTGGGGAGGAGACAGCAGAGGCCCAGGGGCAGCCCTGTGCCCCGGAGCGGGTGCTGGAGGGTGCTGAGGCTGGCACTGAGCAGCTGCGACCTGCCCTGGTTCAAGTGTCTCGGGTCACTCTGACCGGTGGTGGAGAAAGGACAGGCCAGGGAGACAGGGGGACCCATGAGGAGGCCGTTCGTGCAGGTGCACTGTCCAGGCTGGGCCAGGGAGCAGGGCGGGGGGGCAGGGGTGGGATTTGCTGTTCTGGCTCTTGGGTGGATCGGGAGTATGGATGAGAGATGGATGGAAGGTGCCGCCTGGCCAGGGAGGAGCCGTCTTCCCGCCTGAGACCTGGTGGCCCTCCCTCGCTGACCCTTGCTTCCCCCTGCCCTGCAGACCAGGATGGCGCGGAGCCCAGCGCCAACTCGGTGGCAGCCCACAACCTGCTGCGGCTGCACGGCTTCACGCGCCACAAGGACTGGCTGGACAAGTGCGTGTGCCTGCTCACCGCCTTCTCCGAGCGCATGCGCCGCGTCCCCGTGGCTCTGCCCGAGATGGTCCGCACCCTCTCTACCCACCAGCAGGGCCTCAAGCAGGTAGGAGGGGTGGAGGGATGCTGGCCCACAGCAGGGACAGCGGCGTGGGCACAGCCACTGAGGCCCACGGCGTGCGGTTGCCCGGGAGGCGGGTCCGTGGGAGGTGGCATCTGAGCAGGGACGTGCCCGCCCGAGCGCTGTGCCCCGCCTGTCACAGACGAGGGCAGGAGGCAGGGGCTCCTCCACACAGCTCTGTGTATCAACCTGATTATTTCTGTCCTGTGTGCGAAACCTGCCTTTCTGGGCATGTTCGGTGCATCTGGCTATCACACATGTGCCTGGCTTCAGGTCTGCCTGCTTACATGTGTGTCTGCCTCTGTGTGTGCGTGTGTGGACGTGTGATACCTGTGCAGCGCTGCTGTGACTACTTTGTGTGTGGATGTGTTGTGTCTTGCGGTGTGTCAGGTCTCCCGGGTGTGTGCCCCCCACAGTCGTGTCTGCACACGATGCATGACATTGCACATGCGTGTTCTCCTGTGTGTGCTTGCATGTTTCTGCTTGCCACGGGTTACATCTGATGTGGCTGTTCCTTCTTAGGGGTACGGGGTGGGGTGCAGGGATGATGGGGAAGCCCAGTAGGTCCCCTCCTCCTGTGACCCTGAGTGACCTTTCTGTTCCGGCCAGATTGTGATCTGCGGAGATGCCCAGGCCAAGGACACCAAGGCTCTGCTTCAGTGCGTGCACTCCCTCTACATCCCCAACAAGGTGCCTGCCCCCCGCCAGGCCCCACCCCACCCCTCGGCATCTCCCCAGCATTGTCCCTCTGCAGTCTCCCACCACCCTCCCACAGGTGACCTCCTCTGCTGTGCCCCACCCTAGGTGCTGATTCTGGCTGACGGGGGCCCCTCGAGCTTCCTGTCCCGCCAGCTGCCCTTCCTGAGCACGCTGCGACGGCTGGAAGACCGGGCCACTGCTTATGTGTGTGAGAACCAGGCCTGCTCCATGCCCATCACCGAGCCCTGTGAGCTACGGAAACTGCTCCTGCAGTGAACTGCCACCCCCAGGGCTGCAGCAGAAGCCCAGGCTTCCCGGCCAACTCAGGCCCTGCAGGGCCAAGTGGAACCTGCGGCCATCCCTGGGCACCCCACCACCAGGTGACCTCGCCCCTCCTCTCTGCTCCCCACAGGCACCCACGCAGCCTGGAATAAAACTAACAGTGTCCGTGGTGACTTGGGCTCTCGGCTTCATTTGTGAGGGAACCTGCAGCCCCTTCCTCTGAGAGCCCCCAGCTGGCCCTGTCCTCTCCTATGTCCTCCTGCGCTTACAGTGGTCACCAGGCTGCCTCTATCCCTACCCATGGCCACGAGTCTGAATGAAACCGGGGTCAGAGGACTAAAACCAAGGGCAGGGGACTAGGCTGGGGACAGTGTGTACTGGGCCAGGAGGGCAAGCAGAGTCCTTGTCCTGAGAAGGGGACCTGTTCTCCCCTCCCCATGGGTTTTTTGTTTATTTGTTTTCTGTATTGAGGACCCAGGCCCTTCAAGCCGGGCTGGAACTTCCGATCCTCTTGCGTCAGCCTCTTAGAGGGCTGAGACGCCAGACTTGCACGCCCTGCCCAGCTCCCGTCGTCTCACTGGTGCTGGGGAAGGGCCTGGGAATAAGTGCCCATATTTCACAGACTGGCCACGTGTGCGTGTGCCCTAGTGCACCGTGTGTCATCAGGACACACAGTGTTTCTTTTGGGGAACCCCCTGTCCAGCACTGGCCCTCACCAGGAGGGAGGCAGGGACTCCACAGGAAGCTCCATTATTCACCCTCTGCTTGCTCAGAAACCTATCTGATTCTAGAGAGAGCTTGCTCTTGTTTGGGGCATGTGTTGGGCCTCAAGGCTTTCTGCAAATCTATCTCAGTCCTTCCTTGGCTATTTTTTTTTTTTTTTTGGTACCAGGGATCGAACTGGGGTCCTTGTGCTTGTAAGGCAGGCGGTGATCATTCCTGTCTGTGGTGGATGCATCTTTTCAGACTCCAGAAACCCCATTGAGGCAACTGGGAAGAGCAGGTGCAGACCGATGGGGCTGGCAGCTGTGGCAGGGAGCTGCCCCCGGTCCTTCAGGGGTCTGCAGAGGCTGGGCCTTCTTCCGGCCCCCAAACCCTGCAAGCCTGACAGCTGATAGATGCTGCTAGGGACAAGGGCCTGGATGGGAGCTGAGCAGGAAGGAGCCGGGAGACTGCTCAGTAGCTCCCTGAGCACAGTGACAGGAAGCCACACATGGTCACCGGGACCCGTGTCAGCTCTGTCTGGGCAGCCAGCCCTTGGCCCAGGCTGCTAGCCCATCCGGAGGGGATTAGCACTCCGGCCAGCGAGGTCAGCTGGCCCCGTTCTCACTAGAGCCCACTTGGCCTTGCCAGGAAGTCAGAGGCCAGACATGTGGAGCCTGGCCTGGGGGTGGTGGGGAGAGACGGGTGGTGTGGGGAAGCACAGGTGGCCTTTCTGGCAGCCTGGCCCTGGCCCTGAACAGGCTGGCAGTATGCACAGCCCTCTGTCATCATCACACCACTGACCCGCGGGAGCTCGGGGCGACACAGCTTCAGCCTCTACAAAGAGTTGAGGTCCAGAGAGGGTAAGGGTCTGACCCGAGACCTCTAGCAACCCAGGTGCTCTCTTCAGTCCACGGGGTACAGGAAAGATCACAAAGAAGGCCCCTTCCCCAAGAGGTTTAGCACCACCATGGAGGAGGACACACTGATGTCTTCCTTCCACCTGGCCGCCTTTCCATGTCTCTTTCCCCTCTGGTACCAAGCACGCACCCTAGAACGAGTTAGGCCCTTAGAGGGTTTGTTCACCCAGGAGCACTTCATTTTCCCAAGAGGGTGAGGCTGAGCATAAAGCTTGCTGATGGGAGATCTGAAAGTGCCCTAGTGTGGGTGGCCCCTGCAGGAGTGTCCCGAGCAGTGTGAGCTTGGTTTCTGGGAGACAGGACCTCCTGGTTTGGGCATCACTGAAGTGATTTCATCTCTCTGAGCCTCACCTTCATGATCTGAGAAACTGGGGAGCCACCCACCTACCCAGGGCTGTTGAGGTGACCAAAGAAGATAGTGTTTGCATGATCCCTGAGCAAAGAGTGTCGCACATGGGAAGATTCGGGTCCCAGGGAGCCACAGGGGCTGCGGGGGCCGGCAAGCAGCACATACAAGGGTTCCCCTTCAAACCCGGAGGACACCTCAGACAGCATAAGTCGGACTTCTTCATGGGAAACAGGTCCAATGAAAGGGGCTTTCTTGTTCCTCTCTTCCCTTCTCCCTACCTGAGGTTATTCATTCACTCAACAAAAATTTGTTAAGCACCTACTATGTGCCAAACACTAGACTAGGTCCTCATGAGCCAGTAGGTGCTGCCCCTGCCTCAGGGTACAAATGGCCTAGAGGTGGAGACAGAAATTTCTTTACCACAAGCCTAAATGGTGGGTTAAGTCCTGGGAGGATGTAGATTTAAAATTTTTTAAAAAAATTTCTATTGGTACATGTTTACAGTACACGATTACATTCATAGTGGGGAGCTGGCACAGGCACACAACACATCTTCATTCTCTTTACCTCTCCTTCTCAGGATGGAGACTTCTGTCTCAGCGCTGTACCCTCAGCAGCCTGGTGCTTCAGAGACATGGGAATACTGGCTGGAAGGAAAGCCAGGCTGAGGAGGGCACTCAGCGCCGAGAGCCCAGGGCTGGGGTTCAAGATGGATTCCGGTTGCCCACAGGCGTCACGCCCCAAAGCTGGGTACCTTCTCAGGGTGTCATAGCTCCTTGGTGCCCAGGTACCAACCCAGGGAAGCCGCACTCAGGGCACCTGCGCCTGTCCTCTTTCTCTCTAACCTGGGAGATTCGAGGGTGTGGGGCCTGCTGACCTCCGGACCCAGCAAGCATCCCTGGCCTCATTTCCCCTTTGCAAAGGCTTTCTGTTTGCCAGCAGCTCTGGACCCTGGGCAAAGAAGGGCAGGCCGGCCCGCCAGACTGCGGACCCGCGGGAGGCAGGAAGGTGTCAGACGCACGAGCAAACAACAGCCCTCCTTTCCCAAAAGACGGCCCCGAGTTCAAGGCGGCTGGGCACTGCGCACTCTCCAGCCTGAGACGCAGGCACTTAAGGGAGCTGCTCATTAGCATGAGATGCAAATGAACTCGGCCTCATTTGCACAACTCGGTGCCCGGATTCGGCGAAAGGGCAACCGAAGAAGCGAGGGCGCAGCAGCCGCTCTGCGCCACGGGCGGGGCGGGAGTTGAGGCGGCCCCCACCCACGCCGCGGCGGGGGGCCGGCGGGGCTGCGTGGGCGGTGCGGCTGGGGCAGCGGGAAGGAGGCCTGGGAGCCGGGGGAGCGGTGCCGAGGGTCACCGGCCCAGCTCCGGCCTCTCCCGTAGAGGTTGGCCTCTAACCCTCGGTGCCCTGCCCCTCCTCCCATGCCCAGTACCCTCGTGGACCCCGGTTCTTCGGCACCTAGCTTTTGGAGGTGACGCCGGCGGCAGGAGGGAGCTAGAGCCGCCTGTGCCCCAGAACTCGGGGTGGCGAGGAGGGGCGAGGCCGGGGACTGCGCGTGGGTGTGCGCGCGCGGGGCAGTGAGGAGGGAACCGCGCAAAGCTACTGCCCTGCGGTCAACCTCCCCTTAAGCCACGTAGGGACTCCAGAAGGAGAAACTGAGGCACAGAGTGAGGGGACGATGGGAGCTCTGCAGGAGTTCCTAAAGCCCAGTCCGGCGCTGCTACCTCCTCCCACACACTCGAGGTCCCCCGCAGGGACTTGGGCTCAACAGTTCAGGGTGATCTGCCTGGGCCAGAAGTTCAAGCACGAACCCCCCGGAGTGGCGACTACACCCTTCGGCCTTCCTAGGGCCCAGGCTGGACCTCAGAATCTGCACGCTGTTAGGAGGTCGGAGTCAGTCTTGACGTCGGCCGCGCGCCGGACCCAGTAAACCCAGGAGGACGGCGAGGCCACGTCCAGACCTGGCCTACCTCGGCCTTTCCCTAGCCCCGCCCCTCCCCTGAGCTCCGCCCCAGCCGAGGCCCCGCCCCCGGGACGTCCTGCCCTGCTCCCCTCCTGCTCGGCCCCGCGCCCCGGTGCCGTCACTCGGTGGGCTACGGGTCTGGTGGACACCCGGCATTCGGCTCTGGGACCCAGGTCGCACCCCTCGCCCTCGTGCCTACCGCCTCCGATCTTCTCCAGGCTTGACCAGAGCTGAGCTCCGCCCTCTGGCTGCGGTCTAATTCGGGGCTCCTGAACAAAGGATGCCCGGGGCTTGTGGCGCTACCCCAGGACCCAGCGCCAAACACTGATTCCCCGGGGCTCCCTCCAGGGGAGTCCCAAAGACCCCAGCGGCCAATCGGAAAGTGGGTTCGGCCTGGGCAGCCGTCTCATTGGCTCCAGCCTTCGGGAGCGGACCCAGGGGCAAGGGGCGGGGAGAGGGGCGGTCCCGGGATTTGGGGTGGGAACCGGATTCCAGCTGTGGTTCTCTCCCCCGGCAGCCCCGCCCACACTGCCGCGGCGGCCGACCAATGGGCGGGCGACTCGGGGCCGGCGGCGCAAGGCGATTGGCTGCGAGCTCGGCCGGGGAGGGGCGGGGCCGAGGCTTGAAGTTGGAGTGAGGGATCCAGCTGTGGCGCGCGCCGGGCTCCTCGCCGCCGCTTTCGCTCGCTCTCTCCGCGTCTCGGCCGGAGGAGGAGGCAGTGGCGCCGGCGACAGCTACGGCATCGGCTGCCACCGCGGCGGCGACGGCTGCGGCGGCGGCATCTCTGCCTCCACCCCCGCCCGGGACGGCCCCCCACGGTCTCTCCGCCCACCCCTCAGGGCCGTGCGCCCGCCGCGGGGCGGAGGAAGGGGCCGCCCCCCGCCCCCCTCAAACCCACCCGCCGGAGCCGCTCCTCCCCTCCCCCGCCGCCTCTGGCCCGGGGCCGGGACGATGCTGACCCCTTAGATCCGGCTCCAGCTGCGCCGCGGGAAGAGGGGGCGCCCTCCGCGGACCCCCGCCGCCTTCTGCCGGGTGCCCCCTTTCCGCCTCCCTGTCTCGGGGCCGCTTCGCCGAAGGGAGCGCGGATCCGGGCACCGGAGCCCGGGCGCCGAGCGAAGAAGCCGGAACAAAGTGAGGGGGAGCCGGCCGGCTGGCCCGGGGTGCCCGGGGACCCCGGGAAACGAGTTGCGCGCCGAGGGGCTGCCCCGGAGCCAGCGCCCCGCGGGCAGCATGGGAGCGGGGCTGAACTGGCCCTGCCGGGGGCTCAGCCTGCGCCCTAGGGCCCCCCCGGTGTCCTCCCGCCGGGGTCCCCCGGCCGCGTGAGGACCCCTCCTCCGAGGGGCGCCCCTGCCCCTCTCTGAACCCCGGGCCCCGGCCGGCCGAGGATGGATGAGGAGGAGGATGGCGCGGGCGCCGAGGAGTCGGGACAGCCCCGGAGCGCCCTGCAGCTCAACGACCTGTCCGGGGCCGGGGGCCGGCCGGGGCCGGGGTCGGCGGAGAAGGACCCAGGCAGTGCAGACTCTGAGGCCGAGGGGCTGCCGTACCCCGCGCTGGCCCCCGTGGTTTTCTTCTACTTGAGCCAGGACAGCCGCCCGCGGAGCTGGTGCCTCCGCACGGTCTGTAACCCATATCCTTCGGGGTGCCCCGGGCCGGGCTGGGGGTCCGGGTGGGGGGACGGGGGACTCAGAGCCAGAGGAGTCGGAGAAGCGAGCCTCGAGGGTGGGCAGGTGCGAGGGGGGCTGCTCGGGCGGGGAGGGGGCGCCGGGATGGGAGCAAGAGACAGCAGGGCCGGCGGGGACCCCCGGGGAGCCCCACCTCCGTCCACACACACCTCAGTTCGCCTTGGGGGTGGGGGGGGTTGGGACCCAGGCCGGGGAAAGAGAGGAGATGTACCCCGCGGGTTTGCAGCTGGATGCTCTCCAGATGTGGGCAACCGAGGGTCGTCATCCTCCAGATGTGGGCAGCTTCGCGAGCCTGGACGCTGTCCTCCACCCGCCGCGGGTTAGCGAGCTGGGTTTGGTTTCCGAGTTTGGGGGCTGGGGTGGGGAGGAAGCCGCGGGGACGGAGGAGGGGAGACTGCAATCTCCTGGGTTTTCCTCCTGCCCCCGCCCCAAAGTTTGCGGCGGATTCTAGGGTGCGATCCCCACCACCTGGCTCTGTGGGCTGAGGTCTTTACTGACCCAGAGGGAGATGTTGGGGGGCGGGGACCAGGTCTGATCCCCCCAACCCCCCACCCCGCGGGTTGGAGGCACAACAAGGAGATTCCGGGCGGCGGCTGATGTCAGGGGTGCAAAATGAAAACAAGATGCGATGGTGGGGGAGCCGTCTGCCCCCGGAGCTGGACGGGAGCCCCTTCAGCTGGATCCCAACCCGGGGAGTGCCGCCCTCCACCCCAATTCCTCGTTTGATGCCTAGTGTTTAGGACTGGGCTGGGAGTTTTGTGCTGGATTTTCTTTTCTTGTGAAGGGACGGACTGTGGCAGAAGCTTTGGCAACTGGGGGGGATGGGATGGAGCAGGTCCAAGTTCCCCCTCCCCTTTCACAAACAGTGCTGGGCTGATGGCAGAGCAGGTATGGGAGACCGCAGCCCTGTGAAAGTCTGGGGAGCCCGCATGCTCAGCAAGGACTCAGGTCCAACACCCCTGTGTGGGTCTGCTCTGTGGTTGGGGACGCGTGCCCCACATTCCAGGAATATATGTGCAGCACCGTACCCTGGCCTCTGCCCCGCCTGGAGGGGTCAGGGAGACCCCAGCCCTCTCAACCCATAGCACAAAGTGCTGCTTGTCTAATGCACGGCTCCAGGCCCCCGGGAAGGGTGGGGGTCGGTTGTGCTGTCATCCCAGGTCGCAACACCTTCTCCGAGCTGCAGGACAGCTGCAGGACAGAGCTCAGCTCGGGGTGGGAGACCCCTGGTCTGGGACTCTGCTTTGGGGAGGGGGTAGTGAGAATCTCGGTGTTGCCCTCTCTGCAGTTCTGCTGCCTCTAGTGCGCAAAGCAGGATGTGAGCTCAGCCCCCCCGCCCGCATGGTCTACACTCGGGGATCTTTGGGACCCCCATTACAGTCACACCCTGTTCCTACCCCAGCCCCTTCCTCCCTTCTCTCGGAGGTACAGAAGGAGAAGCAGGGGCCTCAGAGGTCTGTGGTCCTGCTGGATAGGCACCGACCTGGGGTTCCCCACCCCAGTTCCCTTTCTGTAGGGCCCAGGTGGAGACGGGAAAAGAATGTCACTGACTAGGATGGGCTTGGGCGTCTGTCCTCTGTGGCCCTGGCCACCTGCCCCTTCTATGAATGGGAAAAGCCTCCAGTCCCCTATCTCTTTCTTCTGGGGGTCCCAGGGAGGCCATGAGATTTCACCCTTCTGCCTCCCCGCAGCCCCAGAAGCAGACCTCTTGGGTGGTGTCTGTTCTGCCTGCCCTGCCTCCAGGTGTAGTGAAGGGTGTGGAGACAGATGTCCTCATGGAGGAGAACAAGTGACCAGGGGCGGGGGGAGCCCAGTCCCCATCTTGAGGGTAGGGAGCAGGCTCATCCTGGGAGTGGAAGTGTGGGGCATGGGGCACTTGCATTACTAGGGCAGGACTAGCAGCTGAGCCTGGGCTGGCTGAGGATGTGTTGCGAACAAGCTCTTGGCAAAGGGGTTGCCCAAGCGATGCCTCTGGTGCTCCCAACCTATCCGAGTGCCAAGGGGAACCTGTGTGTCCACTGCCAGAGGGGCTCTGAGCTGCCTCTGGGCCTTGGCCTTCGTCATTCACCCTTCTGGCACACATAAAACCTCCACAGGCTCCAGGAGGTTCCACCTAGGAGTCTGAGGGACATAACGATGCCTCCCCCAGCTAACTGAAGCTAGTTAGCCTTTTCCTGGCCATTCTTCCTTTTGGCCCCTTCCTGTCTCAGCCTCCTTAGGAGACCAGGTTTCCTAGAGAGGAGATCTAGACTTAGCGGGTAGGAAATGGTGTGTGCGTGAGTGTGAGCCTGAGGGAGCGTGTGTGTATGTGTGTGTTGCGGGAAGGCAGAAAGGCAGCAGAAGGAAGTGTCACACAAGTGCCTGTTTCAGTATCAGGGAGAGCAGGATACAGGCTCAGTCAGCTCGGGGCCAGCGAGGGCCCTGGCCCTCAGGTTATAGGGGTGTGTTGGCCTCTGGAGCGGAGCGTGTGTTTCTCCAAGTGTGAGGGCGTGCGTTTCCCCTCCCGGGAAGGAGATCCTGAGCACTCCCTCTCCGGCTGTTGTGTCACATCTGGAAGTTTGTGTAGGAGTTTCTCCAAGCTCGGAGCCCAGCACAGCTTTTTCTCATTTGGAAATCACAGGCTGGCATTTGGGATGCCGAGAGGGGGAGTGGGAGGGGCCGAGGGGAGAGGGGAGCCTGCCAGGAGCTGGGGAACGAGGGGGGAGGCCTGAATGGCAGGAGCCCTAATGGCTTCCAGAAGTGGATGTGAGTGTGACTGTGCGTCACTGTGTGTGTCTGAGTGTGCGCCTCCAGGAGGAGGGGGCCCAGGAATTTCTGGAGTCTTCCTCGCCGCTGTCCCAGTGCCCCGCGTCGGCCTCCTTCTCTTACCTAGGGAGATGGCTCCCTGTGGGCCTCAGAGGAAGTGGGGTGTGTGGGGGAGGTTGTTCCTGACTCCCTACCAATGCCCTCTGCCCATTTCCGGTCCCCAGGTTCTGCAGACCAGATTCTAGGGAGAGGAGGTGAGCAGACCTGGGAGGGCAGGAGTACCCCTTGGCGCTGTCTGTGTCCCAGGTCCACCTTCCCTGTGGGTCACACACACACCTTCCCACCCACTGTGCTCCACCGCGCAGCTGGGGGACTCCCCGTCACCCCTGGTGCCAGTTGGAGTCATTCCTGGGACTCCCCCCTCACCAGCCCGCCCTCCCATCCTTGCCTGCCCCCGCCCCAGCTCTCACCCCGCCCTGCCTGCCTCAGCCAGGATGGCGACAGACACACTGCTCACACACGCAGACATGCGCACACGCACACGCACACACACAGAGTCAGACGCTTGAATCAGATTTCTGGCCTATTTCCCCTCCCAAAGATTCCAGCAGCCGCGTGTCTCTGGTGTCTCTGTGTCTCCAGTCTCTGTCTTGGGGTGGGGCCGGCTGCTGCCTTTTCTGCTGGCTTCAGGTTTCCATTCAGCTGGAACCTCTCTCCCCACACAGCCACCCACTGGAGCTGGGGACACGGCTGGCTCAGGAAAGCAGGCTTGCAGGAGGGGGGCACGGCTGGGGAATCCCCCTTTCCGCCTGCGTGGCGTGAACCACCAGGCTGTATCCCTGTCCACCCTGGGGAGTACTGAATTTGGGGGACACCAGCCTCTCTGTGGGATGGGTGAGGTGAGGACCTGCTCACCCCACCTCTAGCTCTTACTAGAAGGCCAGGATTCCTGGGTCCAGGCCCATTTCCTCCTCAACAATTCTGTCTCAGATTTGCAGACTGCTAGGAGGGAAGGAGGTAGCTGCCATGGGGCCTGGTTCCCTTCTCTGTTCATGCCGGGAGGGAGCCCCATGCCCCTGGAGGCCCCCAGCCTGCCACCCTCACCCCTACAGCTGCCAGGCTGGGCAAGGGCTCTGTCCAGATAAAGTCCCACAGAGAGGACACATTTGTGGAGAAAACGTGCTCTACTTCTCTCTCCCAGGAGAGGGAGGAGGAGGAGGGGTGGAAGTGGGATTTCTTTCCTGCCATTTCCTTTTTCTCTGCTTTTGATGGTGGGTTGTGGGGAGAAGGAAGATCCTCCCCTCTCCTGCCTCCACCCTTTGGGATCCACTCCAGCCTGGACAGTCACCATAGCAACAGTAGACATGTGACTGCACAGGTCTCTCATAGTCACTATGGCAACCAGTGTCTCCATTCCCTTGGTTACCATGGAGATCTGTCACATGGTTTCCCCCCAACCTGATAACCTGTGGGTCTCCCTGATTCCCCTTCCCTGCATGAGGATAAGACAGGAGCCTAGATAGGGGAAATCTTGTGTGTGTGTGTGTGTGTGTGTGTGGTCTCTTTAATTACCATAGCAACAAATCCATACCACCTGGTGACACATCCTCCTGTTGTCATAGCAACAGAAGAACATCACACAGTGACAGACTGCCACATTCCCAAGGAAACGAGTCCCACCCTGAAAAGGGTGAAAGATCCGTCCCCCATGAATTATTCCTCTATTCAGATTGTCCCAAATTTTGCCTGTGTCCCAATCTCTTTCCTGTCCTTTGATGGCAACATAGGGTGAAGAGGAGAGGGAGACAGCAAGCAGGATGTACCAGGCAGTGGACTGAATGCCAACGGGGCCCTTGAGAAGGGGCTTCTCTGGTGAAGAGCTTCTGTGTGGGGTTATTTGGAGGCAGGTTCTGGCTAGGAAAAGCCCCAGTCTGAGCATGTGTAAATGGGGAAAGAGGAGGGGCAGGTGCCCTGGGTCAACTCTGCCCCTCCCCCATTGTTACAATCAGTTCATCACTACTGAGGACGTGAATGGTAAGACATGTGGCTTCTAGACAGGCTGACTGATTGATCGATTGGTTCTTTCACTCACTCACTCACTCATTCATTCATTCTCCCTATGCGTTCGTTGATCATCTGCTCCATGCCAGGCACTGCATTGAGCTCTGTCGGGGGATAGAAAGATGCAGTAGAGTGCCCCTCCCTGCCAGGGGCCCACAGCTCAGGTTGGGAGTCGAGTGCGTGGATGACATAATATGGCGCAGTCAGTGCCCTTAGAGGGGTTCACACAGATGTGCGGGAGCCCCTCTGCCTGGGAGAACCACCCCGTCCCCACATGGGGCCGTCGCCTCTGCCTTGCAGAGCAGAGGGGTAGCTTGAGGAAACCCACAAGTTCTGGAGGATAATTGTATCCTTTCCTTTCCAAGTGATGCCTCCCTCCCTGTCCCCCTTTTCCAGCGTGACCCCTGGCTGACCCCCATTCTGGGGCGAGATCCACTGGGCTCTGACTCCACTCAGGAAAACAGCTCCTTGGCAACACCACTATTTGCCTTTCCCATCTACTTACCCCCAAAACCTTAAACTTCTTTTTAACACTCATTCTTGTAAGGGGGGGGAGGTTAGGGAAATTGCAGTGTTTGGGGACTTCTGAGGTGCCAGGTTCAGAGGGTAGAGCGGGGGGTGCGTCTGAGGGGAGAGGGTCCAGGAGACAGAGGAGGGGTAGAAAGAGAAAGATGGGGTGTGGGTGGGACCTGCTTGGCAGAAGGTCCTGGCCCTGCATATTCTGCTGGTCTCTTCATGCCCGGCCAGAGCCGCTCGTTCCCAAGGCAGGGTAGGGGCAGGAGACCCCGTGTGCACTGGGCCCCTCTGAGTCTGGCATGGTGAGGCAGGCAGGGGGCTGCCCTGGCCCCCTCCACGTCAATTCCCAGGAAGTCCCACTCCTCTGCACCCCATCTCTGCTCTTCCCTGTCCCTGTTGTATTTTCCATGAGAAACACAGGCTTCTTGGTGGTTTTTCTGCCGGTCTGGGGCCTGGAACCTGCGGGGGTCTTACCATTCTCCTGCTGCCAGGATGTACTGAGGCCCCAGCAAGAGAAGACTCGGTTATGAAGATCTCAGCCCCTGCCGCTGTTCTGAGCCGTGCTGGAAGACATAAGAAGGGGTGAGGGCAACATGTCGCATGTGGGGTGCTGTCCACGACTGACCTGGGGCTCATGCCTAGGACTGTGTCAAGGCTGGCCGAGCCCTTGGAGAGGTCAGGGCTGCAGCCATGGCTCCCTGTCTGCCAGGTGCCAAGGTGGTCCTGGAAGCCCCTTCAGTGGCCACCTGGGCAGCTGCAGGGTGCAGGAGATGGCGTTGTAGATGGGAGCTTGGAATCCTCTGTCTCATCCTGGCATCTTGAGGGACTTCAGCTCTGTCTGCCTCAGTTTCCCTGGGTTCTGGGGAACAAAGTGATCCAGCCTGGGTGCTTCACGGGGCTGTTGTGAGCATTCGCCGTGGCATTGTGTGAAAGCGCTTGGTAAACTGTAAGGCAGCCATAATCCGACTAGGTTTGTGTAACACATTCACATACATTATCTCACTTCCTTCTCACATCTACCCTGCGAGGTAGGGAGAACACACTCCAACTCAGCAGCAAGCTCACAGTGCCTGGCATTTCCACAAGCACGATCAATTCTGTTCCCCAAATGGCTCGTGCAAATAGGGTATTTATGGCTGTTCTTCCTCTACAGATGAGGAGGCTGGGACCAGAGGGATGAGACCACTTAGGTGATCCAAGACCCTCTCATTCCACCCCATTGTGACTCAGATGGGGCCAGGAAGCTGATAGGCAGCAGGGGTTAGGTTGGGATATGGGGAACAGCGTCCAATCCAGCTCTAGCCAGCTGTTTCCTTGACCCCTGATACCTGGTTCGAGCGGATCAGCATGCTGGTCATCCTTCTCAACTGTGTGACCCTGGGCATGTTTCGGCCATGTGAGGACATTGCCTGTGACTCCCAGCGCTGCCGGATCCTGCAGGTGAGTGTGAGTATGTGCTAGAGGGTGGCTCCGCTCCAGATCTCAATGCCTCTGATTTCCAGCTGGGGGTGGGCATGGTCCCCCCTTCTCAGTTTCAGCAGCCTCTTGCCCCCCACATCAGGCCTTTGATGACTTCATCTTTGCCTTCTTCGCCGTGGAAATGGTGGTGAAGATGGTGGCCTTGGGGATCTTCGGGAAGAAGTGTTACCTGGGAGACACTTGGAACCGCCTTGACTTTTTCATCGTCATCGCAGGGTGAGGGCCTGAGCTGTGGGTGGGAGAGCGATGGGTCACCAGATCAGTGCCTTCCCTGGGGGTTTCCTGCCCACACCCCGGCCCCAGGACAGCTCTGTTTCCTCTCCGGCTGTCCACTCGGGGGCTGAGGCTGCCTGCCTGCAGTGCTCTGGCCTGCACTTCTCTGACATCCACGGCTTTCCTCCTGGTTCTTCTTCCTTCTCTGAGAGCTCTGTCCTTGCTTGGAGGTGCCCCTCCCCCACCCCCACCCTGAGAGCTGATCTTGGGACCCCAGGTGTAGGAGAGGGAGGAGTCAGGCTGTCCCCTTGCCCTCACGGCAGGATTCCTCATTGACCTCTTTTGATGCCCTGGTGGCCTCAGACTCAAAGGGCCTCCCTCTGGGCCCCTCCCTGCAGGATGCTGGAGTATTCGCTGGACCTGCAGAACGTCAGCTTCTCAGCTGTCAGAACAGTTCGTGTGCTGCGACCGCTCAGGGCCATTAACCGGGTACCCAGTGAGTGACCCCTCGGCCCCTGGACAGAGAGCTCCAAGAGGAACTGTGGGAATCTCAGGCCCCACCCCTACCAGTGGGTCCTCCTCTGACTGCCCACACAAGGCTTGGGCAGAGAGGGATCAGCAGGAAGCTGTGGCGCTAGAGCCACACAGAGCCCCTGGCTGGGGCACAGGGGAGCGTTACTTGGAAGACCCCCCCATTTCAGCCTGGCTTTGGGTCAGAGTCTCAGAATTGCCTCAGATGACCCTTCCCAGGGGGATATGGGGGGGTGGGGATGGATGGACAGGCTTCGGGGCCAGCAGGAGGGGGACAGGAAGTGCTAATGGCCTCTTTTGGCCAGCACAACTTCTCAGGCAGCCTGGCTGTCATTGGTGAGGCCGCACTGGCCACGCAAACCAGGACTTCTCCCCAGACAAGGCCACTCCACGCTCACCCTCCCGGTGGTGGTGGCTCCATCCCCTTCCCCCTCCGCATCCCCTTCCAACTCAATGCAGTGACTGCTGGGACCATTATCTAAATTAAACCGCATTGGTTCCTGGAGCCAGCAAAGGTTTGGCAGCTCTGGCTCCCCCAATGCCCTGCCCCCACCTTTGTTCAGGCCCCCTTTGCTACTCCCCAACCTCCGCAAGCTGCAGATGGTCCCCGCTGTGGCCCCTGGAGAGGGACCGTGTTTCCGGGCGCTGCGCCTGACTGTGTGCCTGGCATACAGCACCCCCTTCACTCCGCACGGGCGCGCATGTGTGTCTGCATGTGTGTGTGTGTGTGTGTGTGTGTGTGTCCTGGGGTCCTGGGGGCCACAGGGTGCACGGGTGTTAACAGGAGCCTCCCGAAGAGGGGTGTGCCCCGCCTCCACGCCGCCCCAGGTGCCAGGTGCGGGCTGGCAGATTGATAGGCCTCATCTAAGCGTCTAACCACTGGTGTAATTCCCCTAATAAACCTGGAGGAATTGATCTCAGTTGGAGCAGGAGCAGCTGAGGGGGATGAGAGGGGAGGAGGGGAGCGAAGCCTGGGCTGGCGGGTGGGGGCAGGGAGACTGCAGTCACCAAGGTGTTCAGGAGCTGCTCGCTGGGCTGAGGCTCTGTCCTGCAGGGGGCAGGGGCCAGAGGGGGACACTTTGGGGATGATCAAAGCTGTCACCTGAGATCTATGTGTCTCACAAGGGCTCGGGGGCCTGAAGGCTGTTGGGTCCCAGACCTGGAGTGCGGAAGGGGGTGGGATCCCAAGGGACGTGTTGTTTGGGGTTCACAGCTGCCCTCCCCATGGAGGTCTTGTTGACTAGTGGACACCTAAGAAGGCAGAGTTGCCCCTTCCTGGCATGATCTGAGGATCCTGGGGCTCTCTGGCTCCGTTTCCCCGGTGACCCCGGTGTGGATACCCCCAGTGTAGAGAGATCAGGTGACTGTGTGGTGAGAGAAGGCGGTGGGAGGTGTGTGTGTGTGCTTGTGTGTTGGGGAGCAGGATTTGGAAGCACAGAAGCTAAATTTAAGTCCCGGCGCCTACATTTAGCAGCTCTCGTACTGAACAAGTTACATCACTGCTGTGAGCCTCAGACTTCCCATCTGTAAATTGGGGTGATGTCTCCCACTTGGCGGTGTGATGAGGTCAGAAACCACAGTTATTCTGGCCCATTGCGGGTGGTGTTGTGCACAGCTTAAATGAGGGACTCGGCGGGTGCAGCAGCTGTCTGTCGATCTCCCCCCAGCTGGAGCCAGGCCGCCTCAGCTCAGAGTTCCCCATCAGTCCTCTCTGGGAGCTCGGCCAGGCCCGGACAGCCTGGCATCCCCAGTGTGGCTTCTGCCTCCACAGGCATGCGCATCCTTGTCACGCTTCTGCTGGACACCTTGCCCATGCTGGGCAACGTCCTGCTGCTCTGCTTCTTTGTCTTCTTCATCTTCGGCATCGTCGGTGTCCAGCTGTGGGCAGGGCTGCTTCGTAACCGCTGCTTTCTTCCCGAGAATTTCAGCCTGTGAGTAGTGGGTGGGGTCAGGGGGTGGGCGACCTGGGACCTCCCCTGGGCCCTAGCTTCCTGTTGCCAATGACAAATCTGTTCTCATGCCTGGGACACATCTGGTTCTCAAACCTGGGTACACATTGGGATAACTTGAGGAGCTTTAAAGTTCCAGATGGCTGGGTGCCTCATCCAGAGACTGCAAGTGTCTTGGTCTGTGGCTCAGACATGATACTGGGTGTTTGAAAATTCCTATAGCACTGGGTGTGGCGGTGCATGCCTGTAATCCCAGCATTCTGGGAGGTCAAGGCAGGAGGACGGCAAGTTTCAATCCTGCCTGGGCAACTTACCAAGAGCCTATCTCAAACTAAAACAATTAAAAAAGGGCTGGGGATGTAGCTCAGTGTGAAGGTCTTGGGTTCAATCCCCAGTTCAACCAAAAAACAAAACAAAAAACCAAACCAAACCAAAACAAAAAACCAGACAGACGAAACTCAAAAGGTGTAGCAAAGTGTGAAAACCACTGCTCTAAGATGTGGCCCCCTCATCGCCCCTGTCCGTGGCCACAAACCCCCGCCCTGGCCAGTGTCGCCTCCCACTCAGGTCTGGCCTGTCCTCCCTGTGCACCACGGTGCTTCCTTCCTGGCCTCTCTCCACAGGCCGCTCCCCAGCCTCATCCCTGTCACCCTGCCCCCCTCGCAGGCCCCTGAGCGTGGACCTGGAGCCCTACTACCAGACGGAGAACGAGGACGAGAGCCCCTTCATCTGCTCACAGCCGCGAGAGAACGGCATGCGCTCCTGCAGGAGTGTGCCCACGCTTCGCGGGGAGGGCAGCGGCGGCCCACCCTGCGGCCTGGACTACGAGGCGTACAACAGCTCCAGCAACACCACTTGCGTCAACTGGAACCAGTACTACACCAACTGCTCGGCGGGCGAGCACAACCCCTTCAAGGGCGCCATCAACTTTGACAACATCGGCTATGCCTGGATCGCCATCTTTCAGGTGGGATGGCCAGGGCACAGCGCTGCCCGGGAGAGGTCATTCTTGGGGCCACAGTGGGGTCACAGGCTCTGGAGGGGGCTTCAGGGGGTGCAGAGTCAGCTTGTCCCTCTTGGCCTCCCCAGGTCATCACGCTGGAGGGCTGGGTGGACATCATGTACTTTGTGATGGACGCTCATTCCTTCTACAACTTCATCTACTTCATCCTCCTCATCATCGTGAGTGACTCCTCCGGGCCCCGTGGGAGCAGGGGGTCTTGGGGAAACGGGGTGGGGGGTGGCATCTGGAGAGCTTCCAGGGTCTGAAGTGCATAGCTCTCAGGACAAGTCCCACAGGAGAACTCCAGCTGGGGAGTCAGGAAGCACCCAAGATTAAGGTCGGCCCCATCACTGACACTATTAGGACCATTCCCAAGTCACTCCCTATGGGAACCCACTCCACGGAGTCTTCCCCGATGAAGTAGCTGGCTCTCACCCTAGGGACACCGCCTCCCCCAGGCAAGCTCAGAAATGCAGAAGGTGGTTCTGATTTTTATAAGGACCAGCGGTGCACTATGGGCTATTTGCTGGGGGGTGGGGAAAGGGGCTATAAACATCCTGAAATGTTTGCAAGCAAAGAATTGTTCCATCCCAAATTCTAATCAGTGCTGAGAAACACTGCAATCTCTAGTTCCTTCCAGCTTAGAAATTCTAACTCTTGGGTCAGGGATTTAGCTCAGTGGCGCTGCTCCTGCCTTGCAAGTGTAAGGTCCTGAGTTTGATCCCTGGTACTGAAAGAAAAGAAAAAAGAAAGAAATTCCACATCTTTATGAAGGCAAAAGACAGGCAAAAACAGCAATGTTTTAAAATTCCTTGCCGTTCATGGTTAATCATTTGATTGCTACTACTTATAGCTGATATTTATTGAGCACCTGCTGTGCTCCAAAGGTTTGCTCACTGGGCCAAGACCACATAGGAAATAAGGGATGCAGCTGAAAATTCAACTCTAGGCTGCTAATTCCAAGTCCAGCCTTTGGTCCATGTCACCGAGAGGCCCATGATACCCCCAAACGGAGGGACACCCTCCCTTTATGGGAGGAGGTTAAGATCTACTCAGGACCTAGGACAGGCACCAGATAGGTGAAAACAAAGGAGGCAGCTCCAGGGCAGAGAGGGACAGACCCTGAGAAAGAGCAGGTCCTGGCCACCCTTGCTGCTTCTGTAACTTTCCCTGGTACTGAAGAGAGGCTGGGCTTAGGGTAAAGCCTGACTAGGGAACCTGTCCTATTCTCCCCATCGCCTCGGGGCGAGGTGGGTGCTCCAGGGAAGCAGGATCCCTTGGGGATGGGGAACAGACAGGGAGGTGAGGGGCCTAGTTTCCTCCCTCCCACACAGCCTTGAAAAATCTTTTCAAACAGCTCTCTGGAATCACACCAGTGAAGCTAATTATCATAATTACTAGGACATGGTCTAGAAAAAAAAAAAATATCTGCTTTGTCACCATAAATACTCATTTGCATCCTTCAGGATTGTTGTGGATGCAGTGGCTGGCCTGGGCCCCTGGGGAAACTGAGGCATGAGATGGGGGCTGGGTGTGGATGGGCAAGTTGGAGAGGCAGTTTGGCTGGTCTGTGGCGTCCAGGGTTAAAGCTCTTTGCTCTACTAGGGGAGGAGAGAGGCACCAAGAAAGGGGTACAGGCCAGTCATCCTCATTTTCAGATAAGGCCCCATGGTTAATGGGTTCACCCAAAGTCCACACAGCTAGAATTGGGGGTGCGAGGTGGGAATCCTGTGAACAAATCCCAAAGGTTTAGTCCAACTCGAATGCCCCTGTCCTTCATATGCATCCATTTCCAGTGTTCCCACTCCTATAGGAACCAGGGAGGGGTACTTAGAGTCTCCCCAGGTAGGCGTGTTTAGGGGCAGGGAATTTGGTGGAGGTGACCTTACAGGACACCATTTCAACCGATAGCAGCACCTCGGAATTTCACGGGGCCTGGTTCAAGTCTTAGCCTTGCCCTGCCTTAGCCAAGTGATCTTGGACAATCCCTTGACCTCTCTGAGCCTGAGCCTCTTCATCTGGTAGTGGATTACAAGAGGTGTCATGAGACAGAGATGAGATAATGTTGGGAAAATCCTTGAGCCCCGCCTGGCCTGCAGGAAGCTCCCTGAATGTGGCTGGCCATTCACTTTTCTTCAGGACATCTCCTCTTGCTGTCCCCACCCCTACAGGTGGGCTCCTTCTTCATGATCAACCTGTGCCTGGTGGTGATTGCCACACAGTTCTCGGAGACCAAGCAGCGAGAGAGCCAGCTGATGCGCGAGCAGCGCGTGCGATTCCTGTCCAACGCCAGCACCCTGGCCAGCTTCTCAGAGCCGGGAAGCTGCTATGAGGAGCTGCTCAAGTACCTGGTGTACATCCTTCGCAAGGCAGCCCGCAGACTGGCCCGGCTCTCTCGGGCCGTGGGCGTCCGGGCCGGGCTCCTAAGCAGCCCGGCGCCCCTCGGGGGGCAGGAGCCCCAGCCCAGCAGCAGCTGCTCTCGAGCTCACCGCCGCCTGTCCGTGCACCACCTGGTACACCACCACCACCACCACCACCACCACTATCACCTGGGCAACGGGGCACTCAGGGCCCCCCGGGCCAGCCCGGAGATCCAGGACAAGAGTGCCAACGGGTCTCGTCGCTTCGTGCTGCCACCACCCTCAACACCCACCCTCGCCGGGCCTCCTCCTGTGGGTGCGGAGTCTGTGCACAGCTTCTACCATGCCGATTGCCACTTGGAGCCAGTCCGCTGCCAGGCACCCCCTCCCAGGTCCCCCTCTGAGGCATCGGGCAGGACTGTGGATAGTGGGAAGGTGTACCCCACTGTGCACGCCAGCCCTCCACCAGAGATGCTGAAGGAGAAGGCGCTTGTGGAGGTGGCGTCCAGCTCTGGGCCCTCTACCCTCGCCAGCCTCAACATCCCACCTGGGCCCTACAGCTCCATGCAGAAACTGCTAGAGACACAGAGTACAGGTGAGAGCGCTGGGCGGGGGCGTGCTGGGTCCCCTTGTCTAGGGGCCGGGGCTCAGATTCCTATTCTGCCTCTCATGGCCGTGGCACCTTTAACCAGTCCCCCCATTTCTTTGAACTCTGATTTCTTACCTGTTAAAACTGGAACCCTAATTCCTACACTGTCATAGTGATCAGTATCACGTAATATGCACCAGCCAAGTGCTGCTGTGATAATATCCACCTACTGGTGCCCCCAGGTATGCCTGTCACATGCTTTGCAGGCAAGAGCCCGTTGCAGCCTCCTGACAGCTCAAGGATAAGCCTTCCCCGAGCCCCCATTGTATACATGGCAAAAGCAGCCTGGGTGAGGTTGCAGAACCTGCCCAAGGTTGTGCCCTTGGTGAACGGTGGCCTCAGGGCCACCTGACTCTGAATCCCACAAGCTGCGGTCCTTGTCACCAGGCTCAGAAGAGAAATAGTGTGTCACTGTGCCCTGCATGGTGCCCACACAGGAGACTTACAAAGCCGAGTCTCATTCCCTCCCCTCAGAGAGACGAGGGGTGAAGCACCAAGTGCTGGAAGCTGCTGGTCCCACGAGCCGGACACCCGTGTCATGGGTGAGATATTTGCTGCTGTCTGAGGAGGTGTCCCCCAGACAGAGGTGGCCTCCCCAAAAATCATGCTCACTGCAGCCACAGCCCAGGGCCAGGGTTTCAGGAAGGATGTGGCTATAGGGAACAGGGGGATATTCGTGAGAACATTTTGTAGGGATGTACTTGGGGCCAGAAGGTGTTATCAGAGTGTTGAGCAGAAGGTTCCTGTGCCACCTATTCCATGGCCCCCAGGAAGGTCACACGCACATGACGAGGGTATCCGTGTCCTCTTGTGTAAAAGGTGGGGCTGGCGCCATCATTATCATCAGCCACACTTATGGAGGCTGCTAGCCCTGTGTTGCATAGCCGTCGTCAGGAGAGGGAAATGTCGCTTTGTGCCCAGTAGGGGTGTGGCTCTGAGCCAGGAGGCTCCACGTGCACCTTTATCTGGGTGGTCTCGAGGCTCCTTTCTGTGATCAGAGCTGGATTTAAATGATACCGGTGTCGCCAGGGATTTAGCTCAGTGGTTTCACCGCCTGCTGCACAAGTGCAAGGACCTGAGTTCAATCCCCGGTACCAAAAAAAAAAAAAAAAGATACATGATGATATCAGTGTCTGAGGTAGTGCACTGTGTGTGTGCACAGTCCAGCTGGTGTGTATAGATGTTTTTGCACATGTGAAGGGGTGCAGAGTGTGTGCATGTGATTGCACTCACCTGGTGTTCATATGTGCACACATGTCTGGTATGTGCAGGTGTGTGCACATGCACATGGGTGTTGCCTCCATCCTGCTCTGTATGCACACTCATGTGTGTGTCTGACACCTGCATACTGAGCAGCGTGTTTGTGTACACGTGTGCATGGGCATGTGTGTGCATACATTGTGGTATACATGGAGTGGATGCATTCTGTACATGTGCGTATCTGAGTGTGTGCATATGATGCCCATGTGCCTGATGTGGGTGGGCACAAGTGCACATGTGTGAGTGTGAATCTTAAGGATCCCTTGGAAAATGCCACTCAGAGCAGTGTGGATTCGGACATGGCTTCCCTGGGAAAGAGGTGCTTTAGGGTCCTCTCTGCCTTCGACACAGGAGCTGTCCAGGACCCCAGAGGACAGGGAGGCCACCTCTCTGCCTGACCCCAGGGCATTCTGCAGCGACCATCATGGGGTGCTGTGGCATTTAGGGGATTCCTCACCCTGGGTGGCTAAGTGCCGAGCACCACACCACTGTAACCACCCCTGCCTCCCTCACTCTGCCCATCTCCCACCCCAGGCACCTGCCAAAGCTCCTGCAAGTTCTCCGGCCCTTGCTCAAAGGCGGACAGTGGAGCCTGCGGTCCTGACAGCTGCCCCTACTGTGCCCGGACTAGGGCAGGAGAGCTGGAGCCCGGCGAGCATGAGATACCTGACTCTGACAGCGAGGCCGTTTACGAGTTCACACAAGACGCCCAGCACAGCGACCTTCGGGACCCCCACAGCCGGCAGCGACAGAGCCTGGGCACAGACGCAGAGCCCAGCTCTGTGCTGGCCTTCTGGAGGCTAATCTGTGACACCTTCCAAAAGATTGTGGACAGCAAGTACTTTGGCCGGGGGATCATGATCGCTATCCTGGTCAACACCCTCAGCATGGGCATCGAGTACCACGAGCAGGTAGGGCTGAGGGCTGCCCAGCTCCCAGATGCTGCTGTCCCCTGGGGCGGGCTGTGCTGCCTGCGATCTGGCGTCTTCTCTCCTGGGCTCCTTTCCTCTCTGAGCTGAGCTGCTGGCTGCACAGCAGGAGGAAGTGTGTGGGGTCTCGGAGGCTCACCGCAGTGACGTCTTGAAGTTTCAGAGTGTGCAGTTGCCCGGCAGGGCGGGCCTATTATGTCCTGGAGGGCTTCTCAGAGGAGGTGGGCTTTCTGAGGGCAGGCAATGAGCTTGGCTTGTGGGGAGAGAAGGGTCACAGGAAGAGTTTGGGCCTTTGGAGAAGGCGGGGGGACTAGGGGTCCCCCAGCACTCATCTGGCTCAGCGAGAGGGGTGACTGGTCAGAGGCAGGAGCAGCTGGAACAGTGCAGGTGGGAGTGAGGGCCAAGCTAGGGTCGGATGAGGGAGGGGTCTATCCTCTGCTGTCTGTCGTCACCTCGATGTGAACCAGGGCGGCTCTGAGCAGATGAGAGCACCAGGCATGGCGAGGTGACTTGAAGCCAGCGCTTCGAGGGCTCATTCTGCACAGCAGGATGTTTAGTCAGGAGAAGAGGAGGCTCAGCGGCCGCGGGCCAGCTGTCCTCAAATATTTGAAGGGCCGTCATCCTGCGGAAGAGGGAGCAGGCAGAGCTATGGGATGCGGGCCGAGGGGAGGAGGGCCGTTCTTCCTCTCAGCACTGTGCAGGGACAGAGAGCGTGGCCTGGGGACCCTGGGGACCCCATGCGTGCACGCTGGACTGCTCCGTGGGGCCCCAAGCCGGGCTTTTCTCCCTTCCCTCATCGTGTCTCCTGGTGGGTTACCCCCTTCCCCGCCGGTGCCTGGGGAAGGAGGGAGGCAGGTGCTACACACTGGCCTGTGACCGATGCCCTCCTCCCCTGCTCTCTTCTCCAAGCTCCCACCCCTGGGGGATTGGGAAGGGGCTGGGCTGCCGGAACCCTCCTCTCCTGGACTGGCACTGATGCTGTGCACTCCCCACCCCACTGCGGGCAGAGGCCTGAGGGGTCCTCGCCAGCACAGCAGGCCTGGAAGGGCATCTGGGCCAGCTGCGGTCTGGCTGGGCGGTAGGATGGTGTGTGGTGCAGGCACATTGGGGAGGAGGCAGGGGGAGCAGGGGGCAAGTGCGAGGTGCCTGGAGCCCACAGCGAGATGCCCTGAAGCCCTCTACCCGACCCCCCCACCTCTGCCTCTGGTGCAGCGAGTGCTCAGCTCCTACCCAAACTGGCCTCTCCGGCCAGGGGCACCCCTGCCCCATCGCCACCCCATCACACCGGCACCCGTTCCTCTTGTCTCTGCAGCCCAGCCCCCAGCAGCTGCACCCCTCCTCCCCTGTGGCTGCGGAGCCAGCAGGTGGGCTTGTGTGACACCACGGTGGGTGTGTTGTGTCTGGGCTGCGTGGGGCGTGGGTGTGTGGCACTTGCCAGCTCTACCAGCCTCCCGGGGAGAGGTGCTATCCTCTGCCAGGCGGGTGGGGGAAGGTGGGGGACAGCATTTTCTCATGCTGGGACCCAGGTAGTGGCAGCCCCTAACCTCTCATGACTGCCCTACCCCATCTGAACTGTAACTTCCTTCCAGCCTTGGTCAGCTCCCCTCCCCACAGGGCCAGCTCCTCAGTGCCCTCCCCTCTTTCCCAGGGGTGCACCCAGCTGTCCCTGCCCACCCAGTGCTGCTGGTGGAGCCTTTGATGGCACTGGGAAGAAGCTGAGTCACAGACCTAGGATAGATGAAGCCACAGCAAGAGGGCTTTCGGTTAGACGTCAAGAAGGATGCCCCTTTGGAGAGGAAATAAAAGCTATCAGTTGGGGTGCCTGTAGCATCTCCTTGCCAAGATCCTGAGGAAAAGGGGGGATGGCCTGAAGCTCCCCACAAGCCCTCATGCCAGGGAGGCCTTGCTCAGAACCTGCCACAGGGCAGTTGGTTGCTGAGGGCCCCACGGGGTGAAGGGGAGTCCTCAGCAGGCTGGGAAGATGAGACACCCCAGAAGCTGCTGTGGCCCTGTGCTAAGGGGCACTGCAGCGTGAACATTTCGCCATCCAGGCCCTTGAGCAGGCTAGAGGGGCTGCCAGGGAAGGGAGTGTCATGGGGCTGAGATGGGGATACCAACAGGGTGCAGATAGGGAGACAGAGGGCATGACGGAGCCCCACGGGAGGGGGACAGAGAAGACAGAGACAAACGGAACAAGGAGGTAGAGGGAAAGATGGAGATGCGGGCCAGAGATGCATGGAGGCACAGAGACACCGGGGAGACCAGGGAGCCGAAGATGGGGACAGAGACCCGGATGCAGCGAAGTGGGGGGCACTCTGTTGGGGGTGAGCTGGGGAGGAAGACTGAGCCAGCCGAGAGGGAGAGGTCAGAGAGGTTAAGACGCTGCCAGAGGCGCTGGGGCTCCTACTTTCCCTGCAGCGCTCTTAGTGAGGCCACTGTGTCCATTGATCTCACTGTTGATCAGACTGGTGGCCCTGGAGAGGGCATGGCCAAGCGTCCTGGAGGTGGGGCCGCTGCCTCTTTCCCTCCCAGGCCCTGTCCTCTGCACTCACCTCTGCCTTCAGCTTTTTTGCCGGGGATGATACCCCCTGCCCTGCCCTCTCCTCCCTACTCTTGACCCAGGGGGCACCATATGGTCACCTTCCATCCTCCCTGAGGTCCCATACCCTCCATTCTCTCCTGCTTCTCACAGAACTACCAGCCGGCAGACAACTGGCAGGATTGGTGTCCACAGAGGCACAAGGACATAGGATGCTTAGCACAAAAAAAGTGACTGGGCTTAGGAAGTCTGTGAGCTGATGTAGACCAAGAACATTGTACCAGTCTCCAGGGGGCAGTACATGGAGCTCTGACCTTGGTGAATTACCTCTCCGTCCATCCATCCACCGACCCACCCACCCATTCACTCATCTACCCTTCCATTCATCCATCCACCTACCTACCCATCCATCTACTACCCAGTCACCCATGCATTCATCTGCCCATCATCATTCATTCATCATCCATCCATCCACCCATCCATCCATCCATCTATCCATCCCGCATATCCTGTGCATCAGAGATGGGCCTAAGCAGTGGTGTGCTTAGGAATGTTTAATACCCAGGCCTCAAAAACCCAAACAAATCTCACTTTTAGAGTTCACCAATTTATATGGAGTAAATATGCTCTCATGTTAGCGCAAGCTATCAACATGTCACTGAATGTGAAATTGGGAAAAGATGCACTCTGAGCTGAGTCTGAAGGGTGGGCATGGGGAAGCCAGGGAGGGGTGGGAGGTGGGAAACAGGGGGCATCAAGGAGGAGGCCCAGATTTAGTGCAGGCATTCACAATGTGTGTGGCCCTGGGTGCAGCTGGAATGGACAGGTGATGAGATGAAGTAGGAAAAAACTGAGGGCCAGGTCCCAAGAAGATAGGAAGGAGTTTGGGTTTGATACTGAAGATCATAGGCTCTCAGCAAAGATTTAGGCAGGTTGGTGTGACCAGGTTTATTTTATCAAAGGGCTTCTGGAAGTCGGGGTGGGAGGGAATGAGGGAGGGAAATGGGGGAGCAAGGAGCTGAGAAGGAGGCTACTGCAGGGGTCTAGGCAGTTCATGCTGGTCTTTGTCCTGGAGATGGAGAGGAGGGGCTGGGAGGGCTGTCAGGCAGCTGAATCTGCAGGACTCAGCACCAGCTGGCTCTTGGCGGCCAGGGCAAGCATGACTGTCAGGCTTCTGCCTGGGGTGGGAACGAGGAGCTTGAGCAGATTCGGGAGCCATCCTGACACCATGTCCAGCAGGATGTGGGAGCCCAAGAAGGAGGTAGTTGTGGATCCTGGCTCCCACCTGGAGCTGCACTGGGCCAGGCCCATGTCGGGAGGGGAGGGAGCTGCAGGGCGGGACACAAGGCACCTCCTAATCATTCCCTCCTGGCTCTGAGTCACAGCAGGGTTCAGGTGCTAACCTCACACTGCAGAAGAATGACGACAGCCTGTAGGGACAGGGGGACAGAGGGAGAGAGGGACAGAAGAAGCTGGGTAGATGGCCTTGCAGGCCAGGGGAGGACAGGGCAGGGGACGACTGTGAGTGCCACTCAGACTCCAGATATGTGTCCAGAGAGGGTTTCTATTTATAAGTGAGTAGGTCGGCTGTTCCCAGTTCGGGAAGCTGGGGCTGGGGCTCAGGGGGGGCACATGTGATGGGTCTCAACATTTGAAAGGAGTCAGACTCCTCTGTGATTCTCCTGAAAGCTGGGGAGCTATCCTAGACACCCCAACTGTGGCCTTTGGGTGCAGGGGTTTATGGACACCTCCCTGCAAACCAGACCCTTGTCCTCCAGGAAGAGGAGTTGGGGCTGAGGAACAAGCAAGCTTTCGGGGGACCATTCTTGGACAGCCAGCCTTGCCCACACTTTCCAGGCATCTTGAGGGTGGGGGCGGGAAGGGTGCTATTTGGGAGATGTCTGGCTGGGGGGTGCCCCAGGCTCCCTGAGATCCACACGGGAACTTGCCCGGGGTACACACGCTAGGAGATGACACGGGGTGTCAGGGGGCTGGAGCAAAGCCAGAGCACCCCAGAAATGTAGGCTGTAGTGGGAAAGCCCTTCTGTCTCATGGAGAGTTCATGCCCAGTGCTGCAAGGAGCTCTTCTGGGAAACAAGCGGGGTGCTCACACCCAGGCAAGGGACTTGAAAGGGTTCGTGAAGGAGGCACCTTTAGTTATTTTTTACTTTTTTGTTGTTTTGTTTTGTTTTGCAGTGCTGGGGATTGAACCCAGGCCCTTGCACATGCTAGGCAAGCACTCTACCACTGAGCCACATCCTCAGCTCTTTTAAATCATTAATTTATTTATTTTGAGACAGGGTCTTGCTAAGTTGCCCAGGCTGGACTTGAACTTGCAATCTTCCTGCATCTGCCTCCTGAGTAGCTGGGATGACAAAGATGTATCCCCATGCCCAGCGAGGAGGTGGCTTTAGGGAGGGCCTGGAAGGATGGGTGGCATGAC